TCCTCTTCGAACGTAAAATCACAAAATCTCAAAACACTTTTTAACATATATAAATATAGCCACGAGATCTTCTTCTGTAGATACCACCAATCTCTACACGACGTGTTTGCCTTTTGTTTCTAAAGACCTCACGTGGTGGTTTCAAAGGAATCCATTTCTTTTTGAGGCACCCAATATGTCACACCATATATAGCTTGCCCCAAAAATTCCATTAGAAAACATGAAAGTCTCTGTAAGCCACCACCGTTTTTTTGCATTGTCGTTTGTATATTTCACAGATCGGAAAAGCAGAAATTTTAACTTTTTGTAATTCATACAATAACAAATTAGTAATATTTTGTGTGACAATAAAATTTAAAGATATAATTCATTTGTAATAAGCTGCATTGTTTGAACGAGAAAAACAAAAACAAAAGCTGAATTGCTGTAGAGCTCTTTGTTTTTCTTGCGAAGTTTTTTCGAGGGGAATCTTTCTTACAGTGTAGTTGTGGACATAGCATGTGTGGTCTCAATTACCTTTTTGGCTATTACAATTTCTCCTTCTCCCACTTATATCAACTCATGATTCATGGCCCCACCTCTCGTATAAGATGATGTACCAATTGTTCTCAGAAATTTGAGTAGGTTTCACTCTTTAGTCATTACATACTGTTAAATGTATGCTCTTCAAAGAGAGTACAAACAAAAATTGTAAGTGAACAAACAAACATTAGATGTCAAAATCTAGCATTTTGATAATATTTGCTCACCCAAATACTTGGCGAGGCGTAATGAAATTTTATATCATTGAGACATGTAAATGGTATTTTGTATCGCTGATGAAATATTTATAATAAGATTGTTTTATCGGTATGTGAGTTTATTAATTTGCAGGATTAATTCTTATACTTTCAGTCTTTACCTATCAAAGAATTTGGTAATGATTTTATATGTTGCTTGAATGTAGCTCAATTAGCAATCTACACGTACTTATGTTTTACGCCTAAGTATTTAATGAGCTTGTGAATGAGCATTTACATTGCCCATTGCTCGTATCATTTGGTATAATAGCAGCTAGCCATTATTAAGTAGGACCAGCATTTTGTATTCAAACCATTTTGAAAACTGAAAAGTGTCTTTTAAAAGTCTACACAACATTTTGTTATATGAATATATCTATATAGCAAAAACGTTATTTAAATAAACCGCAGTTTAACCAACGATGATAACATGCAGTAAAGACAACATGGACTCGAGTGTTAGTATTGTTAGCAGACACAGTCACACGGCACTGTCCACAAAATGTTCTATAATCGTTTGGTCGTGCCGACTTATATTACCAATATGAATATAGGACCCGACGAACAATCGACAATTAATGTAGTCAAAATACTCCTACGGATAAAATATTCATGACTTTTGCAGTTTTATAAAATAAATAAGTAAAGAAGATAAATAATATATTTAATTTATTCCATAGTTTAATATGATTTTCTAGACTATTTGTTATGAACTTTGAAATATAATTGACATTTACGGAATTTCGACCCTTATTATCCAGCTAATTGAAAGACTAAAATCATGCTGGAAGAAGACTATATAGTATATATGAACCTAGGATAACAATATTACATTTAGATCGAAGATCACTTCACTTGACCAGTGGTCCTGTATATGTCTGAAACGAAATAAATGTAAAGCCGTGAATTTGTTGGGAGAGGAGTGGTAGATACTCAATTCACATGCAAGTGAATTTGTATTTTCATGATAAAGGCTTCTCAAGCTTCTATGCATGCATGTGTTATGTGTATTTTGGATGTTATACAATAATTTTTTTGCCAACACGTCGCCGGAATTAATTTGAAAAATACCAACTACATATGATTAGCTCAAGAGTACAAAAACTACTAACTTTTAAAACATTACATATTTGATTAATTTGAACCAAGTGATTTAAATATCATTTTAGTACCACTAGTTTGGGTTACCACATTTCGCTCCAAAATATATATCCTCGTAAATACTAAAAAAGTTAATTTTGTTGTGGAAACTCTTAGTTCAGTAATCGACTAAAAAGTTAATTAATGCTTTTACACCAAGAAGTGTTTTTATGGAGATAAGCTTTAGACGATTAAAAAAAAAGTTAATTTTGTTAATAAAATATTAAATTGGCAATAAATTGAGTTCCTATCTTTTTTTTTTTAAAAAAAAAAATTGAGTTCATAAACATAACACGTGTATATACTCGTATATACACATGCAACCTTTAGGCAATTCACATTTGCCGAATTAGTAACCATTTGTCCACGTATCATCTCCTCGATCTCGAGGAAGAGAAAAATTAATTCGTCGGTAACCAAACAAATCCATCTAGAATTTCAGTATACATCAAACAGATTTCAAAACAAAAAAAGAGAGAGAAGCTGACCGAGATTGCGCTGAGGTGGCAGATATAAGAAGATTTGGAGTGACGTGGCAGATACAAGAAGATCTGGTTGGTGCATAGTTATGCCTTGTCATCGCCATATTATTTCATCCTTAATGCTCTTCGACAACCTGTCACCGCCCCTTACTGTTTTCCTTATTTTCCTATTATCAATGAGTCAAGATAAAAAAAAATCTCCTATACATATTCTCCTGAACAAATATACAATGTTTTTTTAATTATCTATTTTTTGTCAAATTCTCAGCATTAATATAATATGATACTTATGACTAATCAAATTGTATGATATTTTTGTTGGTTGATATACTTTAAATTAGATATTAAATGATTTTGTAATGTAAAATATAAAATTTTATATGTTTTAAAAATTTTACGTTTTTCTCTTAAAATTATATACATAATAAGATAGAGGAAGTGCTAACTATTATTTTAATTAGAATTAACCGTATTAACTTGACACTGATACTTATAATATTCTATTTTTATATTACTATTAGATTGCTGTTTTTGATGAAGGTGGCGCGCCGATGCAAACAGATTTAAAGTGCGTTAGTGTGCATATTCTTTATTCAACAAGAAAAATAAAGTAAAAGTTCGTGTAGCTAATTTACGGAAGCTAAATTTAGAGTTGTAATCTATTCTGTAATGGACGACTTTTTAGTTTTGTATACATAAAGACTAATATATAAACACTCAAAAGTCGTCTTAAGTTTTCAAACTAACAAGGTATATCTATAATTCAACAAATAAGATTAGTTAAGTGAGAACGATAATTATAAACTGAATCGTTCTCGTGCGTATACATAACCATAAATACCATTAAACATTAAAAATACACGAATTTTACACATCACACATATGGTATTTACAAATTAATATACTTTTCCTTGAGTCCAATTTTCTTCCCAATTTTTAATCGAGATTTTTTAATTTCTTTGATCCATCTTGAATTCTTGATAATACTTTTTTAAAATGTATTAATATATGGCTAAAGTAATGTTGAATGGTGGAAACAGGAATGTAGGGAAATATGAAGCTTTGAATTTTCTCACGTGAGAACTAAGAAGTAGAAAGCTTTGCTCCTTAATGTATATCTTTGACTCATAACCATAAACCATTGACCGAATAGGTCCGATAGAGGATTGGGTCGGGTCTTGTGTATCACTTTTACGTACGGCTAATGCACGGCGCAATACGTGGCCCGATGAATGCGGGGAATGTGGGTTCCTCTTTTTTATTATATTTTTTTCTCAAACTTATGTCATGTGTGTATCACTTTCTTCTATGTAAAGATTTGTATCTGGGAATCTCTCTCTCTCTTCCTTCTCTCTTCCTCATAAAGTGAAGTCTCTTGAATTTGGGGGTAAATAATTGGCGGGAATCGGTAAAAAATTGTAAAGAAAAAAAAAATTTGAATCGAAATGTACCCTACTGATCATCATATATACCAAATACGAATGATTATTGAGGATAGTGAGTTTTTGGCAAAACTAAAGATGTAAAAAGTAATGGCAAATGGCAATGGCATGCATGGAAATAGGAAAACGGTTTAGGACCAAAAAAGGTTAAAGAAGTAATGATGGTGTTACTGTTGAGCTTAACAAAATCCGTCGTGATTGATGCTCCAACTTCTTTTTTAAGCAAACCAAAATTTCTTCTCCCTTTTTCGTAACCCGATTGTAATAAAAATCAATGTTCTTTTTTTATTATTATTATTATAAACTAATAAATACTCATATTTATTGTGTGATGTTTATTTCAGTAATACAAGAGTGGATATGTAGTTATGCTTATGTATGATATTACGTACTCATGAACTCATCGTATGTCTGATAGTTTATATTAGTTTTTTTTAAGATAACTTATGTAGATTCATGGCATTTGCATGTATAATATAGTATTCGAGATACTCGGGGTCTATAATGATATAGTTAAGCATAATAATATTTTCCGTCGAGTTAATTCTTGTACTATTTGCATTAATTTTTGTTGGTCAATTAGTCAACTACAGTCATTGCATTTACATTGATAAACAGCGAAACGGCTAAGGTCAGTGTCGTCATAATAGGATGATTCACCTTGAACTAGATTACCCGCGCAAGTAAACAAGTGAAAAACGAGCAGTCGCAAAAGACAATAAAAGGATTATCTTTGCATTTGTCAGGGTCAGCAAAACAAACATAATATACAAAAAAACTCTCATCATAATTCATAACTGTATGAAACGCCTCACATAAGTCAACTCGATATCCTTCAGTTTGTCGAACTTTTTTAGCATTAAATTTCTAAGTCACATACTATAGATCCTGCAGGAATCAATGAGATAAAAAGATTTTGGAGTATCATTATCATCTATATAAAAAAATAGATTTTGATATATAAAAAAATTATGACAAAACGGTTACAAACCTACCTCCACCTTACGTAGAAATAGCAATCGATTAATTTAAAGTTTAATTTTTGACAAAGGAAATTAAAGTTTAGCCAATAATATCTCTCAATCTCTCTCTAACTCTAACTTTGGAGTTTCCCTCCCTCCATAAATACCGAACCTCACTCCTTCTTCTTCCTCACCATCATCTCCCCAATTAACAAAAAACCTAACTCGAAATCTTTAACAAGAGCGCAAGCTCGAAAGCGCTCTTGTTCTTTCTTTCATCTTCCTCCTTTACCCTCATAGTAGTTTAAAACCCCTTTTTTTGAATAACCCACACAAAAAATGGCTATTGTTAAATTAGTAATCCTCTTCACCACATTTCTCTTCTTGAACATCGCCGACGCCAAAATCCCCGGCGTTTACTCCGGCGGCGCGTGGCAAACCGCACACGCCACTTTCTACGGTGGCAGCGACGCCTCCGGCACTATGGGTCAGTCCACAAGAAATAGAGCATAAAAAGTTTATTCTTTTAAAAACAAAACAGAGCATAAAAACAGAGTAAATTCACTCAAAGATCCTCTCTTTTCAATAACAATGATCTAATTTGAATTTACAGGAGGAGCTTGTGGTTATGGGAACCTTTACAGCCAAGGCTATGGAACCAACACGGCTGCATTGAGCACGGCGCTGTTTAACAACGGTATGAGTTGTGGAGCCTGCTTTGAGCTAAAATGCGCCAACGATCCGCAATGGTGCCACTCAGGTAGCCCATCGATCCTCATAACAGCAACCAATTTCTGCCCACCAAACTTGGCTCAGCCCAGCGATAACGGAGGATGGTGCAACCCGCCACGTGCCCACTTCGACCTAGCCATGCCTGTCTTCCTCAAGATCGCTCAATATCGCGCCGGCATTGTCCCCGTCTCATACCGCAGGTACACAATCTTTTATCAATTTTTCTTGCCAATACTAACCTAAGTCCATAATTATCGATTTTTCTTTAGACAAAACGGCTAGAAACATTTTGTAAATGGCGTTTTTTTTCACATTTGAACTTTACCTAATGATGTCGAAAAAACGAAATTTTTTAGTTATTAACAAGTTTAGTACGCTTTTGTGTGTTATTTCAATTTTGACGATATGTTACTGAGTAAATGCAACTTTGGTGTCCTTTTATTTTTGGTTTGTTAATGAGAGTGAAATGTTGGTATTTTTGTGTAGGGTGCCTTGTAGGAAGAGAGGAGGGATAAGGTTTACGATCAACGGTCACCGTTACTTTAACTTGGTTCTGATCACTAACGTGGCGGGAGCAGGAGACATCGTGAGGACGAGCGTGAAAGGTTCACGGACTGGTTGGATGAGTTTGAGCAGGAACTGGGGTCAGAACTGGCAATCTAATGCTGTTTTGGTTGGTCAGTCACTTTCTTTCCGTGTCACAGGCAGTGACCGTAGAACCTCTACTTCATGGAACATCGTTCCTTCTAACTGGCAGTTTGGTCAAACCTTTGTCGGGAAGAATTTCAGGGTCTAAATCGGAGTTTCGAGAAACTAAATTTGTGGGAGAATCGAAAAAAAAAATTAAAGTGGTCGAGACAAAAGAAAACTCTCCGCTAATTTCGCTTCTTCCTTTTTTTTTTCAAAATTTTATATATGGAAAGGAGAGAAAAAATGAGGGGAGAATAGTAGTATCTTTGACTTTTGTGTGTTTTTTCTTTTTTAATATTTATTTTCTTTTGTGTTTTAATTGTGAGTTGTAAAAGGGGAAAAAGGGGAGAGAGAAAGAGAGTAGCTGAAGTGGCTGTGAGAAAATTTTGTAACAGCCCGCAGCTATCTCTAAAGTAATTTACATGGTTGGGTTGTAACGTTTAATTTCGTGTAATCTAAAAACATGGTTGTATTAATATGATACTATATACAATCTTCTGGTTCGTTTGAAATTTTAACTAGTCATTTACTAAAGAGTTTCTGTTAAGAGTGAAGTTAATGCACGTTAGTGATAGATCCACGGGGATCCCACATAGATTTGGTAACGAGAAACAAGAATAATTCAATGGCTATTGGTCCAAAAAGCCTTTAATAAGTGGGGGAATTGGTTTTTGACCGATGAATTAAATATTTATAAATAAAAGTATTTCCGACAGCATTTGATGCAAACGTAACACAAGTCCACAAGGTTTTCCTTTTTGGTGATATGAACGGAACATGTCTTCTCCACTTACAAATTTAGCTAAAGTTTATATTCATTTCTATTATAGTTCTTTAGTTGTTTTATGTTACTCCACTTTTAAAAGGGTTTGATTTAATTCATAGAAGCAACGGAGTCTAAGCTTGCCATTTGAAAATGTAACTCCGGTGTCTTTAATTCATGTTATAATTCATTTCTTGGTCTACGAATTACAAAGATTAAAATTTCACTGCTCTTATTCAAACATTTAAAATTGTCAAAGTGTCCATATGAAACTTTATTTTATTTTAAGATGCAAACAAACGAAAATGTTTCATCCGAGAACGAAGTTAGTAATGAAACATTGATTTAAGACGAAAAAAAGTTATAAACGTTGTTAAGTAATATTCAGGATCTCTCGTATTTACAATGATAATAGATAACGAAACTCATGTCCATATGTTTGAATCTCTACCATTTTAGCTAAAGGAACTTTTATTTTTCTCTTTAAACAGTCCATAACCATGGCCTTCAGGTTCCCTGATCGCGGCAACTGGCTATAGATCCATTCCAAAAGGGATTCAATATCATCAGCAAAATCTTTCATGTGCCATTGTAGAAGCTGTGGAACCACAATCTTTTTCTTGCTCGAAACACCCACCGAAGCTTCTAGATACTCCACTCTTGCTCTTCCTAAATCATTCACTACCTCATCTGCTGTATAGACTCTAAGCTGCACATGAATATCAACCTCTTCATCCATATATATTCAAGTAATAATATACAACAGTCAAGAAACTATGTTTTGTACACTTACTGCTGGTGAAGACCAACTTCCACGGCAAAGCGCAAATGTCACGTTAGGCTCTGAATATCCTAAACCATAAGTGTGCCGCAACAGAGTTTCTTTCTCATCAAGCGAGTCCTTTGTTTCATCAAGATGTTGATTAGCTTCTAGTAGTAACTGATTCACTTTATAGCTATAAATTGAAATGGAATGCACTTACATGTTCTGGTTCACAAGGATGTCGCAAGACAAAATGTTCAATCGCCAAAGCGTTGAGGACTATGCCACCGACATTGAGTGAAGCCTGCCATATAAAACACAACTAGCAGGTAGAGTTATTTCCTTGGATTTTTGATCCAAAACTTAGAGTTATTTTCTTGGAATTTTGATCCAAAACGTACCTTGTTCATTAAGGTAAGTAGTTTATTGTGCGACGAAGGCAACCCATACTCAAGAAAAGCCTATAATTAGAACATAGAATTCGATTTTAAGTTCAATTTTTGTGTGATATATATAATAAAAAAAATTCAATAATTTATTTTGTAAACGTGGCCGTACATGCATGATACAAGCGTTGTAGATATTGATCCAGAAAGCCAGTTTTTGCTTGTAAGTCAAGAAACTCAAATCCACTTCTGAAAGCTTTTCCATCAAAGCACTGTCCAAGTCCAACACATATAAGTTAGTCAATACAACAATTTCTTCAAGAATTACACTATTGAATGAGGTGAGTTTGTACGTTGATTTCAGAGAATGTAAAGGTTAAATACCTCAAGCGTGGAACAGCCGGTGAACAATAATGGGTAAAACGGGTCACATCGATGGAATTTCTTGAAATGTGAATGAAGTTCTTGTAAGGGCCAATGTCTCTAGTGAATCCTCCGCTTGAGTCTGGCAATACGTGATAAGGATCAAGATTCATTGCGTTCTGATAATAACTATATGTGTTTGATTTCCGGCTACAAGAAGAGGGCCTTCTCGAAAACTCGACATCTCCTTTGGTCTTTGATGAAACCTGATTCAGTTCCAAATAAATGCCTATGAGACAGTTTATGAGCTGTTCAGAAACTTCGTTTGGGTCGGCTTTGGTCTTCTCTTCCACAAGCCCAAGCCCCTTTCTCACTCTACCCATCTGCGTTCTTGAAAACCCATCAAATTCATCTGCCCAGCAAAACCATGACTTTGAGTGCAATGTGAAGCACTTGGTTTCTCCGTTTTGAGAAATATATATCGGAATAAAACCATTTTTTTTTTTTGGGTCTAGTTAGATTTAGAAATTCTTGGTTATGTTCGGAATCCGTTAGGCATAAAAATATTCTTACCATTTTAAAAATAAACGTAAGGAATAAGAAACTACAAACCTGTGAAGCCACCTGAAGAAGTGGCATCCAAGAAACCGGGAGCATAAGAGAACGAGAGCCTTGAGTGAGTACTTGGGACAATATCTAGAGCAGAGCGTTGGTAGTGATGTGACAAAGATCGTTGATGAAGATCATGTTTTAGTGGCAAGCTATTGCGTCTCACATGATTCTGTCTCGCCAGTGTCCTCTTCTGCTCAGTCATCTCTTGCGTTTGCCTCTGTTCGTAGTACAGTTTAAGCTTCAGCTCCTCGATTTTTCGGTCTAGACAGAGAATCTCTGCCTCCACAACGGCTAGCTCTTGTATAAGCTCGGAAAACTGTTAGATTAATCAAATTTCTCTTAACTGTTAAATCATTAAGAAACTATAAGTAGCATTGTGTGAGGTATGTGTAAATGGTATTGCCTGAGGTGGAATATACAATGAGGAGAGACTTGGGAGCGAAACAGCAGAGCCATCGAAAGCAGAGCGTAAAGTTCTACTAAGTGCTTCCTCATCCTCTAGTTTCTCTTTAAGATGCATTACCTGCATAAACACAAACAACCAAAGCTATTAAGTAATTGTTAGAACAAACATTTTGAGTCTTTTTTTAATAGTAATAGAGGTGCTCACTCCTTCCTCTACGTCATGTCTCTTGTTACTGTGTTGCTGTGAAGCTTCCATGAGGAGTTCCTCAAATTTCATGCGTTTTCAAGTTTCAGAGAAAACAGAAACGGGTCTAAGTAGAGAAAGGGAGAGAGAGTATATATGATTAGAGTGAAACGTGGGAGCCATTAAAAGGGTCGGTCGGAGAATTGGACTGAGAAAGTAGTTACAATGGCTTTTGTTAAAAACATTAAAACAGTTGTTGACTTTTGTTTTGGTCACTTGAGGTTGTTAAGGGATAATGTAAGTCACATGAGACTTGCCGGAATAACGGCGAATGAGATTCAAATAAATAAAAACACAAAAGAGTTCCATTATAAATTTATAAATTTGTAAATTATAATTACAAACAGAGTTTTTAGAGGTGGGCATGACGTGAACCCCATCACCGTAGAGAGTAGAGACTTCTCTCAGGTATTATCTGATTCCATTTTTCCTTCTAACACATCCGAATTATCATGGGCTTCTACCCAAGCCCGGCTCTGACAGAGCCATTCAATGGCAAAACCTGAGATATCTCCAATCCGGGAGATCAACAAGGAACAGCTTCTGCATCTGGCTGAGACTCTTGACCATCTGTCACAGCGAGTAAAGGGCTTTTCTGGAACTTATTCCTCAGCTGACCACAAGCAGCACTCGCATCAAGTCCTCTTGTTTGCCTCACACTGGCTGTTATCTTCCGCGACTCCAATGCAGCCGCAAACGCTAGGACCTGCACGATTTATTAATTAAAGAGAGATTAAAGACTAACTCCAGCCAAAGCATCTGTGAAACATTCAAAGAATAATTAGTTTTAGAGCAACCGTGCCTACAAAACATAGCGAGCGAATTGAGACTAAAACTTAGTGCAGCCGAAGAAGCTGAAAATCATCATTTTCCATTAGATATATACCAAAAATCTATTTAACTGTACCAAAAGCATGTAATTTATTAATCAGTTAATTGTAATTTCATTGAGTTTTTTTATCCAAAACTGACCAAACCAAACCAAAAACGGAATGCCCTTTGACTAATGGTTATTAAACATACCGCTTTCTTGTAAGGTCGCTTGTACTCTGATCCTTCAATTGGGTTGTAAGGTATCAGATTTACATGATAAGTTTTACCCCATTCACGGAGTAGCTCTGCGAGTTCCACCGCGTGCTCAACTGAATCATTGACTCCAGCTACATCATCATTTATCAAACTTACTGTTAATGTAAATGTTATAATAAGGGAGCCGAACATAAATTTTAAGTCTCACAAACCTACCTAGAAGGGCATATTCAAAGGAGACTCGTCTATTTGTTTCTTGGAAGTAATCACGACAATCCTTCATAATTGCTTCCAGCGGATAAGCCTTGGCACTTGGCACAATTTTCTCCCGGAGACTCTGGTTTGGAGCATGTAAGCTGATTTGCCACAAGAAAAGCTCAAGATTGAGTAATAATATAAAAATCTGGCAATCGAACGGCAATCGATAATTTTGAACAACACATGAATACAACCAGAAGGTGAGGAAACACCTGACAGCTAAGGTCGACTGAAGCTTATGAGAGGCAAGCTTCTTGATAGTGTTCGGAACACCAACTGTCGATATTGTAATCATTCGTTGCCCGATCTCAATGTCCTAAGTAGAGGAAAAGCATACCAAGAGTGACTGCTATGTCTCTTATTATTTTCAAATTCTACAACTTAATATTTGCGCATAGACATAAATCGTCTATTCCAACATCACTTGTTCCTACTTTCCAATTTACAATCATATACATGCATCAAACATGATTTTTATGGTCAATTTATCATGTCCTGGCTTGTCAATTTATTTACAGTGCATAGACACGTAGCAAAAACATCATTCATTTCTACACAGAACCATGTAAAAATGGAAAATGGCAACTGTTACCTTATTCATACAACGATGGGCATCAAGAACTGATTTTAGGTTCAACATCGGCTCACCCATTCCCATGAAAACCACATTTGTCACTCTGTGCTTGAACACATCCTCAATAGCCAACACCTATACATTTAAAATTACACTTGAATACACAATCCACATTTACATTTTACTATGAATTCTTCTTCCAGGTCCTAAGTGGGATCAAACACCTGTTGATAAACGCTGCTTTATGCGTTTCTATTATGTCAAACAACATAAAGTACAATGATGGTGGTCTTCAAAATATTGCGTCTCTACCTAAGATCTTATCCTAAGTGTTCTATCTTGGAACAAAATCACCAATTCATAAACTGTATCATGCTCTCTCTTTTTACTATCATTCCATGATTACTTTGAATATATATTTCATTTCACCTAATCTATAAGCTGCAGAAAAAACTAAACCTGTTCAATAATTTCATGTCTCTGAAGATTTCTTGAGAACCCTCCTTTTCCTGTGGCACAAAACGAGCAACGCAGCGGACATCCAACCTAAAGCAGAACTTCAGGACATCAGTTTGAAACTCAATTATGCAAAGCCCCCAAAAAAACAAATCTCTACAACAAGAAATTCATATTCACCTGGGAGGAGACACAGGCAGTGAGGCGCGTTATGCCCTTTTCTTCTTCCTGGACTGGTATACCGACAGTTTCGACCAATAGGCTATCTTCAAGCTTTAGCAGCAGCTGTAAGATTAAACAACAAAAGACAAAACATTAGAAAACCGTAAACACTAATTAAACACAACTGCAGCAAGAAATCTCAAAAATTTACCAAAGTTGTTGATTAGTAGAAATACCTTAATGGTACCATCAGTTGCAGTGACAGTTTGGTAAATGGGTGATCTTCCCACCTTAAATCCACCTTCCACAAGCTCATTTCGAAACGTTTTTGGCACTTCATGAAATTGAACATTGGTTAAATCATTAGCACAAAATGTCAAGGAAGAAACCCAGAAATGTATGATTAAAAAAAAAATTGCTCACAATTGCTAAAATCTTCAACTTCTTTAACCTTCCTCTTGTAGATGAGATGATGTAGCTGTTTTCCTCTGTATCCTTCCTGCAAAATTCAACCGCAAAATCAGAAATTTTTTCTCAGCTTAAACAAACCCAGATTCCTTCATATTCATCTCCTAATTTGAAATAATCGGATCCTTACTTGACCGAGTTTGATAGCGAGCTGTTGAAGCTCCGGCTCCGACATTCCGAGAAGAACCTGCGAGTCCACATGTGGAGTACGCGCCGGTTTCGCAGACGGTACGGCGGCTGTGGCGGTGGAGATTGCGGCGGCGGCGGTGGCGAGTGAGTGACGCCTCACCACCATACGCGAGATGGGTACAGAGAAGACGAGGTTTTGAAGCATAGCCATGGTATTAGTGGTCGTCATCATAGCTCGACGATCACTCACAGTGAAGTAAAACCCTTTCGTTCTGCGGCTAAAACCTCTCTGCAACTAATAAATACAGTCGAGTTTGTTTTTGGCTCGTTAAGCGGATAAGCCGAAAAAACGTCACGCAGTTCGACTGTTAAAACACGAACCGGCACGCGTTCTTCAATTTATAATGTCTGACTATTTCCTCTCTTCACTAAACCGTAATTGGAAAAACTGGACCGATTAAACCAACTCATACACTACGTTATCACGGATTTGTGTTTGTTATTTGCATCACTGGTTAACTTCTCTAGCAATTTAACTCGCATCATTGAAAAACTTTCGTTTCTAAAACTGGAGATATAGGAAAATCTCTACATCAAATGTTTTCAGGAACAAAAATACAAACAGTAGTTACAACACAAGAAGAAAAGATTGCCAATACTTCACTCGATACCACAGCACACGAGGAAGCCTAAAGGCTAAACACATGTTCTCTAATGTATCAATTAATAATTATCAGTCTCGACCTGCCCGGTTTGTCCATAACCGTATCCGATCCGTCCAAAACCGATTTTTGCAATATCCTTCACCGAATTAACCATCTTGACCAGTGTTCCGAATCTCAGAACGGTTTACTCCCGGTGCCTGGCAAAAGGATATTGTTTAAACCGTTTTTCTGGTAACTTAGCTCCATTTCTTAAACCCAGCTTCTTGGTATCCTTAACCGGATCGGTCTGAGTCGGTTTTCCCAAGTTGTCCTGAAGTTGCTGCAAGGCACGGACCACTTGGTCCATGGTCGGGCGCGACTTGGGTTCAACCGAGAGACACTGAACTGCAATGCTGGCCAATCTCACTGCCTCCTCGGGTAGATACTGAGTGTCTAGCCGAGTATCCACGATTTGAAGAACCTTGCGTTTGCTTGTGAGGTGTGGTCGCGCCCATACGACAAGGTTTTCTTCTTTAGCTGGCCTGTTATGGTCCAACGCTTGTTTACCCGTTAAAATCTCTAAAAGCACAACTCCGAAACTGTACACATCGCTTCTCGTGTTTAAGTGACCTGAAATGATATAAGAATGGGAAAATTAAACAAGGATTCAAAACCATTGGTAGAAAATTGATCAAGCTAATCATTGGTGGCAATTTATACCTGATGACATATACTCGGGAGCGGCATAGCCATATGTACCCATAACTCTTGTACTAACATAGCTTAGATCACCCATTGGACCGTCCCTAGCTAGACCAAAGTCGGAAAGTTTTCCATTATAGTCCTGTTAATGGAAACAAAAGTCATTCAGTAAAAGTCCTTCAAAGAAAAGTGAATCATCTAAATTCTTTGAAGATGTTTTTTCTCTGCTTTACCCCATCAAGCAAAATGTTGGAGGCTTTAATGTCTCGGTATATCACTTTGACGGGGTCGCTGTGAAGAAAAGCAAGCCCCTTTGCTGCATCAAGCGCAACTTTGATCCGTAGAAACCATGGTAGTGGCTTAAAATATGTACCTCCTGCTTCAAAAACCACTTCCATCAGAACAAAAGAAAAGACAACACCAAAACAAGCTCTATAACATTTCATCAAAACATAAATAAAAAACAGAGATTTTGAATCAAGAAGAGATGATTCAGGGGACTCACTTCTGAATAGATGATTCTCAAGACTTCCTTTTTGCATAAACTCGTAGACAAGAAGGTGGTGTTCATCCTCTAAGCAATAACCGACCAGTTTCACTAGATTCGGGTGACTCAATTGCCCCAAGTAATTGATCTCTGTCTATCTCAGAACAGAACACAACAAATTACACAAAAACACACAAGCACACAGACACATAACTGGAAGTTTGAAGAAATGAACACTGACCAGCCATTCACGGTGACCTTGATAACCTTCTTGGTTAAGTTTTTTAACGGCGATGACTAAACCGGTTCCGGGTCTAGTCGGAGTGAGATTGGTCTCATCTAACCAGCCTTTGAAGACACAACCGAATCCACCTTCGCCGATCACACTGTCCGGTCTGAAGTTTCTGGTGGCGAGTTTTAGCTCGTTGAAGCTGAAGCTTTTGACCGGCGTCGAGTCAAGTATCTCCCCTTCCGTCTTCTGAGCCGCCGCAACAGTCGACGAAGATTTCCGGCTCGAGAGGCTTGGACCGTACAGATCGCTGCTCTTACCTACACAGAGACATACATAAGTTAACCAATTTCAAAGTTGGAGTATAATCAAAATCGGAAAATTTCCCTCCTTTTTTCTGTCAAATACATGAATCGTGGAAATTAAAACGAGAATTTAGCAAACCCTATAAAAACAGAGCGATGAAAAAATTCCAGATTTTCCTGGGAATAAAAAAAAAGCATATTGTTGCAGAGATGGTACCACAGTGAAAATGGTTTTCGGCCTTGACCCGAGAACTGAAGCAAGAACCCATCAGTCCAGAACAGAAGAGGTTTCGTTTTTCCCCTTTTTGATTCTTGATCGTTCTTATTCAGCTGCTTGCGCTGGATATGGTTTGTAAGCAGAAGATAAGAGAAATTATAGAAATTTTCGACCCGCAAGGCGAAAGAAAAAGATGATAATAATGAGAGAGGGAGAGAGAGAGAAGATGTGAACAGAGATCGCAGAGCGAAGAAGATGAAGATGAAGAACTGAGAGGCACGAGATGATGACCGAAGAAATAATGGTCTCTTTGTCTTTGTGTATTGTGTGAGAAAGTCAAACAAATGGACACACACAAAAGTATAGTTTGGCCAAATAGAAAAAAAAGTCGTTGGATTCTATTTGATCAAAATGATATGGACCCATTTTTAAAAAAGTCTTACGAAATCTTTTGGCAATATCCTAAAGATTTTCGTTCTTTTTCAGAAATTTGAAAAGCGAAATTATCAGTGGAATTACTGGTTTTGTACCAAGCCTAGTTACTTTTAGGTGCTGTTTTGTTACCGTCCTAATCTGAACGATTACTATTAACGGGAGGACAAACAAACAGAGAAACACGACGATTTATTTGTTGTCGTAACAAAATATATGTTTTGATCTCTCGACGTTGATGTGTTTATGAAAATAGAAAATACGTAAACATCTCTTCTTTTTTAGACAGTTACATCATTCAGAAATTTTCTTTTGGTTTTGTAATTTATCATGTTTTCCTATATCGGTAAAAAATCACAGTTTTACTTTTAAGAAATAAGAACACTAGTAACAAGTCACATGATTAAATGGAACTCGTTATTTAGTATGTTGTTAACAATAACTTGTTTGTAATGCAGTTTGAGGCATAGAGTGATAAATTTAAGTTTGCGATATCCAACCACGGTAGATCTCTGAACTTTTATTTTGCAAGTTACAAAAAAAGAGCTAAATGATTGTTTTTTGGCGCCACTCATCTGAAGACTCAAAGTACAAACCTATGTTAATATTTGCACATTGAATTTGTACTGAAGAACTAATTAACCACTAGAATAAATTCGTAGTTCAGTGTTATAAATCCAATCACCAAACAGCATTATGGAAAATCGAGATGTCATGTACGGAAGTAATTGAACTCGTTATATATATTCTAGATACAAAAAAATTTACACACAAAATAGTAATTGACTAAAGTTTCAAATTTGTTCCTTTTCTCTCTATATACAGATATGAATACAAAATGATATGAAAAGGTCATCATCATGTATTAAAGTGATTATGATTTATGAGTCGCGTATTGTTTTGGACGTCGCTGTCTGTTTGGTATTACTTAGACTTTTTGTAAAACATCGATCAAAATCCATATTCTTTTTCTTAAGACAATTATTTTCTCTAAATATTTTTTGGGATTGGACAATCTTGACGTACGGATGTACTTCTTGGTCTTGCCGTTTCTTCCACACATTGCCAAAACCTTTTTTGCTTAAAATATTAACCATTTGTTCCGGCTATAATGTCTATAAGTCAATATATAACCCTATCTTAATAAAATAATCTTCCGTGTTAGCTGAATAAAAACGTTAAAGCCGCCTTAACTTCGTCCCAAGCCAAACCTTTGATTTCTCGATTGTCCGCTACGCTCCAACTCAGCATCGCTCTGTTTGACACTTAACTTCGTCCTAAAGCACGCTTATTGATTGTTGTGTCCAAACTCTTGTTCAGCTTTTTTTTTTTTTGCTAGATTCATATGTCATCTATTTCTCTTCTTTGAGAGAGATAACAACTCCTCGACCCGTGATAAAGGTTCTCCAATATCGAACCCGAACGCATCTAGCCCAACAAGTGTCTCTTGGTATGAGGCTAGATTGCTTGTGCAAACCATATTTTTCTCTAATTCCTCTGACATATGGAGATAAGCTTGCATAGAAAGCTAACTTTGATCCATCTCCATAGTCGGCATGAACCCTAAAATTGAAAGACAGCACACTTTCTTAATAAAGGATTTGGGATAAATATTCTTCTTCTAGTTTTTTTTTTTTTCAAAAATGACAAGAATATTCGATTTTTTTTATATACGTATCGGTAAAAAAATCTGAAAATGTAAAGGGCACTAGTTAAAAATTTTGGTATTAATTATAAAAAAATCGTCCGTGTAATCAGCTTAATAAAAACGTTAAAGCCGCCTTAACTTCGTCCCCAAGCCAAACCTTTGATTTCTCGGTTGTCCGCTCCACCTCCTTTCCATTTTTACCTATTTACCCTTTTAGCATTGCTCTGTTACAAACAAACAAAAAAAAAGTTACGTTATTTCGTTAGTTTTTTCTTGGTTAAAATAAAATCCTACCAAACGAATATTAGCCTAGACTCTGTCCTAGTTCATTTTTTCTGTTTTTGCAATTTTGCGGTTCGTTACAACTTGAAAAAACGAGCTCAAATAAGTATTATCATAAACTTTTAAGGGTATTTTTGTCATTTACAGATGACTATTATATTAACCCACCTTCGCTTCATCTTCCTGGATTTTTCTCTCCTGTACAACCTTCAAGCTCTCTTTCTCTTTCTCTTTCTCTTTCTCTTTCTCATTTGTATATATAATCACACAATACTCGTGAAAGAGGACGAAACGCGTTTTTGCACGGAATCAATCCAATCTTCAATTTCATGGAAATGAATCGTTCAGTGTGTTTAAATTTCGCCTAAGTTCTCAGGATTTTTTTTTTATTTTTTTTGGTTTCTCTTGAATCGTTTGAGTTTGATACCGAGAGATAAATATAATCATCGACGGTGAGATTTGGGAGCAACAATGGGGATGGACTTGAGGGTTGTTCCGGCGGAGGAATGGTGGGACCGAGGGAGCCACGACGGTGAACGTGACCTAGGTCTAATGGTTACAGATTTCCTGGAGACGGGCGGTGGTGGGAGCGGTGGCGCTGCTCCTGGTGATTCCTGGTGCAGCAGCGACAGCGATTCTGGATTTCCCGATCCTTCTTACCTTTCCGATAAGATTCAGGTACCCATCATCACAAATTTTGATTAATCTTGAATTTCTACCGTGTTCCTGTATGAATTGGGATAATTAATTGATGATGATTCTCTATGATCATCGTTTCCTACCTTATTTGTTGATTGCTGTGACTAGTAGTTGGATGTTGTAGAACGGGGCTAGAGAATAGACATAGGAGATTGAATATAGAGAACAAGGTCTATTTAAGAGAGTTGTAGATGGCTAATTTTGAGTGATTGTGTCTGGTTTTGGTTCTTGATCAATGAACACAAAATCCAAGTATGTTCTTGTTTGCTACTCGGTATAAAAAGTATTTCAGAGATTATCATGGATTTGTTAGAGTATATAGTATCTTTTTGTTTGTATATAGTTGCTATTTGATGTTTTGAAGAATACTTTATATCACATTTCAATAGTTGAGACAGTTTTTATTTGGTTTCTAAGATGGATAGCACTTTTATATAGACTATTGTGGCCAATATGTTCTCATGCTATGCCTTCTGAACAAGTATTTTGTAGGAAGCATTCTTTATATCACATTTTGAGACCAGTTTTTTTTTTCGGTTTCTAAAAAAGGTTGCGAAGACCACTTTATTAAACTAGATTATCTGTTTGTACCTGCAGTTTCTGAAGTACTCTATGCCTCAGCACGAAACCGAGGTTCTCTCGGCGGTTCGTTCCCTGATGCTTACTATTAAAGAGAAAGATCTTCACTCTGTTAAATCCGGTACATGTAACGTCAGTTGCATCAGGTTTTATCTCGCAAAGCTCTTAAGACTTTCTGGATATGATGCTGCTGTTTGTTCAGCAAGATGGCAAGGCGGTGGCAAAGTTCCTGGTGGTAAGTTTTCGCCTCTAAATTCCGACTTATACAGGTATTTTGCATATAAAATTCTTGAAGACTGATATCATGTTTTTGAAATTGCAGGAGACAATGAATACATAGATATCATATTGAGTGACACTGTTGTTGGCCAAGACGACCGTTTGATTGTCGACATTGATTTCAGAAGTCACTTTGAAATCGCAAGAGCCGTGGATTCTTACCAACGGATAATGGAATCACTCCCAGTGGTCTATGTAGGAACGGTTGCAAGACTAAACCAGTTCCTACAAGTAATGGTTGATGCAGCTAAATTCTCCTTAAAGCAGAACTCAATGCCGTTGCCTCCATGGAGATCGCTGAACTACCTGCAATCCAAATGGCATTCGCCTCACAAGAGGCATCTCGGACCGATCAGTCAAGAAGGTCTCGGAATGTTCTCACCGGGATTGCACAGACAGTGTGCTGAGAATTTAAAGAGGCTTCAGTTTGCTCTCCACGCTGAACAAGAGGCCGAGAGATTCATGAGAAGAAGAGTGGTTTTAGCCGCAGGATCAAACCCGAGAGAATGAGAATCCATGGGGCTCCTGCTACTTGAATAGTTTGTACAGAGGTTTTTTGGGGCATCAAGAAGCCAAAGAATTTTGCTCTGTTGAGTTTTTTCTGAGTATAATATTTTTTTTTTGCGGCTGAGTGTTTTATCTCTATATAATTATTTTAAGAAATAATTGAAAAAAACGAACTTTACGTTATGTTATTACAAATAACAAGAGATAATTAAATAAAAAAGATGTACAACGGTCTTTCAAAATGATTGAAGAGAATATTGAAAGTATTTTGTTTTCTACAGTACATGACTTCTCATTTCCGTCTCATTTCCGGTTCAGTCGATGATTCAAGATACATATGTATTATCTTTTATGGAGACAATTTAATGGTAGAGACTAGAGACCCATGATCATATTATATACCTAGGATTATCTGATACATCATACATGTAGGCGGTCCAGATAGGATTCCTCCTGACATTGTTAAACTAGCTAAGAGTGTTGTTTGGCGAATCCAATGACACATTACTGTTTTGATTTACCAGTTTCGGTGCATTATATGTGGCTCACAAAGACATTTTGATGGCTCATGGAAAGTAACTAATTTGTTTTTGAACTAATTTGTTTTTAAACAACGGTCTAAACTCTATAGTAACCAATCTTGTCCAGATAATTTCTCATCCACATTATATAGTAGAACATATTACATATCCAGTTATACTTTTTCTTTCTATTTTCATTAATCATATTTCGTACAAATTGATAAAATAGGACTTAATACATATGTATGTATATATACATAAATCTGCCTCATCCAAAATATTTTATTATTTAATATTGTTTTCAATAATTCATGAACTAATAATATATGTATATACATATGATCTTCCTCTTCTACTGAAGCCAACTTTATTTTGTACATATATTTGTATTCTATATTCAATGTTGCACGATTTCTTTCCCGGTTCTTCTATATAACATCACATTTCAGATTCTTACATAGAATAAAACTCCACGTGCTAATCATCTACATCTGACTGTACTACTAATAATTGTGATATCATCAGAAAATTAATAACACTGAATTTTATAGAAAAAAATCGTTCTAGAATCCACAACTTCAAATAAATGGAGATTGATCAGCATTAGTATAAATACATACATATCCTTAGCCTAATGTTATAATTAATCCAAACGCTTTCTTCCAAGTTCCAACCAAAGCAATGGCCAAAACGCCACCGTTCTTTACTCCCCCTTCCCTCCTCCTAGTCTCCGCCGTGATCTTCCAACTCTCAGCCGTGACTTCCGCCGTAGGTATCAACTATGGAACATTAGGGAACCTTCCACCGCCGCAACAAGTGGTGGACTTCATCAAGACAAAGACCATTTTCGACAGTGTCAAGATCTTTGACGCGAATCCAGACATCCTCCGAGCCCTAGCAGGCAGTGGAATCCACGTCACCATTACGGTCCCTAACGGTAACATTCCAGCGTTGGCCAACCTTGAAAATGCACGTCAATGGGTCGCTGCCAATGTGTTGCCGTTTCATCAGACCACGATCAAATACATTTGTGTTGGGAACGAGATTCTTCTCACTAAAGACATGAACTTGATCTCAAATCTTGTACCGGCGATGCAAAGTCTTACCGAAGCTTTGAAAGCTTCCGGTCTCACAGATACAAAGGTCAGTTTTTAAATCACCATGATATCTACCATATATTAGATGTCAAATATTATACTAATTATACTAGATATGAAATAAATAGTGTGTTATTTGTTATTATTATAAACAAGATGTACATGAGTTTTATTATTGTAGATTGATAAAGTACTAATGTTAAAACATTACGCATGCATGGAATTTGTTTCTAGGTTACAACTCCACATGCGTTTACCGTAGGCTATAACCAAAATGCACCAAGCGAGAGCAGGTTCAACGACGATCAAAAGGACTTTTTTGCTAAGGTCTTGGAGTTCCACCGTCAGGCCAAGTCCCCATTCATGATCAGCGCTTACCCTTATTTCATGGTGGACCCGAACAATGTCAATTTCGCAATATTTGGTCCCTCGTCACATGGTCTAATGGATACTCACACACAACACACATACAACAACATGTTCGATGCAATCATGGATGCAACTTACTCAGCTATGAGTGCTCTAGGCTATGGTGATGTAGATATCTCCGTAGGGGAAACTGGTTGGCCTAGCGTTTGCGACGCACCATGGTGCACGCCTGAAAACGCTGCAAACTACAACCGCAACATTATCAAGCGTGCACAGAACATAGGGACACCTCTTATGCCTAACCGCCACATCGATATCTTCATATTCGCATTGTTCAATGAGGATGGTAAACCCGGTCCAAACGTCGAGAAACATTGGGGGCTATTCAAACCGGATTTTTCTCCGGTTTATGATGCTGGTGTCTTACGAGGCGGTACTGGAGGTACTCCACCAATAATTAGCCACAAAGGAAAATGGTGCGTGGCCAAACAAGAGGCGACAAACGCACAGCTACAAGCTAATATTGATTGGGTGTGTAGCCAAGGTATCGACTGTAAGACAATCTCACCTGGTGGAACATGTTTTGACAACAACAACATGAAGACACGTGCCTCATTTGTTATGAACGTTTATTACCAGAGCAAAGGTTGCTCGGAAGACGCTTGTAATTTCAGCGGAAGTGGCATGGTCACTAGTAACGATCCAAGCACTAGCTCATGCGTCGTCGTAGCAAATGGATCACACATGGGAAATAGTATAGAACCACCGAGAAAGTTGCCTAAATGGTGTGTGCCAAAGGAAGGCACATCAGATGCACAGCTTCAAGCAAACATTGATTGGTTGTGCGATCATCCACAATCATTTGTGCTTTGTAAGCCAATCTTCCCTGGCCCTGATGGGTCTTGTTTCCGAGAAACGTTGAGGACGCGAGCCACGTTCGTCATGAGCTATTATTTTATGAGCAGAGGTGTCTCTTGGGAGGCTTGTAATAACTTCAACGGTAGTGGCATCATCACTTATACCAACCCAAGCACTGTATCGTGTTTCATAAATGCCATACCCTAATGTTCTGAGAATTTCTTGTCAGATTTTGAGTTAAATTTTTCAGAATGTTAAGAAAAAAAAATATCTTTTCTTATTTTTGAAAATACTAAAGTTGTTAGTCTTACAAAATAAAAACAGCTATATTGTTATGATTAGGTTCATATCTTGTATATTTGTTAGCGAATAAAACTGTCATAAAATTACAGTTTAACTTCGTTTTTCCTTTTTTTTTTGATCGAGTTTCTTCGTTTTTCCTTGTTATGATTCTTTACCATGTACATTGTATGCGTAAATATGGATGATATTTGTTTCGATAATGGACAATAATTTTCGATTAGTCAAAGTAAAATGTTCCGGTTTAGTATCCGGTTTATTACTAACAGTTAATTAGAAATATTTGTAGTTCGATAGATTTTGGACAGAGGGAAACCGTTTTACGGACGTACTGTATATTCGGTTCGTGTAGAAGAACCGGCCATTGCTTAAAAAGTGACAACATAACCGAACAAAACCGGATGTAAATGGCTCAATCACAAAAGTCAAACCGAAATGGCTGACCTTAAACTGAGCTCTCCATTTTTTTTTAGTTTTTTTGGGGGTAAAGAATTTGATCTCTGGATTTTATTAATGAAATTAGGGTTTGAATCAAATCTTACAATTATACAAATTGCCATTACACTTCACGGATTATAATCATAAAAGTTTTAGCTTTCTTGCTTATTCTTCACGGATTCATTCGATCTCTACCTCTCTCTTTCTCTCCCTTGGGAAGAAGCAAAACAGATCTAAAATCTGGGGAGCAACAATGGCGTTTCTGTTAACCGTTGCGGAACTCGGCCTCTCGCTGCTGCTGATCGTTTTCTCTGGATTTATATCCGTCGTCGTTTTTGAAGCTTGGAGAAGGAGACACAGTAACATGTACATTTGCGCCATTTCTTCGAATTTTCGATTAGCTCGCTTTCTTAGCTTTTATTACTGTATCTTATCCTGATTATCTTTGTTGGATATTCCCAGTTCTGTCGAGACCGTGACTACACTCGAGGATCCGAAATCCTTTAAACAGGTATCATCTGATTCAGTCTCGTTTCGGATTTATTTTCTGGGATTTGATGGTATTGCGTGGCAAAGAACTGACAGTAGTTAAAAAATTCAGCTGTTATAGTTAGTGGAACTGATATTCCATTGGCGATTTGAGTAGTTGATTCGTGTTTTGCTAACGTTTTAGAACGATATCTTTGACATTATGTAGGAGTTTTTTCTAACCACTAATGTTTCGAAAATTAGCTCTATTTTATTGTCTGCGAGTGCTGAAGCTTCACATCCAGCTGTTTGTAAATGTACTCTTCAAAGGAGAACAGTTTCTGTATCAAATGTTGCGTTTTTGTTTGGATAGAAGCTTTGAAACGTTGAGTGGTATAACTCTAGATTAGAAGTTCCATTATAAATCAGCGCTTGGTCTTGTCAATCATGAAGAGTTTGACGCACTTTATCAATCCCTGGAATCTAGCTTTTTTTTTTTTTTTTTTTGCTGAGATCAAGGAGTCCGTTTTCGCTTTTCCTGACCCTGTTTTTTTAAACTTTATCTTCAGATTCCCTGCCCTCGTATCTCCGACCCTGCAGAGAAGTATCTGTCATTGATAGTTCCGGCATTTAACGAAGAGCAAAGGCTTCCTGCCGCTCTTGAGGAAACAATGGAGTAAGTTTATATATTTTCACTTGTTCAGAGAGTCGCCTTTTTTTGTTCCGAATCATGTATCTGCTTCCATTTGTGAGAACTTTGTTTCTCTTGCAAAACAGCAGCACAAGTCTTATTTATGAACTCTACAGAGCCAAAATTGTAATTCGCCTGTGATTTGCAGTTACCTTCAAGACCGTGCATCAAGGGACAAGAGTTTTACTTTTGAGGTAAATATTTTTCATTCTTCTGTTTTATTTCTTTTTCAACTCAATAAAGGCTGATTCTTGGCCTAGATATATCCTTAGTTATTGTGAATATGTATGAGCTTTTCAAATTTCTTGTCCTATAAATAATTCACCTAGCTCTATCAGAAACAAGTAATGCTCACAACTGACTAGTCGCTCAATTTATCTTCATTGTATTCCTTAAACCCTATATGCATCAGTAAAGTAAGTTTTTTTTTTGTTCTCTTTCTAGGTGGTGATTGTTGATGATGGAAGTGTTGATGGAACAAAAAGAGTAGCTTTTGATTTCGTTAGAAAGTACACAGTTGACAACATAAGGTTAATACCCCTTGGGAAGAATCAAGGGAAAGGAGAAGCTATAAGAAAAGTGAGTTCAACTCGGGCAGTCGCATGCAGCTCTGTTTATTTATTCCATGTGACTGCGTAAAGAGACAGTATACTTACCATTTCATTCTAAAAAACACAAAATGATTAATCGAAGCTTTCTACTTTTTGAAAGCATTAAATAGGGAATGATGCATTCGCGTGGTGAGCTACTTCTCATGTTGGATGCTGATGGAGCAACTAAAGTAACGGACCTAGAAAAACTTGAAAATCAGGTTTGCGTAACTTTTGGCTGTTGAAATTTCGGACAATCTGAAAACTGTGTTACAAACTTCCTGATCTCATATAGCTTCTCAGATCCATGCAGTAGCCAGAGAAGAAAATTCAATCAGAGATCCAGCATCAAAGCATGTGGATTTTAGGATAGGTGATGTGCAAGTATCCGCATTTGGTTCTCGTGCTCATCTCGAGGAGAAAGCTCTTGCTACAGTTAAGTTTTGCAAACATCTGTTGTTAGAGACAGTATCATTCTTTGTCTATATACACACACATATGCATGTTATAAGTGTCTTGGATGTACTGTATGTGCTTATTGGCTTTAGTCTGTCAATTTCAGAGGAAATGGTATCGCAACTTTTTGATGAAAGGTTTCCATCTTGTGGTTCTGTTGGCTGCTGGTTCTGGAATTAGGGATACACAGGTGGGTTTTTTTTTTCCTTTCTATCTTATTTGTTGGTTCCTTCTGCAGTAAATGTAAACTGCTGAGTTTCTTCGACACTTGTTCTTGACTAATAACAATAACACTAAACATCATTTTTTTTTTCACAGTGTGGCTTCAAGATGTTTACTAGAGCTGCCGCTAGAAGACTTTTCACAAACATCCATCTGAAAAGGTATGTATAATGAATTGATGATGATGATGATGATGATGATGATGATGTGATGGCAGTAGAAACATCAATAAGAGTATACTGATCTCATCTATGCGCAGGTGGTGCTTTGATGTTGAGTTGGTATTCCTGTGCAAGCGTTTCAATATTCCAATGCTTGAGATCTCTGTGAACTGGTCTGAAATTCCCGGGTCTAAAGTCAGTCTGTTGAGCATTCCAAACATGCTTTGGGAGCTTGCTTTAATGTCTGTGGGATACAGAACAGGAATGTGGAAGATCCATCACGCATGAGACACATGGACGATATATATACATATAAGAGCATTTCCTCCTGGGAAAAAGAAAAACTCGGTCCATGCGGGTTTACTGCAGAGAGGATACAAGTTTTGATGTTTCTGATGAAGCAAAGATATAGGAAACTTGTGTTGGGTCTTCCTTTCAATAGATGTAATAATAATCTTTAACGGGATTAGAAATTATGTGATGAAGCTAAGCTACTACAGCTTATTGGTTTTATTACATTAAAGTGTTCCAATGACTATGCTTTCTCTCTTTCTACCATGAGTCTTACATCTACTTCATGCCATTGGATTAAAGTGTTCACTACCTTCAAGTACTAAAACGATCATTTCATAAGATATGTGGCCCAATTTTATAAATTATGTACAAAACCAATTAGTTTCGATAGTAAACGAGGTCAGTGGTTTTTATTTAACCGTGTTAATCTCTCCGAATGCTTATTTGATGTTTCGTTCTAGATCAAACTGCGATTTCGTTTTCCCAAATTTGAATCTGATCTGATTTTATTTTTTAGGTTGAAGAAGAATAATAATAAACAAAGGTACGAGATGATGCGGAAAATGGCGACGCTGAGGAAAACAACGTCTGTGTGGTGGGACATAAACAGCTGTCCGATTCCAAGTCTAACCGCTTGTCCAAGTCTGTGTGTGGACGACGAGGAAGACGAAACCTTCAGTGAATTTTTACTTATAAACCGCCAAAAACGTCTCGTCGCCGGAGAAATGCCAATTACCTGCAATACTCTCCTCCGTAAGCTCCGGGAATGTAAGAACCTCCGGTTTCTTCTTCAAATTCACGGCAGCTTAATCGTCTCAGGGCTTAAACCCCATAACCAGCTCGTAAACGCTTATTCTCTCTTTCAAAGACCCGACCTTTCACGCATCATCTTTAATTCAGTTCGAGACCCAGGTGTTGTCTTGTGGAATTCCATGATCAGAGGGTACACGAGAGCCGGTTTGCACAGAGAAGCTCTCGAATTCTTCGGGTACATGTCAGAGGAGATAGGTATGGATCCAGACAAGTACACTTTCACTTTCGCTTTGAAGGCTTGCGCCGGATCTATGGACTTGGAGGAAGGTTTGCGAATACATGGTTTGATTTCCGAGATGGGTTTCGAGTCTGATGTTTATATAGGCACTGCGTTAGTTGAAATGTACTGTAAAGCTGGCGACTTGATTTCTGCAAGACAAGTGTTTGATAAAATGCCTGAGAAAGATATCGTTACTTGGAACATTATGGTTTCCGGGTTGGCCCAAAATGGATCTCCCGGTGAAGCCTTGCGGTTGTTTCGCGATATGCATTTGAGTTGTGTTGACATTGATCATGTTACTCTCTACAATCTGATCCCTGCGGTTTCCAAGCTAGAGAACATCAGTGTGTGCAGATGTCTTCATGGACTTGTGTTTAGGAAAGGTTTTGCCTCTGGTTTTTCTAATGGGTTGATCGACATGTATTGCAAATGCGCTGATTTGTATGCTGCAGAATGCATTTTTGATGAAGTGTTGTGCAAGGATGACTCTTCGTGGGGCACAATGATGGCAGCTTATGCACATAATGGGTTCTTCGAGGAGGTATTGGAGTTGTTTGACCTTATGAGATACTATGATGTCAGAATGAATAAGGTTACTGCAGCAAGTGGTCTTCAAGCTGCTGGATATGTAGGGGATTTAGAGAAGGGGATTGCGATTCATGAATACGTAGTACAACAAGGAATGATTGGTGATATCTCGGTTGCAACTTCTCTTATGAGTATGTATTCCAAATGTGGTGAGTTGGAGATAGCGGAACAACTGTTCATAAATATTAAAGATAGAGATGTCGTTTCTTGGTCTGCCATGATTGCTTCGTTTGTGCAAGTAGGTCATCACGACGATGCTCTCTCTTTGTTTAGGGATATGATTAGTATACCTGTCAAGCCTAATGCTGTAACTTTGACAAGTGTGCTTCCGGCTTGTGCAGGAATAGCCGCCTCTAGATTAGGTAAGAGCATACATTGTTATGCTATAAAGGCTGATATGGAGTCTGGGTTGGCAACTGCCACAGCTATTATTTCAATGTATGCCAAAAGTGGTCTCTTTTCTCCTGCGCTCAAAGCTATTGAAAGACTGCCAATTAAAGATGCTGTAGCATTCAACGCTCTAGCACAGGGGTATATAAAGATTGGTGATGCCGGTAAAGCATTTGATGTGTACAATAACATGAAGATTCGTGGAGTGTGCCCAGACTCAGGAACCATGGTTGGTATGCTTCAAACTTGTGCACTCTGTAGTGACAGTGATCGAGGTTCTTGTGTTTACGGGCAAATCATAAAGCATGGGTTCGATTCAGAATGTCATGTGGCACATGCTTTAATCGATATGTTCACCAAATGTGAGGCCCTTGCTGCAGCAAAATCCTTATTTGAAAAATGTGGATTCAAGAAAAGTACTGTATCTTGGAATATAATGATGAACGGGTACTTACTCCACGGCCAAGCTGAAGAAGCTATTGCCGCTTTTCGTCAGATGAAGATTGAGAATTTTCAGCCAAATATAGTCACTTTTGTAAACATCTTGCACGCAACGACACAATTAGCAGCATTGAGATTAGGAATGGCGGTTCAAGCCAGTCTCATTCGGTTTGGATTTTGTTCCCACGGGCCTGTTGGAAACAGCCTAGTCGATATGTATGCGAAATGTGGAATGATCGAATCTTCCGAGAGATGCTTTACAGAGATAACAAACAGAGACATGGTTTCATGGAACACTATGCTATCCGCTTACGCAGTGAATGGTTTAGCAAGCTCTGCGGTCTCACTCTTTTTGTTTATGCAGGAAAATGAACTCAAACTAGACGCTGTTTCCTTTCTCAGTGTTCTTTCAGCTTGTAGACACGCGGGTTTAGTTAAAGAAGGAAAACAAATGTTCAAGGAAATGGAAGAGAGATACAAGATCAAAGCAGAAGTTGAGCACTACTCGTGTATGGTTGATTTATTAGGGAAGGCTGGTTTGTTTGATGAAGCTGTGGAAATTGTGAGAAGAATGAGCGTGAAAGCAAGTGTAGGAGTGTGGGGAGCTTTATTGAGTTGTTCAAGAATGCATTGTAATTTGTGGTTAAGTAATGCTGCATTGTGTCAGCTTGTTAAGCTTGAGCCACTTAATCCTTCTCATTATGGTCAAGACCGGAGATTAGGAGATGTTAATGATGGATCAAGAATCAAGAAAATTCCTGCTTGTAGTTGGATCCAAGTTTAAGATTACCCATTTTTATTTATTCTCGATCATGCAGGTTATTGTATATGATCTGAAGATGTAGGTTGCCAAACAATTTATACGAGGAGTTATTTTTTTGTAATTGGTTATATTGTGTAAGTATACAAACGTTAACACCAAGGGTCCATAGCTCAGTGGTAGAGCAATTGACTGCAGATCAATAGGTCACCGGTTCGAACCCGGTTGGGCCCTTCTATGTTTTTTTAGTTATTTTTTTTTTCCGGAAACTGATTTTAATGGGATTAATTAATGGACCGAACCAATTCGGGTTTGCATATAAATCGACCACTTAAAATCCACTCTTGTTGTGTTATAATTCGTCGTACTCTCGCATAACTTTGGTAAATTCTGTTTCGTCTCAATTTCAGTTCCTTTAGATTATTCTCCATACAACTCTCAGCTCTGTATTAATACAATATTGTTCCTTGAATTAGACTCCCAAGCGAATTTGATTGAGAATATATAGTTCGAATTGAAAATAAGCAGGTTCAGTTTCTGTTATCTTTATGATTCTTATATGTCACATGTCATGGCTCTTATCTTCTTGTTTACATATTACCAAGAGGAAATATATAGATTTAAGGTTCAAACTTTCCTGCCTGAATTTAAGAACAGGCGATCATGGTAAGGAGCAGCGTGTTGAACGATGCTCTTAAGAGCATCTCCATTAGAGTCTCTTACCTAAATTTTGGCCTAAAAACCTAGGTATTTCCTATCTTTTTTTATAGATCGCTCCTTATATAAGAGACTAAGAGACTGTCTTTTACACTAGATAGAGAGGGCTATGATTAGTTGAAAATATATTTTTAATTTAATGTTTTAATTTTTTTTTCTCTCTCCTAAAAAAAATATTAAACTATTGTTAAGAGACACATAGTTGAATAACACTGATGGAGATGCTCTAAGGATATGTGTAATGCAGAAAAGAGAGGGAAACGCCAAGTCATGATAAGACCTTGTTCCAAAGTGATCATTAAGTTTCTCACTGTCATGCAAAAGCATGGTAAAGTGTCGAGAGCTTTTTGTGGCTTAATTGCACTGTTACCTTTCAGTTTTTTAACTTCAAAACACACAAACTTTTTTTGTTTTTGTTTTTGTTTTTATAGGTTACATTGCAGAGTTTGAATATGTGGATGATCACAGATCCGGTAAGATTGTGGTTGAGCTTCATGGAAGGCTTAACAAATGCGGTGTTATCAGTCCGTGATTCATGTTGGTGTCAAGGAAATCGAAGGATAGACTGCTAAGTTACTCCCTTCAAGACAGTTGAGAGACAAACCATTATTCTAATATGATGTTTTTAATATTTGTCACAGTTTCGTTGTGATTACCATTGAAATCTTGAATAATCAATCAGTGAGACCAATCCATGTTATGAAGTCTGACAAAGTATGTGTGTATATATATATATATGATAATATGAGCAGTTTGAGTACATTATCCTAACGACATCAGCTGGAGTCATGGATCATGAAGAGGCTATGAGGAAAATTAATTGGGTAAAGTCCTTGGTTTCTTGTACTAGGGGCGAATTTTACGGGTTTCTCTTTTTTTTTCTTTTTGGTTAAAAGGATTTCTTTTCTAATTTGTAATGATGCATTACTCTTTTGTTGTTTTTGATTGGTACTTGAGAGACCCTTGTTTATTCTTATATAAAATTATTTGATTCTTTTGGTTTTGTTTCGTTGCTTGTTGGGTGGAATTTAAGCTTTGAATTTCTTTTCACTTCAAAGCTTTCGTTATTACTTATCATCAACATAGTTGACCGAGGATGTGAACTCTGATTGAGACATTACTTTTAAATCGTTATCAACATTGTTTGAACTTCTTTTTATAAAAACTTTTAATTAATTATTTTCTTCTATGAATTTTTTATAATAATAATTAAAAAAACTTTCAAAAGAACAATCAGAAAACAGAGATATCATTAAAAGTATAATTGGTAATATATTTCACTAACCTTTTAAAAACTGTCCCACATCATGTTGGTCTGAAGATTGTACTGTTACCTGATGTATCAGACTCTGACTCTGACTCTGGTTTCAGTTTTGATGTTGTTCTCAGAGATTAGTTCTCGGGATCAGTTGTTAGAGATCAGTCCTCTGAAAGATCAGAAATATGTTTTATGAAAAATATATATTTTAAGATTATGTAAACTAACGTTTCTCAACGAAAAACAAAAATCTTTTAAAAAATAATGCACAAATAATGTATCAATGGCTATGATATGGAAGTCGGGTTTGGTTTTGGTTATCCCAATTACTTAAACTGGTTGAGTTTACTCTTTTACATTATCTGTATTTCCTCGTTTTGTTGATACAAGCTTCTATTTGGAAAAGATATGCAAATCATATTTTCTTTCTTTTTTATACACTTTCTCTCTTTTTTATACACTTTCTCTCTTATTAATTTGTGTGTATATGATAATGAGTAGTTTGGGTACATTGTCCTAACGACATCAGCTGGAATCATGGATCATGAAGAGACTAGGAGGAAAAATGTTGGGGGTAAAGTCCTTGGTCTCTTCTATTCGAGGTAAATCTTTATGGGTTTTTTTTTTAAAAAAAAATATTACTCTTTGCTTGTTGAATGGAAAGAATATGAGCTTTGAATATGGATTATTTTCACTTCGAGGCTTTATTTTAAAATCATTCTGTTGACTACATATAAAATATAATACTTTTACTTAATTATTAAAGTGTGGTTCTAATATGAATTAAGAAAAATTTCAACAGAGCAGAAGTCAACGAAAATAATACTTCTTCTGTTTCATAAAGAGTGTCATTCTGACATTCTTCACACAAATTAAGAAATAAGATAAAAAGTTTTTTATACCCTTATTAATTTGCAGAAAATGACTCTTGGAATTATAGTTATAATTAATTTTTTGAATTTATTGAGGTTAAAAATAATATTTTATGTTAAAAATTACATTGGAATTCTAAAACAACATTCTTTTTGAAACAAAAAAGGGTGTCAGAACGACACTAAACAGCTCTTTATGAAACAGAGGAGTAATATGTATATGTACACTTCAACGAAAGTTTTCAAAAAACTGTAATCCCATTTTTTGGTTTTTCCAAAAACCCCCATTTACTATGTTCCCTCTTCTTAGTGTAGCTATGTATAGGGGGAAAACACAAAGAAGAGTCGTTTTCAAATTTCAATCCAGAGTGATTCCTTTCTTTCTGGCTTCTTCTTCGATCTCAATGCCTCTTTTCTCTTCTATATTTTTAGATACACTCCGATAACATCTCCATAGTTTCACAGACATTGGATATGCAGACAAAGCTTTACTCAAGTATCTCTCAGCTCTTGTCTTGAAACCATTGATCTCGCTCAATATCTCTCCAGCCTCCACCCATATGTACTCAGGAGCTACTGGCACGGCACAAGAAATCGTACTCACCAGATTCAGCCCTGCCCAGAAATGAATACCCGAGGAACCTCCTGAATCCAAATGTTTCTCGTCTTTCCTTAACATCTTACTTACAGACAAAGCCAGTGGGTAATTGCACGGAACCAACCCCAAGATTGTTTCCACAAAATCCACAAATTCCTTTTGTTTACTTAGCTTCTCGGGTACAAGAGATGGTCCGTGCCATGCTTCAAGAACCGTATTTACCACTAAGAGTTCAGATGAAACTGGAGCAAGAAGGTTAGTAACTAGCTTCCTGACTCTCGGTTTCTCAGCGCTGTTGCTGATGAATTTCCACGATAGTGGCTCTTTTACAGGTAAAGAGCTTGCTCGCTCCAAATAAGAGTTGAGTAATCTCAGTTGCAGGTTCATTGAAAATTCACCCGTTGCTTGCAACTCATTGATTAGCTGAAGCACTGCATGTTCTCTCAGACAATGCATAAAATGATCAGGAGCTGTAGCTTTTAGTGCTTGGTCAATGGCCGAGCAAGCACCGGTCCAGTTACTTTGAAGTAGATTATGGAGAGAGAGATTAAGATATCCAAACATCACATCCATCTGATCCGATGCAACGTTCAGATCTGATAAAGCTGATTCCAGTAAACTATCATCACCTTCTTCTTCATTAGCCAGTACTGTCTTATTTTTGCAGGACAATACATCCCACACAGACACATACCAACGGGACATGAGTTCCCTTGCCGAGTCGTAGCTTCCTCCTTGCAGAGCACATTCAGCGTACTGATTCCAAATCCATTGTATACCTGAAGCCTCTTTTGGTTCCTGCTTGAGAAGCTCTTCAAACCCAGGCGACAACATTTCCTTTGACTCGTTTGGTTTCATCCTAGCTGCTAACAGTTTCAGCTCTAAGCAAGCTGGGTAGAGTTCAACTGATGCCTTCACAATGTCCCTACTGTTTTCTAATTCATCAACTGCAATCAAAAATAGGGCGTGGTTCAGAGCGAATAGCCCGGCAGTTCGCTCTTGTATTCCATTTTCCAACGACCCATCGCTAGTGCAAAGTTCTTCTGGACGCATCCCTTTATCAAATAGTCTGAGAGCCACTTGCTTCAGATCGCCTACCAAATTAACTGAAGGCCATTCTATTTCTAGTAGTTCCTTATCCATCTCAAGTCGTTGGACAACAGAATCAGGCAGCTTCCTGTAAACAACTAAGTACACACAACAAATCCAGAACACACATTTGTCAGAATATGTTAAGCATGTCAGAATGTGAGACATCATTGAAAAGTCAGGGTCGTCAGAAACTGCTGCTGGAGCCTGAAGCTTGGATATTCTCTGTATTGCTTTCGAAACATTCCCAGAAATGCACAAAAGGTTGAACATCTGCAACAAAAGATCTAATATGCAAGCGCTGGCATTATTCCTGTCAATAGACCCAGATGCATGGTTGCAGAGCGCCGAGAGGGCAGCATCATATGCAATTAATTGATCGCTAAGTTGTCCTCGACTGTTGATGTACATAAGCCATATCACGTATGATCCGCTACATCGTTTGACCTGAAAAGGTAAAAAGTTAGCCCATATAAACCAGGCAGCAAAACTGTGAAGCATTCCATAGCAGGAAAAATATTTAACCACTAATTCGAATGATGTACTGAAAAAGATGAAGATATGCCCAGACATCCATACCCTATATGAATATATGCAAACATACACAAATAATCAATCAATCATAATATGCACATGTGTGGCTATGTAGATGCAGGCAATATCGCAACAGGGGATCACATACCCCATAAGAAAACATATCGATCCCATCTGATCCCATATATGCATAGTAAATCAGGAGATAAACAATCCAAAGAATCTCAGAAGTTGGATCACCTTCAAGACCACGTGAAAGAACAGAAAGGGCCTGAAAAAAGGGCCACCAGAATTAGAAAGAGAGCTAAATTTGATACAACACAGTATTGACAGGAATCAAACAACATTGCCTGAATCAAGCCTTCTGACTGGTCAACTTCCCGACAGAAAATAATAAGAGCCATTTCCACGGATCCAACAGCAGCATCTGAACCTTGTTTAAGGAGATTCTACGAATGCACCAAGCAGGTCAGTGCAAGATGGTAGTAAGAACATCAAAAAAAAAAAAAAATGCAGCATGGACCCGATCCGCAGCTAGCTATTAGCATAATTAAAGCTTAAAATAAAGAGAAAACATAGACAAACCATCATGCTATGTTTAATCCTGAAGTATGATGAGCATGTTCTTGGATTTCCTAGGACCTCAATTCGACCTTCATTTTCCCTTTCAGGTATATTCTTGTAAAGCGAGTTCGATGAGACTAGGCAGACACTAAAGTGCTTCCACCATTTTTGCCCATGTCTTTGAGCCAGAATGGACTCATAAGACCACGAATCAACCTTCATCGTATCCAAGCAGACAAGATAAGTAGGTGAAAGCACCACGTCAAAAATCTGGGATCCTCTGGAAGAGTTATGTTTCTTCTTATGTAAACTTGACCCAACATTACCATCTGCAACAGCAACAAATTAAGAATTCAAGCAAAGAGAAAATCATTTTTAGAATTCTTAGATACACATTTTCGGCCGTACCAGGAGGATTATTTAGACTTTGATGCAAACTGTCATCAGAGAAATCCTTGAAATGTTGCCAAGAACATTCATCATTATTGCACCTTCCTCGTAACTCGTACATGCAGAGAGGCCGAAAAGGGTCCATCTTCAAATTACAGGTGTAGAGGCCAATTTTTTTCTCATATAGTGGAGTTTTCGTCAAGCTACTACATTGTCTATCATCACTGTACATGCTATATGACTTGTTTTGAAGTGTATATTCTGGCCCCAGAGACGTAATGGAAGACCCAGGGACCTTTAGATGATTTATTGTGCTCCGAAATAAAGGGCCTGGCAAAGCTACGGACGATAAAAGGTCATCGTTTGGTGAAATCTTATGGGACTCCATATCCATAGATGATTGAAAATTCAGCGAATTTTCCTTGATTGCGGGCTGTGAAGCTGGTGGTTCAGAGGGACTTTCTTGGAGTTGATTGGCGCCTGACTCTGAAATTGAAAACAGGAAGACGTGTTAAAAGAAACGTAAAGCATATCGAGAGCCCACATTGGTTCAGCTATCTCGGGAAATGCTATAGGAATGCTAGCACGAGCCAACGAATTAAGCGGCAGTTAATGCATTTTGCTATCCGCAGTTTAGCTCAAGCATCTCCAAAAGTATGAGTTGAAAGTAAAATCAGGTCGCAGATGACCATGCCATTTACTTTCCGATTTTGTAAGGTGGATGCATGACACTGGACATTTCATCATAAGATAACTAAGCAAAATGCCAATCTCTTATATGTTATAAATAAACTACTTACCTCTAGAATCATCATGCTGATGTTTTTCTGAGACAGGACTACTGCCATCTCTCTGGGTTCGTTCACTTGCAACATCACTTTCATCCCCTCTATCTATCACAGTCTCTCCATTGGAACACGTGCCACCTCTAGATTCATCCCTCATACTTAAACGCTCAAATAATTTAGATCTTAGTGATGCTTCGATAAGCAAAGAATTCTGATTGCCTAGTGTTTGCTCAAGATTTTCAGCTTGACGTCCAAGGTTCCCCTCAGTAGATTCATGGTCCACTGGAAATGACTCATCATCTGCCAAATTGTTTGCATCATTTGACGGGGAGCATAGTCTACTTGCAGTTTGCTTGTTACTGCAAGGCAATCCATCCGAGGTAGCATCAAGATCACTGCACGGTTCTGAACCCAAATTATGTCCACTTCTGGAACGAGGTAGAGGATGACCGCCACCATATTCATTGTTATCTATGTGGTTGCTTTCTAGCTGAGTATGCTGAGGGTTGATCGATTTTGTTACCAAATCAATGTTTTCGGTACTATTATTATTCAAGAAGTCAAACCCAGTTCCAGGGTGCTCACGATGTGTAGAAGGCCACAGCAATCTGGTGTCCCGCACAATGAGAGATCCATAGTGAGCAGATATACTTTCTCTCTTACTGTAAAGTTCTGCACATCTGGCATTTGCCTCGATCAAAGATCTCTGTGCCTTTCTATAAACCTTGAGAGCATTTCTTTCTTCGAGTTCACATAGGCGTTTACGTTCTTGTGCTTCCTCCAACTCCCTGTCAAGAGATTCCTCTATGTTCATCAAAGATAGCATATCCAGTTGACTATGTCCAGGAGCAGTTGTATTTCCCGGGATGTTCCAGAGGCCAGAATTGTTCAAACAAGGCTAAATTGCAAGCACAAAAAAAAAAAAAAAAAGTAAGGATCATGAAATCCTACCAGCCGCCTCCAACTTGATTTTTAAGGATCTAGAAAAAAACCTGATGGTTTCCATTGACTATGTTACGCAACTGGTCACTTGACACATTGCTATCAACATTTTTCATTGTTTCCAGTTCTCTCGAAGTTATATGAGCAGGAAAATCTGGCTGGCCACATCTTACACCTTCGTAATGATTTTCTTTGCGCTGGAATAAAAGAAAATACGCTTAAATTAACAAAAACACTGGCCCAAACTTGACATAGTTTAATAGTCTAAGAAAATTATTCCAATGCTAATAAAGGAGAAAATACAAAAAGATGGTGACACGTACTGCACTATTTTGTAAGACACTTGAGCTTGTATTGCCTTCTACAATATGCTGAGAAATAACAGGCGGATCAATCTCACCACTGTTGCTACCAAGGTGTTTGCAACTAGCATTTGCATTGATACCTACAGAAAACACCACAGTCAGGTAATACCAAATGCGGGGAAAATTAAAAAATGAATTCCTTAGCCAAGATCGATTTTCTAGTGAAACAGCCATTAGTATATTAAATGTTTGCCTTTGGTCTCACCTGGCAGTATACTTTTACCGCTGCCTGGCACTTTCATTGGTGCAGCAGTAGATGCTGGCACTCCGTAATCAATAACAGGCTGACTTGTGTCACTTCCACTAATTCTTAAGCGCTTCTTAGCAGGTTCGTTTGGTTCTAGCTCTTTACCATCATCAGAAACCAAACTGAGTCTCCTTGCTGCACTGAATTTTGGGTTTACAGCATCCTTCTTTGGCTGTGCTGCCTTAAGCTTCAGCTCACTTTCCCGCCGTGCAATCTGCTGCCTCAAATCCTGAAGTTTGTTGCTATTAGGCTCCACAGTCTGTTCAGGACGACGTAAATCTTTGCTAACTTTCCTTTCAAAAGTACGAATATTTTTATTTGATTTCATTTCCTTGGCAAATGAAATGTTGGAAACTTTGGAAGTCGCAGCATGATTAAAGGTGCTAGTGGATGATGCCTTCTTTGTTATTGCTGTGTTGTCAATTTGCTTTGGTCCTTTCAATTTTGTCTGTAATAATGTAGACGCGTTTCTATTCCCAGGCATGGTTCCTTTTGGTTGAATCTTTGATGTCTGCGTCCGTCCTTTACTATCAGATTCACTACCACTATCATCATCTGAGAAGTTTATCACAAGGTTGCTGTTGTTGCCGCTTCCAGGAAATTTGTTCCCATGAATGGCAGCAATACGTACCGCTTGCCTCTTCTCAATTATCCGGCCTCCAGAGTGGGTCAGCTTCAACGGCGAGGCATCAGCAGGTTTAATTAAAGATCCAATATTTCCTGACAAGTCAGAGTAAACAAAAAAAAAAGTGAGTTAGTTGGTTTCATAGGCAACTTCAACTGAGTTCAGTTTCGAAGGACTTCAAAATGTAATCTATATTTACATTTGAAAGACAGGTTAATCACTCTGCACACGCAACATATAAACACATTACTACTTTTGTACACTGATTTACAATGTGCACTGACTTTTTCTCTAAAAGGTTAAAACTGATCAAGGTATGTGTACATCTCTAATATCCTCTATTCTAGAAATATGGCCCAGCAACAGCAGATCCTGTAGAGGAAGCAACACCAGACTAAAATACCGATCCAAAACCACTAGATAGAAAGAGATTTTCACGTGATATAAGTCTCTCTTGTTCATCAAATCCCCAGAGGATTTGAGAAACAAAATAAAGACAAATACCAATTGCCTGAAGCAGATGACACATAATATTTACCAGATTGACGCCTTTGGATATTTGTGTTTGCTGAAGGAGCTGATGCATGCTCGGTAAGAGGCGCTCTCGTGCTTGTTTGAATTGGTTGTGCCTAAAAACAAAATTCTTGAAAACTTTAGGGCTTTGAATCTGCTAATCAAATGCATTCATTTCTGGCAACAGCCGAACACGAAAGCCTTGAAATCTGATAATCGACGAAAACTACTAAGAGAAAAAAAGCCAATAGAGTCACTGAACTCGCACAACACACACCTAAATCCAAAAACCCATACAGATTGAAACAAGCGAATACGTAGATGCAAATCTAACAAAAACACATTGACAGTAAACACTATACCTATATTCACGATATTAAATCCTGCAACGAAATCTAAAAAAAAAAAAAAAGAGCTGCCCAGATTTGCAGAATATGAAAAATCATTAACAGCAGATAGAAATCAAGGAGTTAAAAAAGAGGAATAATACTTCGTCTTCGGAAGTGGAGAGCTCGCCTTCTTCTTTTCCGTTAACCGGAGCTTGCTTCGCGGTGCTTGGTGTCGTCATCTTCCTCCGTTCTCGCCAAAAAATTACCCAGCTAAAGATCTCACTTCTTCTCTCAACAGGGAAATCGAAAATTGGTTTTGCAATTGAAAGTAGGAAGACGAAGAAGAAGATTTTAGAGCTTCGTAATGATGGCAGCTCTGCTCTGGATACTGGCCGCCGATTGAACACGAGCGACGCAACGGATAACGAAGCGACTAAAAATACCCTACCATTTCGCTTCAAACGCGATTTTCTTTCAAATCTCTTTTTTCTTTCTCTATGTAATTTGTTACTCCGTTTTTCATCTTCTTTTGATTTTATCTGAATAAAAACTTACGATACTTGAACGTAATTAAAAAATATGCAATCGATATATACCTTGATGAAAGTAAAGAATATGACATTTAATTTAACGATTTAAGACACATACAAACAAATTCTAAAGACTTTTTACAAATTTCGTGGAAGTCTGTCCACACATATTACTTGGTTTAAATACGAAATGTCAAATTAACCAAAACACTATTTCCAATTTCGAGAAATATCTCGCATCTCCCCACTTGGTCACCAACGAAACGAAATAGTGCAGCTACATTTTCAGGTTTGCGATTCGAACCTGGCTCGGGACAACTCTACACGCCATCGGATATTCAACACACTGAGACTCCGTGTCGTGCTCTTGTAATGAGATCCTAGTCAACGCTCGTAGACGTCGTAAGATTCGATGTACCTTTGCAAAGTGAGTTACAAAGCATTCATTGCAATTGTGCTTTAATCCTTTTTTACATTTTTTTTTTCCAAATCTTTACAACGCGATTTAGCTCCATACAGAAGCAATCTTGAAACTCCGAATCATAACCTCTTGCTTTGACTCTTCATCGACCCGAAGCCGCAAGGAGAGCCTCGGTTTCTTTGAAACCTCAGAGTAGGATAAATGTTACAAATCTCATTCACTTCACTTCACCAACCCATAAGTGTCTTTGTAACTCTATCCACTATCTGATTTCTCGCACGGAGGCTAGCCAACGGAAACTCACGACTCTCATCCAAAAGAAATCTATAAACTTCCCATTGTCGATCTAAAGTCGAATGCCTCCCGATTTCAGCCTACAAGAAACACAATTCCAGTTTCTCAATAAACCACGTAAAAAAGCTTGGAAAATATATAACGTATTAATAATAACACCTACGGAGAAGATGCAGATTCCGAGTGATTTCAAGGCTAATGTAACATCGTAGAAAACTCGTGGCCTTCCTTTTCCAGATAACTCCACAGGGTTGGCTACTAGTAGCTCCGAGTCTGGTCCTCTGTTCACGATTATCACTCGCAATGGACATACCATTTCCTCTTTAAGACGAGAACAGAAGTTGGCTTGATGTTTTGGATCCGCTATTTTCTTCCCGTCCGTGCCTCGAACGAACAAATCCAAATTCCTATAGCCTTTAACCTTTGACGAGAATCTACCGTAAGCAATCTGTACAGAGGAAACAAGAGAACAAGAAACATCAGTTCTTTCAACCAAATCAGTCTTAATGCTAGAGAGAGAGAGAGAGAGAGATGAGTGTTAATGTACATGGACATCGCAGTCTTTGGAAGTCCTGAGGATATCATAGAAAAGCCCTTTTTGATCAACACAGTGAATGTGAAGCAACGTATGCGCAGGGCTTAACTGATTATCAACCGTAAGAACCGCTTTGTTAGAGCTAGAGCTAGAGCTGTTTATATCAGAAGACCCATCTGAACCAAAGAGCTCGTCGGCAGCCACAGGAGGAAGCGAAGAGAACCTTTGAACACTCTCCAGCTCAGGCCCAGCTAGCTCAAGCTCACAGATCACACCATGTTCTCCGAGCACAGCCGTTAAATGGTCACAAGTTTCTGTTTGTCTCTGCTTCGTGTGCAGGAGATCCCTTGTTGCACAACAAAGGATATTAGAGATGAAAAAAACCAAAACTTTCAAAAATGTTCTTCTCTCTCTGTTGAAACATAAAATACTCACATTGCGTCGGTGATGAAAAACATGTCCAAAACTCTTCCGTCTGGTGTTGTCATGACTTTGACCCTTTGGATCGTAAACTCTAGCTCCGTCAGGACTTTAGTAACATCTACACACACACACACAAAAAAAAACAAAATTGCTAATTAACCATTTATGTACACGAAAACCAGACAAGCAGGAAGGAGAAAGAAGAGGAACTAACCATGAAGCAATCCTTTCCTGTCGAGGCAGAAGAACTTGAGGAGATAAAGAGAAGGAGGCTTAGAGACATTGGACTGAAGACAGAAGTAGAAGGAGCCTAAGCAAGATGGGCAAGCAGATAAGAGACGATTCTTCAAGCTGTCCCAATCGATTTTAGGAGAGCTGTTATCTGGAGTGACCCAAAACACTATATAACACCATCGTCCATCTGTTGAGAAATCTGCAATCCATTTTCACAAAATCAATCATCAAATTACATTAAACTAATCACCTACAAAAACAAATCATTTTTTGCATGAGGAATTGATTTGAAAAAAAAAGAAGTAACAACAGAATTGGAATTTCGAATATTCGTGAGAATTTAAAATCTAAGGTAACCGACAAACAGAGTATATTCCCCCAAAACGAACAAAACAAAAAAAACGAATACGAAGTCAAAATTGTAAGTAAATAAGATTTAAAGTTTTCACCAGCTCTGGTAATGGAGAGACCGAATTCGAGGATGATTCGACAGAGAGTAGAACCGAGACCGGATTCATCAGGGCAATTGACGGTAACGATGGTGGGATCGCCGGAGTTTTTTCCCCGCTCGATTAAAACGGCGTCGTCATTGAGAATTCCCATTTCTCGCTAACACACCGTTCTTTCTCTTTTTTAAAGAGCCAATGAATCAATTCAATGGCTCCCAACGGAGGAAAAAAAAATCTCGGAGAAAAGGAGACGAAGGAACGACGAAAGATATGTAATAGAAATTATTTTTATTTTTGGTTTATATTGTCCGGTTGCTGAGTGGGGCCTACGTGTCTAGTCATACACACGTAAGAGGAAAAGAAAAAGCTGGGTTAGGCAATGAACACGTACCGTCTAATCTTTTTATGCAAGGAGGGTAATATCGGGATTTCAAGTTTGAACAAGCTGGTACTTGTTGTAAAAGGCGGTCCGCAGATCTTAAGGTAGATGGATAATTTAGATATTTTTATTCTTTGAGGGCTCTCGTTGATACAATAACAATAATATATCACGAAATTGTGTGATTCATACAGTAAGATGCTGATAACTATAGTTTTTTTTTTTAATTCATGAACTAGTGTTTTAGTTGAAATTGGGGGACTCTATATTTTATGGCGTGTGTAGGAGGAAATGCAAAAGTAATAGGCCGGCATATGAGATGCATGTGTTATTATGTAATTGGTTTTCATTGTTAATACGCGGGATATAGTCACGAAAATAAATGATTTATAACTGCAAAATAAAATGATGTTTTCGGAATAAAAATTGAGGAATAAATCCATTTTGTTCGAATGAAAACCATATTTTTATGAACAATTCATTTGGGATGGCGATGTTTTTTTGAAAATTTTTATATTTGTTTTTTCGTGGAAATTCACAGAATATAGGTTTGCCATTGGAGAACAACCAAATAACCAATACCAATATATATTTACGGGAAACGGAAGAATGTATATCTACAGAGCAAGCCGGCAGGTGTTTTTGACTTTTTAGGAGATTGCTCAGGACGGATCTTTAGCATCTTGTTTAAAACACTAATAACATGAGTTCATATGAGAGAGAGTTACTTCCACATCAAGGTACAAGGGTGAACAGCCATAATAGTATTGGAACGACAAGAAGTGTCTTCCCGGAAATTATATGACGCTCAAATCAGAACGAGACCACAAGATATTGGCCACATATGAAAAGATGAAAAGAGGATGATTATGAACTAATGAACCGGGTTTAAAAAGTAGTATTCGGTATGGGAAACGATTTCATAATCAGCCTAAGCTAAAAAATTGATTCATAATCAACCGGGCTAAGAAGTAGGAATGAAATGAAACTAATGAACACAGGTTCAGACCAAAAACTTTGTTACAATCCAATAGTCTTTTTTAAGTCCCAATCCACCAGCTTCTTTAGGAAACCAAAAACATGTGTTCATTCCGGATCTTGTTACACCAATTATAGAGCGTTGATAACCGATTCCAAATTTGGTTAACTTCTACTCATAATTAATATCCATTACATACTCAAAACATATCGAAATTCATATATATGAGACTACCCGGCAAAAGCTTGTAAAAATGTTGGATTGTCTATTCCTGCATGGAAAGAGGCAAATCCAAGTAAATAGAACACTTTTCGATGCATTAAGATGGGAAAAAGAACAGAGTCCAAGAATTTTAAGAAAATAAAAAGGGGTTTAAAGAAGTTCAAGTGGTATGGCGAAAAGAATTACATCTAAAAACGGGACATCAATATCAATGCTACGTAAATGTCTGATTGGTCGATGGAAGAGGCTGGATAATTGTCTATGCACATCACAAAATTTCATAATTGAAGCGGAATCACTGTCCACTGGCAATCCAATTTGGTTTTAGTGGACTCTGTGACTCTGATCTCAATCAGCCTGAAGAAGGGCAACTCTCACCTTTTGTTTTTGTGTGTGCAAAACAACTCTTACCTAACTTCACATCTTTGATCAAAACCATCCATAAATTTTATTTCCTTTATTGCTACTGGTGTTAGTCAGTTTCAAGTTCACATATAGAAGTGCTGCATATGCGTCACATGGGTTTAAGGCCTTTCAGTGCTATCCATATTTGAAGGTAAATGCAAGTTCTTGCTATTTTATAAGAGAGTAGTAAATTAAAGTTTACAAATTCGGGAATTTCTAAAAAAAGAAATGGTCAGCCGTGGCTTTCGTTAAGAGTAAACTTTCGTAATCATTTAGGCATTTTTATTAATTCATTAAATAAAATAAAAAAGAGGGGTGTTTCACTTTCACACTTTCGCTATATAACACCCATTTTTGGAATTTAGTTCATTTTCACCCTCTCCGCTTTTCTTTCATCCCCAATTTTATAAAATCTGGTTTATTCTCTGCTAAAACCCTTTGTTCTCAGAATCATAAAACAACCCTCAATATTGTAGTTTCCGATCCTTTTTGGACGATTTAGGGATTTCATTTGTGAAAAAGGCGCTCTCTTTATGTTGAATTAATGATGAACAAGAGACGTGAATCTTATCCGGAAGAAAAAAGATGAGATCTTTGAGCAGTGTGGGACTTGCTCTAAGCATAGTCTTTGGTTGTTTGCTGCTAGCTCTTCTCGCCGAGCTCTATTACTTGCTCTGGTGTAAGAAGAGGACGACAACGACGAGTCCTAATCTGCGGAATGACTATTCTACCCCTGCAACCAGAGAGCTTCTCTTCATCTTCTGTTGCAGCAACACAAACCCTTCTTCTTCTCCTTGCTCTTCTTTCTCAAACCCCAAACCCATTGAAACTCAACAGCAATGTCCTTGTCCTCATGATTTTGGGAATGTGGTGGGTCCAGGGCTCGTGCCGAGGTTTCTGTTCACAATCGTAGAGGAAACAGTGGAGGAAATGGAATCTGAAGGTGGACTTTCCACGAAAGGAAAGAGCTTGAATGATTTGTTTCTTAATATGGAAAGTGGTTCTACTCCTCCGTATCTTACTCCTCGTGCTTCTCCTTCGCTATTCACGCCTCCTTTCACTCCATTGCTAATGGAGTCTTGTAATGGCAGAAGAGAAGGGATCTCGAATTTCTCCGAGTCATCGACCGATGCTGAGTTTAACAGGTTAGTGAGATCATCGCCATTGTCATCACATTCACCATTGTCACCATCATCGTCTTCATCGCCATTGCCGAGATTCAAGTTCCTAAGAGACGCAGAGGAGAAGCTTTACAAGAGGAAAGTGATGGAGATTGCACAAGCTCAGGAACTCAAGGGCTAAATTGGTAAAAAAAACAGAGCTTTAAGAATCAGAGATTTTTGAAGGTGAAGTTTCATTGAGAATATGACAAGAAGGTGGTCCAAAAAACCGCTTAGTGCCAAATCTTGTGCAATAGAAATTAGCAAAATTTTGATTTTTGCTAATCTTTATTCTTCGAATTTTAATTGCCTTGTAAATCTAGTTTAGCGTTTCGTTTTGGCTGCAAAACGCTCCCCTAATCATCAACATATTTTTTGTCTGAATGAGTTTGGCTCGTCGTCGTCGGATTAAACGGTTGTAATTTTTCGGTGGAGAAAGAATTTGTGGATTAATCAAATCATGCTTTCAGTTTTAGCTAAAGAATAACGATGAGCATTGGATTCGTTCTTCTTTTGTTTTCTTTTTTTCTTCCTAATTGCCACACTCTTGTAGTTGACATTTAAAGATGCACGAACTAAGCATTCTACTCCCAAACCGACTTTCACATTTAAAAGGAATTAATTCTGAACTACTGTTAATATTTTATCCTGAATATAGAGTTATTAGAAAGTAAAACAAAACACGGGAAGAGAAAAAGTAAAGAATTAGTAGTATTTAATAGTTTTAAATTATTATTTTTTTAGATCATTCGCTTCGAAATGCTATAGTAAGAATATTTTTTTATGGCTTTAAACATGGACCGATAATTTGGAATAATACGATAAATGAATAGAGACAAGACTCATCAGAGACCAAGTGGGGAATCTCTTTCCTCCTCAGGATTTTGTCCTAATCTTTCAGCTTATTTGTCTGATTCTTTGTATCCAAGTGGCGTTAAGTCAACAATACAACTTACTCGTTAGCACGTGAAATTACAAAAATTACCTCTTCTAGTCACACAATTTGCGTTTATTTCTGCATTCCAATGATGAACATAGGAAATAAATCCAGTATTGTGTTTTTGTTGGTCTAAGAATACATCCATTTCATTCTTGGATTTTGGCAATATTATCTTCCCATTATCTTATTAAGAGCCAATAATCAATAAATGAATATTTCTATAAGAAACCAACAGCAAAAAATGACTTTTAGTGAACGAACTACAATATTATCTTCTTTGCAATGTTGAAATATATGTTACAATGGTTATAGAAGAATATGACTTTGAGGGCAATCTAAAAATAAACATCAGATTCCCGAGGCTTCAAGAAGTGGTAACCCTAACTCAGGGCACAGAGGACTCAAGCCCGGTTCCTCCAAGAGGCTAAAAGCCGTATAACCATAGTATGAATGATACAGATCCGGTAAAGCTCCAGGAAATTTACTGAACCCACCATACTGGACACAAAAATGCATGAGCAACAACATTAATCACATTCTTGAACCGAAGAAGTAAAACATGAATCAAGAACACTGTAACAAATTCTCTTAACAGCTCATACAACCATTATTGACTCTATAGGCTGCAACTAGAATTCTACAGTAGCTAAACTAACTATAAGCCTAGTTCGCACCCTTCAAATCTAAAAAGTGACGATGAGACATTGAAGGAGAGGTACCTTGGACTGACATGTCAGTAAAAATTGGCGCAGAGCAATTTTGTCGATGAATGCATCTGCTCCCAAGAGTTTGAGGACAGCTCCAATCCTAAACACATGTGCAAGGCCCATATCAGCAGATGAGAATAAACAGAGCCCGAGACAGCAAAAAGATGAGGGCACTTACCAGAATGCATAGCATGTGTCGCTCCGCTTGTTAGTCCTACCTTGAAACCCACCATCACTGGCTTGTCTCTAGAGCCGAGGAAAGAAAAACCATCAGATCACTCAGGAGCATTATTAAACTATAAGGGTAATATTATCAGGTAAGTTCAACAGGCAAACAAATTTAATGAAATAATACCTGTAGGCACCAGTCGAGGAGCAAAGAAGAGTCTATTACTGAACTGCCTGAATCATTTGACAACAGATCGTCTCCAATGAATCCCATCAATCGAAGGGATGCAATAGCACAGTAAGTAGCACCACCTGCATAACTAAGTTTCAGAACGTAGGTAAGCATCATAAAACGAGTAGCACATTAAACGAAAAAGCTTAATTATCTGTAGCCTCCTTATTGACTAATTCAGTAACAATTTCTAGCCAGCTCACAATAAATATGTGCTACTTACTTGGACTACACAGTGCACACGGACATAATCAAGTTGAAGGTTATAGAAGAATTGTTTTCAACTCACCATGAGATTCAGAACCAGGGATCAACCCAAAGCCACCATCATATGACTGCACAAAGAATGTTAGACAAGAATGTCTTTTTAACAAAAAAGGAAAAAACTTTGAAGGAAGTAAAATGACAAATAGCAACAGCCAGAACAGAAACAAACCTGACAGTTTAATATGTAGTTCTTAGCCATCTCCGTGTCCATTCCACTCCAGTTACCCAGCATGTCAGAAATTGCAGCTGATCCACAAACACAAACCTAGGTTAAGACTCTATTAAAAGTATGAAGACATGGTCTGTAAATCCTGTTTGGCAGCTAGTCCTTACCAGCACAATATACAAATCGAAGATCCGTCTCGCCTCCAGTATGGATAGGCATAAAGCTGTAGCAAAACGAACAAAGTAATCGTTATATGTCAGACATAGCAGACTTGTAGCACCATGCAATTCAAAACCGTGCAAACAAGATTTCCCGGAGTTGGTAAGATGCAAGTAAGGAAAGTTTGACATCCCAAAAAGACTTTAAAACTAACCAAAAGAACTACAAATGCATTAAGCTCCAAACAACTAATACCTTCCATCATCTTGTTGAAGGTTTTTCATGGACAACAATAGTGATTCGGAGTCAATGGTCGAGAGATCATAACCAATGACTTTTAGAATGGCCAATGCACAGTAAGTGCTTGCCAGGTGACTGTTGTTGTGAGTTAAATCCTGTGCAAATACTAAACGTAAAGCCCACACACATGCAAAAAACAAAGATCTATTTGAAGTAAATCCTGTAAAATAGAAAGCATATTACCCCATTCTCATCTACGGGAAACTGAGAACTCCTTGAACCAAAGAATCCGTAGAATTCTCCTGCAGCAGAAAAAGAACATCTCATAACTCAGAAATACGTTCTCACTGGTTGATTAAGATTATGCTAAAACCATTCTAGATATGTCATAAATTCGAGAAAGATACCTTTTTTAAGTGAAACTCTGTTACTAGGCAAGGCCTGGAAGGACAAAACCCAATTCGCAACGAGATCTTTGTCAACCTTCACCAACGAAATCAATAGGTTAAAATCAGAAATCGCAGATGAAAGTTACACAATTTAACGACTGATCATTAGAGAGAGAGACGAACACGGTGTCTTGCGCCAATAAAATGGAGGCCTGAGATAATGAAGTGAGCGAGTGTTAGGCGATTGATCTCCTGCGATTGGTAATGGTACGGAAGCAACTCGTACATCATCTCCAAGTACAGCAAGTGCCGATCTTTCTCGAAATTCGCCGACAACGGCGGTCGCGGAGATGATTGCGCCGTCACCTCCGGCGAAGTATCCTCTTCTTCGTCATCATCGTAGTCGTCGTCGTCTTCCTCCTCCTTAGATCGCTCCAAGTCGATTGCTCCTCCGTACACGGCGGTGTCTGACATCGCTTCTCCCTCTGTATGTGAGATCGGTCAACGAATCTCGAAACTCACTTGACTTACCTTTGCTTTTCCGAAGAGGAAAGTGACGTTTTGGATCTGTGGTTTCTGAAAGTAAAAAACAACACTGTGTGTCATTGAGGAAACGCAGAACGGCGCGCATTTTCTGAGTTGTCCATAGCACATAGAAATTTCGTTGAACAATAACAAGGAAAAAATTTCTATGTGCTATACATGTAATATTGAAGGCAATCAAATAAGATATGAAAAACGTGAGAGTTTTTTTTTTCTTTTTTTGAATTGAATGTTAAATTATAATGAAATAAAACTATTTTACATCAAATGCTTCAGGTTTTGAGAAACTAAATTTAAAAGCTTCCTATAACGTGTTCTTGAGCCAAACCAATACATAAGTTCCTTCTCATAGAGGGTCTTTGAGCGGCGTCTTTTTACTCTCCCTTTTTCTCTAGAGTTCTCTTCTCCAGCAATATCCTTCCCTCTCCGGGTGACTTGTTTTTTCCCGGAGAAGGCCCCATCTTTTCTTGTTTTTCTATTTTTCTTTTCTGGTTTGTGCTTCAGCGGCGGTTTTGTGCTCTCCTCTCCCAAGTTGGTGGCGGATCTGTGTTTTCTGAGAGATGCAGCGATAGCTCTGCTGTGGGTCGGCGGCGGTGGTGCCTGTACAGATCCCAGATCTGATGAGGACAAAATCGGGTGATGCTTTCTCAGGCTCTGCTCCATCCTCTCTCGGCTTTGCTCTCCTTCTGGTCTTTTCAGGGTGTTCCCGGCAGCTCTCTTTGGCTGTTGTAGCAGGAGGCTGCGTTTGATGCGGCGGATAGTGTTTCAAAGCTTTAATCTCCGAGATCTCACTAGTAAGACTATCTGTTTGGAGGACGCAGATGGGTTCGTGAAAGGAGTTCTCCGGAGGCGGCTGTCTTTTGGCGATGAAGCTTCCTCGACATCTGCTTCTGGCGGTGTTTGGTGTTGCTTCCGAGCGGTTCTTATTCATATTCTAAGTGTCTGCTCTTCTCTCCTGCTTTCTTTGCAAGGTTGGTGGCTCTCTCTAGATTCCAGTTTCAGGTCTTTCCGGTAACTCGTTTCTCGACGGCGGATGTGGCGGTGGCTTCTGCAGCGCCGTTTTTTTTGCTTAGGATTTCGATGTCTCTGGTTTAGTCCGGTTTATAGCTTCTTGGTTTAGTTGTTGTACTTAACCGGGCCCGTTGGGCTTTTATAATCTTTTTTAATTTTAATTCAAGAAAGTCCTTTAACAAAAAAAAAATAAGTTCCTTCTCATAGCTTTTGTCTCCTTGGATAGAGTAAAGTTGGTTTCGTATAATATTTTTTCAAAAGAATTGAATGTCAAATTATATTCAAACAAAAAAGAAACTATTTTATATCAAATGCTTCAGTTTTTTTAGAAACAAATTCAAAAGCTTTCTAAGTTGTTCTTGAGCCAAACCAATACATAAGATCTTCCTCAAATTCATATAATTTGTCTTCTCGGATAGAATTCCAGTCCAACGAGTAGCTGTTATTCATGATATCCCACTTACGTAATCGTTCATTTGGCTTATGAATTATGATAGTTTGATAGTTCCCACTTACGTAATCGTTCATTTTAACTGGTGTACGAGACATTGTGTCCAAAGGTCTCAGGTTCGAATCTAGCTCGGGAATAAATATATATTCTATTAAAACAGAAGCACATTTAGTGCTTGCATCCAAACACTCCCAAAGTTTTTTTTATAATATTTTATATTATTTTTATATTTAATTTTCGAAAATTCGTTATTAATTTAGATATTTTTAGATTTCCTAAAATCTAGGTCATCTTTAATTCAAATTTCAAATTTTTAGAAATTTAATTAAATTTAGTTACAAAAATTTTCATTCAATTTAATTTAAATTCAAAAAATCAAAAAAATTATAATTAAATTTTATTACAAAAATTTAGATAATAATTTTAATACTATAGAATTTCTTAAATACAGGAAAGATTTAATTTAAAATTTAAAATTTAAATAATATTTTTATAAAAATGCATAGTTAATAAATATTTTATCGTATTTTATCATAAACAATCAGTCTAAAATATCATATATTTGAAATTAATAAATATTTATATTATAAAATAATATGATCGAGCTGATTAGAGTTATATATATATATATATATAATTTGATACAATTAAACTAACAGGTAAGCCCGTTTATATATATATATACACATTTTTTTAATAGCACAAATAGTAAATAAATATCTTATTATATTTTTCATAATCAATTGATCCAAATATTCCATATTAGTAAATATTTATAGGGTTATACAATTATAATTATAGTTTTATACGAGTTAGTTTGTCAAAACATGTAAGATATTAAAAATGATTTAAGACAACTAAACGGATGAATTAGCAAATTCATAGATATAAAGATTGTTTACATGTAAATTTAAATTCACATAATAACAAAGTTTATAATTAACATTAGATCAATGTATACTTAATTAAAGTATACTCTTATTCTACTAATATACAAATTTTACTGTTTAAAATTAAAATATGATAACAATTTTTTGATTTAACAAAATAAATAACAAAAACAAATTATATCTAAACAAAAAAAATAAATGCAACTTATATTAGAAATAAAAAATAAAACATTCCTGTGCGGACACACAGGTTTAAAATCTAGTACAATTTGAAATAGTAAGGTTCCCTTCCCAAAAGAGGGAAAACGGCTAATTAGTACATGAACTGCAAGTTCTGGTACCGTTTAGTTCCCGAGAAATTTTGGTGTGCGAAATAATACTTCAACTCGTACATATTGGCAAATCGGTACCTGCACTCGCCTTTTTTGGCCGATCAGTACTTTGACCTTGTTTCCGTTAATCAACCCCGTCTATTTTTAAACGGGACGTGTCGAGTGCCACTGTGGCATCCACGTCACTATACCGTTTGGGCAAATGACAAAACATCGTCGTGTAGGAATTATCGAGAATTAAAAAAATTATAAGGTAAAACGACGTCGTTTAATGATTAGGAGAACAAAAAAAAAAAACAAGACGCCGTCGTTTTATGATTTGAAGAACAAAAAAAATAAACAAGACGCTGTCGTTTTCTTTGAAAACAGATAATCGGGATAGTCTTCTTCTTCATCGAGGGAAAACCTGAAATTGGGGATTAGGGTTTCACTTTCAATTCTGCAAGAAGCATTGGCCAAAATAGAAGCTGTGTAAAAATCAAAACAGAATTCGAAGTTGAGTGCTTAGGGGGAGCCCAAATTTCGTAAAAAATGAGGTAAATCAAGAGAATTAAGATTTCGATTTTACTTGTTTAGTGTTTATTGCTTTTGATTTCTTTATTAGTTTTCATTTGTTTAATGCTGAGCAATATTAAAATCGTGGTGAAGGCATTACTTTATTTCTTTTTTTTTTCAGGGGTGCTAGTGATTGTATGTTTAACATATATCATGGGGGAAAATTTGAGAAGTTAGAAGATGGGACAGTCTATTACGATGGTGGTTCTATGCAAGAGGTTATAACACCGCCTGAGACAGTTTTTCAAAACCTACCTATAAGTCTGTATCAGCGAAGAATGTGGTATAAATTGCCATTTGAAGAGTTGAGTGATCTAAAGATTTTGTGTGAAGGAATTGAGAATTTTCAAAAGATGTGTGCTGCGGCTAAGTGGACCAACGCTGTTGAGCTATATATGGAAAGTGATGAGGACACTGCAGAGAATGGCGATGGAAGACATGAAGAAAGAGATGAGGAAAGAGATTATGAAAGAGATGAGGAAAGAGATTATGAAAGAGATAATGAAAGAGATGATGAAAGAGATGATGAAAGAGATGATGAAAGAGATGATGAAAGAGATGATGAAAGAGACGATGAAAGAGATGGAGAAAGAGATGGTTCCCGAGATAGAGATGCAGAACAAAGACATGAGGAAGATCGTGTGGAAGCTGTGTTATTCACATTTGTGGATGAAGAGGAGAATGATGAATTTGGGAAACAAACTCCTCCAATGTCAGACAACGAAGAAGCAGATAACAGAAGACACTGTTATGAGAATTGGATAAGAAGAAGTGGAGAGTTGAAGATAAGTCAGGTGTTTGAAAGTGTGAAAGAGTTCCGAGAAGCAGTTTTGGAGTACGCATTGAAATGTGGTTGGAATATCAAGTATACGAAGTCAGCAGCGAAAAAGGCAGAGGCTAAATGTGGCATAGATAAATGTTCTTGGAGAATCTACTGCTCCTACGAAGAAGGAGTTTCTGGTTATATGGTTAAGACATTTCAAGAGTTGCATACCTGTTACATAGACCAGCGGTGTAAGATACTCACTGAGAGTGTGATTTGCGACATGTTTATCAATGAGCTGAGAGAAGATCCTACCTTGAAGCCGATGGTGATGCAAGAAAGGATACATGGCCGATACAATGTGGCTCCTTCACATGACCAATGTCGAAAAGCAAAAAAAAGAGCATTGACATTGATTGATGAAGAGTATGACGAACAATTCCGCAGGATAAAAGACTACAGGGATCAAATTCTAGAGTAAGCATTTGTTTCTGTAAGTAATGTAGACTACTATTTTAAATAAGTACTAAGAGCTAAATTCTGTTATTTTGATAATTCAGGACAAATAAGGACTCAACAGTGGAGGTCCGGACAGTGATTGGAGACAATGGGAAAGAAATATTTGATAGTTTCTACATGTGTTTTTCTGGTCTTCGAGATACATGGAAGAAGCATTGTCGACCAATATTTGGAATTGATGGTTGTTTTTTGAAGTCTCACACCAAAGGTCAGCTCCTTTCAAGAAAGAGGATTTGATTTCGGATTGGTATTTAACTACCAAGTGGCAGGATCAATACACTTATTCAATCGAGCCTGTCAATGGGATGAAGTTCTGGAAAGACAGTGGTGAACCAACAATTGAAGCACCTCCAAGAGAGATTACTAAGGGTAGGAAAAGAAAACCTGCAAAGAGGCTGAAATCAATTACCGAGTCTCCAACAAAAGGTAAAAAGGTATCAAACCATGGCCGCACAATCCATTGTTACCGTTGCAGCATGCCAGGACATAACTCAAGCAAATGCCCAAATGCGGGAGTCCCTTTCAAGCCGAGGAAGCCAAAGAAGTCCAAGAAAAGTGCGACATCAAACCCTGAGGTTATGACACTCGATAGTGGAGAAGGTCCATCTCAAACTCAACCTTCTCAAGTCTTGGATGATTGATCAGGTATTCTTCTTTTTTGAGTAATCTTTGTGATGACGTTAGATGAGCAAAAATTTGGATGAGTTTGAACCATTATTTTGCTATTTTTTGCAGGTAGAACTTGAATCAAGAGTAAAGGAGAATACTTTTTTGGTGTTTAGTCTCCTTGTAGTAGTTATTTGCTTTGATGTTTTGCTGTAAAACCATGACTATTTGGTGTTTTGATGTTTTGGTGTTTTTGTTGTTTTGGTTTAAAACCATGACTTTAGTCGAATTGTAGTTATTTTGGTTTGAATGTTCCAGCTGTGTTAAACTTTGGATGATCATTTTAAATTTGTCAGTCTTAATTCTGCAATTCAAAATATTTTAGAATCCAACTCAATCTTACAATATCCAACATTAATAGAAGTTTTAATCCAACAAATTACAACAAAACATCAAGATTTCTAGAATTAACTAAGCCCTAAAAAAAAGTAACCACCGATCACAACAGCTCCACACACAATCATAGTATTTATAAACCATAGCTCAGTTTTCATTGCTTCGACCTCTTTCTCATACGCACGAGCTATGGTCTTCATGGTTTTCATTTCTTTGTCAAAGCAATTGACCCTTGCTTCACAAGATCTTGTTTTGACTTCTAACTTCTGCATCATATCTTTCACCTGAAAGATTTCTTCTACCATAGCCTCATCTGTCCATTTGAACAAATGATAATTGTCCTTGCACCAGATAAAACGACATCATGAATTCATGCTCAAAAATGAAAGTTTTTCTTTACTCCTCATTCAAATAACGCTAATAAGAATGATAATCTGTGAACTGAATTTACCTTCTGCGACCGTTTTGGACAACAATAGAAAAGTCTTCCGGGATTTTTAGGTGTTCCTGAAGTTCTTATCACAGAAACTTCTCCACACCTACAAGTAATGGGCATACCTGTAAGTCCTTTGGGAACACCACAAGACATACCAACACTAAACCCTGCAGATTTGTAATACAAATTCAAATTTCTAATATGAACATGAAGAACTACATAAACAAGAGGAAATCAGAGGAAATCGCTATCCGAAGAATACAAGCGTGTATTGACAACTCCCAACTTACCTGAAATTCGTGAGGAATTGTTTGAATTCGATGATGTAGCCATTCCTTACTGATTTGTTCGACCACCGAAACCCTAGCTGTTGTTGTTTTGTTTTTCCCCAATTTCAGGTCGAGCCTCAGAGGAAGAAGAAGACTACGCTTTGTTTTGGTGATCTATTATAAAACGACGGCGTCTTGTTTTTTTTTTTTTTTTTTTGTTCTCCTAATCATTAAACGACGTCGTTTTACCTTATAATTTTTTAATTCTCGATAATTCCTACACGACGACGTTTTGTCATTTGCCCAAACGGTATAGTGACGTGGATGCCACAGTGGCACTCGACACATCCCGTTTAAAAATAGACGGGGTTGATTAACGGAAACAAGGTCAAAGTACTGATCGGCCAAAAAAGACGAGTGCAGGTACCGATTTGCCAATATGTACGAGTTGAAGTATTATTTCGCACACCAAATTTTCTCGGGTACTAAACGGTACCAGAACTTGTTCAGGTACTAATTAGCCGTTTTGTCCAGTATTTTTTTTTCATTCGACAAAAAATGACAGCGCCTCTTTAAGCAATTATGCGGAAGAAACTACGGCTCTGAACGCGGTTACGCATGTGGCCACGATTCTTCGGAGTTGACTCAATCCCTTTCAGTCTTCGTTGACTATATCAAATTACTCGAAAAATATACTCCAAATTTGTTATAATGAAGTGCTTTTTTTCAATCGTAACTTGGACGCAATTTTTCCAGTGGACTTCATTCAAATTACTGGAAAAAAAATTCTAATAATTTGTTTTTTGAATAGAAATTTGCACCTAATAATTGATAGCCGACTATAATTCCAGTATTATTGAATTAGATGGAAACACCCCTTTGAATTTTCGCCGATAAGTGTCCAAGTCAAACTTGTACTAGGAATCTATTGGTCTAGTAGATTGATATGCATACAAACTTATTACGGCGCAAAAATTACACTAATCGTAGGCTGGTGATCTTTTTTTTTTGGGTTCTATTCCATGATTATACCATTTCAATAATACATCACGACTTATATTAACATTGACCTAACCAAAAATCAACTCTTCTCGTGTCAACGTATAATTTTGGCTATAAATTAATCTAGCATGCATTGCATATGTCTCACCATTATATATCTTCATCTTACTCTGTAAAGTAAAACCCATTTTAGTTAACGGGATTATTTCTATGGCGCCACCACCTCCATCACCACCGTCCATTCTATTGAGGACGGTCCAGCTCCTCTTGAGGGTTTTGACGGCGGCTTTCCTCGTCATTACGGTGGTCCTCGTCAGCACCAACAGCGTCACTCTCGAAATTCGAGGAACGTCTATAAAAATGCATTTTCAAGATGTTTATGCTTATAGGTAAATAATGAACTTGATGTGCTTCTTTATTTTTGTTCTCTGTGATACGGAGTCCGTTTTGGTCTTGTTACAGTTTTCCTTTTTCTTAAACCAGAAAGACTTGTGGAAACAAATTTCTATCCAATTTAAGAAATGTTTCTTTTCATTTCTCTTACAATTTCTATTCATATCTTGATTCATCATTTATGAAGGTATATGCTTTCGGCTGCCGTCATTGGACTACTTTACGCCGTTGTACAACTGTTCTTGACGATATCCCAATTCGCCACAGGAATTAAACATCCTCTTAATTATCCGTTCGATTTTTACGGTGATAAGGTATTTAATTTATAATATTTGAGTGAATATTATCTCTAAATATATCGCGTGAAAGAAGAGTCATAAAAGGAAATTTTAGTAATTATGAAACAATCATATCTCCCTAACTCATATGTTAAGTGACTATGTAGTATTACATATAATCAATTATGTTTTTTAAATTATATAGTTAACTATTCAAAATTAATTTAGTATGACGATTAAAATTAATTTATATTTTTTCATAAAACATAATATTTAATAAAATATTTTACTTATTATATTTACAATTATTTTACAAACAATATAAAAAGAAGAAATAATTCATAAGCATTTTTTTATCAAGATCTCAACTTAGTCCCATAGTATATCTATGTTGTATACGCAATGAGGAGACATACACATACTGATTTGAATCAGAAAATCTTGTTAATGATTGTTAATTTTTTGGACAGATAATATCATATTTACTTGCAACGGGTTCGGCTGCTGGATTTGGAGTGAGCAAAGATTTGAAAGACACATTCTTAGCATTAATAGCATTTGATTCGACAGATCCGGTGGATAAGTTCTTCAGTAAAGGATATGCATCAGCAAGTCTTCTTCTCTTTGCTTTCGTCTCTCTTGCCGTTTTATCAGTGTTCTCATCACATGCTCTTTCCAAACGACCAATTCAAGCCTCATAAACATGGCTCATATCATTTTAAATACTTGATTCAGTCTACTACATGTCTCTTCTACCAACCGTAAAGTTTAATAAGATTATACGCTTTTGAAGATTCTTTGGTCACCTATAGCTCTCAATGCTATGTTTTGTATTACTACTTCTATAAAACAATATTTGGCGGGTTATTTAGTTATTGTATTAATATGAAATCCCAACCTCCACTCCTATATTATATTGATAATCTTCATAAAGAAAGCTCAAAATTCGTATTTTAAAACTTAGATAAATTATTAATTATAATCTGGACAGATGATCTCATATTTAGTTGCGATTCTTGTTGATAAAATTGGAGGCACTAAAGAGTAAAGCTTGAAAAGATGCATTTTTAGGATCAATGGTATCATTCAACATAGTATACATTAGACACCATTTATACATAAATATTTTGTTTTTTCACACAAAATGGTCATTTAGTTGTCTATATAATAACCAGACGATTGAAGTTTGAGATATAAACAAATTCAAGAAAAATATAGTTATGACATCCATTTGGTAAGCTAGACGTGGTGATCGAGTTTCAGCACGACTTTAATATACTACAATATGATTTATATATTCGTAATTTTTTTGTTTGACATTAACAACTAAATGGTCTTATCCCATCGAGCAAAAGTCAACTTCTATCTCTCTAGTCAGTTATAAGAAAAAAAAATGATATTTGTATTCAAACATGTCAGGCTTTTATCTTCCTCTTACTCTTTGATTACCAGTTTATAAGATGTATCATTAAATGTCCTTAATAGCTACTTATTATTCACATGGCACCACCATCTCCGTCACCACCACCGATTTCTTTCAGAGTAGTAGTCCTTTTTCTTAGGGTTTTAACTGCGGTGTTCCTCCTTATAACGGTCATCATTCTCAGCACCAACAGCATCACCATTCAATCTCAAGGAAATTCATTGAAATTTCATTTCAAAGATGTTTATGCCTATAGGTAAAACCCAACGAACCTTTTGACTTCTCTTTTCCTCCTTCTTCTGTATAATTATATTCGAGTTGGTTAGTTTGGTTAAAGAAGTTAAAAATATGTCATAAGTACAACAAAAAAAAAAGGAAAAAGAAACATGTCATGAGCCGAATAAATCTGGTGTAAGCTTTGTTTGCGCCGATTGATACGTCAGAAATCAAGTCACCAGGCGTCTTGAAAATTTGTAACTCTTTTTCATAAATTTTTCTCTTAGACTATAGGAAGTTTATTAAACCGAAGTTTCTTAACTCTTTATTGTTTTTGTTTTTGAAGATACATGTTTTCAGCGGCCATCATCGGACTAGTTTACGCCGTCATACAACTATTCTTCACAATCTCCGAACTCGCCACCAGAATAAAAAATCCGTTTAATTATCAACTCGACTTTTACGGTGACAAGGTATATAATTTTCTTCTAACCAATTTCAACATAAGTAAGTAAGAAAAAACAAATGAATGTAGTATAATTTTATTTGTATTGGACTTATCAACTCTATTAACAAACAAAGCTTGACTGAAAAATTGTTTGCTAATTAATGGAAAATTTTGATTTGGACAGATAATGTCATATCTAGTGGCAACTGGTTCAGCGGCTGGATTTGGAGTGAGCAAAGATTTGAAAGATGCAATTATAGCATTGGTGGCATTAGATTCGACTAATCCTGTGGATAAGTTCTTCAGCAGAGGATACGCATCAGCAAGTATGCTTCTCTTTGCTTTCTTCTGCCTCGCCGTTTTATCCGTGTTTTCATCCCACGCCATTGCCAAACACCAAGTTAGTTAAGTCATTTTAAAAATTCAACGTATACTCCTTTCCAATGTGATTTGTTCATATAGCCTTATCGCAATGTTATGAGCTAATGCAATTCCAATTTGAGATTGTATTTGGTATGAAAGCTCAAGTGTTGCTTTGATATAATGTAGTTCAAGAGAAGATATGGATTGATTTGTTTAAAAATACAGGATTCAATGCCAACAAATTATCGGATTGAATGACAGCTCGAACGAATAAAAATAATTAAAACTAACTTGAACCGGATATATAAGTTTTGGCTCATAACCTCTTGATTATATAAGAAAATGATTCTTATTATAATTCGAAAATTTTTATCCACATAACCCAATATGAATCTTTAGTTTTTTTTTTTATCAAAATCTATTGAATTTTAGTTACTAAAATTTGTTGTTGCAGAGCATGGGCCTCAATAATAGTTATATGAAGGGATTATGAAGTATGAACTGTGAAATTTGAAACTGAAGTTATACAAAAATGGTTATAGAAATAATGTCCTTAGCGTTCCATTGCTCTGTTATATCACGGACGTCCAAATGTTTCGACACCTGATAAGATGCCAAGATCACAAGGCCCAAATGGAAAAAAATAAATAAAACGACGTCTGAAAAGTTGTTCTTATGTAACTCGCGGGAAACACCTAGCTGTTATGTAATTGACCACATCCAAAAACTTGAAACAGATCGGAAAAGTCATCAAATCGAACAGGATATTACCAAAAAAAAAATGTTAAAAGTCAAGTGGAGCAAAGAGTGATATATTAATGGTAAAGCCTAAACCACGAAACCAACCCCGAAGAGCACACCAACACATACCTGAGATTTGACTTGGCACTATCTTATCTAATCTACCTTTTCTTTTTATATTGTATCACGCCTTTTTATTTTTCACTCTCTATGCTAAACTCTTTCTCAGAAAATGTAAGTCATACTTTCCTTTTGCTTCTTTGGTTTCATTGCCTCAAATGCTGTTAATTTAAGAAAATATGATCAAGATGGTATTCTTATGATTAGTTGTCACATTAGAAAAATTAGTTAATTTTTGCACAGGTGGTGCCGTGGTGGTAATGGCATGATGAATAAATTTTAGGCCGCACTATACCACTTGTTATGGCGGATATTCTTATATTTAAAACATTATTATTCTTCATACATTTTCTGAACTTTTTCTCATTTTAAACATGATTTAGAGTTGCATAATCTTAACTAAAAGTTTACAAACGGAAACTAACTGTGTGCTTGGATATAAAATTATTATAAATTACTTCCAGTTGCTGACGTGGATCCAATTAAGTGTTGTTGGAGAAATCTTAATCTAGCGGTTGAGTATCGGAGTCAGAGAGAGCTCTTTTTTTTGTTTTTGGTGTGCAACTGGATGTTACTAGGAATACAAGTATACAACTACAGTAGAGACTAGAGAGGCGTTTCCGTGTTACAAAGATAAAATGAATTTTAAGGGGAAACAAATATTAGGGAAGCATCGGTTTTCAAAAAATATGAGAATTTTCTTGTTCTTATTGAGTTAGTTTTTTAGGTAAGGAACTAAGGATTCTGAAATTTTAGACTACTAATTTTACTATTTTAATACATTTATAGTGACCAACCTTAATCTTAATCTAGTGGAATGACTCAAACCCTAGTTCCTTAATTTTATGTTGAAAACGTCAAACCGATAAGCAATAGATCTATCATAATTTTTTTCTCTCAGTTTTTAGATATCTTTATAAGTTATCGAATATTTTTTTGGAAAGTTGGATTTTACTAATTTGGCTGATAAATCTGAGATCTTTTCATTGGATATATATATATATATATATATATATTGAATAACAATCGTAAAGAACAAAATAAAATAAAATAGAATATGATGATATTTGTTATGAATCATCTATCAAATCAATTGTGATGCATCGACTACTTCAAAAATTCAGTTAAGCTAATTGGATGTCAACTCAGCTTGCCAAATTGGTGTATGGTGGGAGAGAGCAAAATAATCACTCCATCTTCTTCCATTTTTGTGTGTATGTTCACTGATACATATCTTCATGAAAAAAGGTTCATGATATGTATACACGATTTGACAAAAAAAAGAGAGTTATGTATACGCATGATTCAGCACAATTTAATGTTTTATAACTTGTACGTAAAGTACTGGCACACATAAAATTTCACTAACCATCATGAGTAACATGACAAATCTTATATACTGAAGTCTGAACAGATTAAAATGCAACAACAAAACGAGTGAAATTATTAAATATCTGAGTACGTTAAGAAAAAAAAAATTACACTGAAGATGGGAATATATATCGTCAGGGACGCTTCGCCACAGAATATGCATACGATATACAAATTAGGCTGTCGGGAATTAAACCCCTGGGTTTCGTCAGATATATGTATATATTCCCTTTTTATTTTTATTTTTGACCAAAATATATTCCCTTATTTTTTTAAAAAAAACTATTACCATTATTGTTCTATGTAGAGAGATATAGGTTCCAGGTGGAGAGAATCATAAAGTGCCAGAAATCCTCAACCACGACGTTGGCCAAAAGTTATTTTGTTTTCTTTTTTCCACATATGATCTGATTCGGATGCATTATGCGGTTTTCCATTTATTTAATGTGTTATGTCATATGTGGACAGTGGACATATATTCACGTATACTAATTGTTTTTCCAGCTTGATTGAAGTTATATTTAATTCGGTGGGTTCAATTATTCGTTATATCTCTCTTTTTTTGTTAAGAATAATTCGTTATATTTCTTCTTATCTTATTTCATAAAACTACGAAGACAAATCGGCATCCACTTGTGTTCCTGAGTTCCTCAACTGAATCTCGTAATCCCCATATGTTGGCTAAATATCATGCTCATTTGCTACCTTTTTTTACCGACTTCTTATATCTTTTTTTGGCATTTTTATCATTTCTTTTGGTAGGAATCAAAAATTTTTTTGGTTCATAACAATTATTGCAACTAGCTAATACAGTGACCAATAATTTATTCAGTAATTTTATTTATAGTTGTTCTACCAAAATCAATTTATCTATATGTAAGATAACTGAAAAGATAAAATACCTAAATTTATACGAAAATATCAAATTATATTTTGATAAATAAAAACATGACATGCGAATTTGGGATATTAGAGCATGTCGATAAATTGACATTTATTTATATTATGCCTTCTTCGTCTTCCACCTAAGCTGCGCAGGAAAAGCAATCGGATAACGATTAACCATGCTCATATTTTTGTAGGAAAAAAATATGTGAAGTCTATGGGATCTCCAGTGGTATTTAAAACGGTAGAACCCTTGGTTAAAAGAACCAAACCGGAAATAATTAATTAACAATTGTAGTTGATGTTACCATCATAATCACGACTATCAGTTACTTATGTATTTAATGTAAGCGCCTATATATTATGAACAAGGGATAATAACAATAGCATGTTATATTATTCTACATAGCAAGAATGGCATATATTCTCTCACTATCATACTTGCATTACTTAGTGGAATCCCTAGAATTCCTCCGAACAGAAAAGTAATATTTTAATTTCTAAATTCTCATGAAAAAAAAAAACGCTCCTATATAACCAACCCAATCCCTTCCCACATTTCTCCATCAGCTATTTCTTACATCATATTTGCTCTTTCTCACTTTATAACCAAATTTAATACTTAGAAATAATATGGCTTTAAAAACATGGAAGCCATTCCTAACTGTTGTATCTCTACAATTTGGATACGCTGGACTGTCGATCATCGCGAAATTCGCTCTGGACCGAGGCATGAGCCCTCATGTTCTAGCTGCATATCGCCATATCGTCGCTACAATACTCATGGCTCCATTTGCTTTTATCTTGGATAGGTATCGTATTTTCACTTGACGTATGTTCTTAAAATTTGGGTTATGGTCATGCATGCCTGTATGCTTTCACGTATTGTATACCTAAATGTAAGTACGTACTTGCATCATGATGTCTACGTACGTATTCTTTAGATAGAAATTAATTAGATTTCTGAACAGTTTACTTTAATTTTATTTTTTGAATGAGCAGGAAAGTGCGGCCAAAAATGACTCTGCCCATCTTCTTTAAGATATTAGTGCTTGGATTATTGGAGTAAGATTAATTTTACTACTTTTTATATATTTATTTCTAATGTTTTGAGTACGAATTTTAATCAACTTGTTTTATACATGTTTAGGCCAACACTGGATCAGAACTTATACTACACTGGTATGAAGTACACTTCAGCAACTTTCACAGCTGCAATGACCAATGTTCTTCCTGCCTTTGCCTTTCTTATGGCATGGATCTTCAGGTATTAAACACTTAGTTTAGTTTTGTTCAATGTGGTTGATAATTTTTTTTTTTTTTGGGGTCTAAATTAATAATCATTATATTCGATGTGTAGACTTGAGAAGGTTAACATCCGGAAAATACACAGCCAAGCCAAGATTATAGGGACAATTGTGACAGTTGGTGGAGCAATGCTTATGACTGTTGTGAAAGGACCCTTAATTCCTTTGCCTTGGACTAATCCTAACGAAAATCATCAAGACTCATCCAATCCCGGGGTCAAACCAGATCTTACAAAAGGCGCACTTCTCATAGCTACCGGTTGCATCTGCTGGGCCGCTTTTGTCAATCTCCAAGTAACTTCAAATTAAGACCAATATTTACATATTATTCAATATATTATAGGCGGTTAATTAATATTGTACTAATTAAACAAATTCAAATGACTCGTTATGCAGGCGATCACGCTTAAGTCCTACCCGGTAGAGCTATCATTGACAGCTTACATATGCTTAATGGGGTCTATTGAAAGCACCATCGTGGCACTTTTCATCGAAAGGGGAAATCCTGCTGCTTGGGCAATCCAACTAGATTCAAAATTATTAGCAGCTATTTATGGTGTAAGCTTAACTATACTAATATATAATTAGGGCTTGATTCCGGTCATGTACGTACAAAATCAAATTGGATGATTTTAATTAATTAATGTGATTTGATGCAGGGGGTGATATGCTCGGGGATTGGTTATTACGTTCAAGGAGTAATAATGAAAACTCGAGGACCAGTGTTTGTGACTGCCTTCAATCCATTGAGCATGGTCATTGTTGCGATCTTGGGTTCTATAATTCTTTCTGAAGTCATGTACCTTGGGAGGTACGTAAACTTTTTGAAGCTCTTGAAAATGGTTAATGAATTTTCTAAAGTTTCATTAATCAAGTATCTACGTAATGTTTGTAGGATTCTTGGAGCAATTGTGATAGTTATTGGACTCTATTCGGTTTTGTGGGGAAAAAGCAAAGACGAACCATCAAATTCGTTTGACTTGGACAAGGAACTTCCACTTAGTAATCCACAAATTTTGACATTCTCGTCGAAAGCAAACGTAGAAATGGGCACAAAGGATGCAAGTGTTGTGATCTCGAGGCCTAACACCAATTAGTCTAGAATAAACAAAGCACTAATTAACGGCGATTATAAAATATAATAAAAGAAACCAATGAGTCCGATTTCCAAATATTGGATCGGTACTGATTGGTAAAGTCAAGAGTGATGTTGTTTTTGTAATGCTAATTTTGGCTTTGTTAAATTTTGTATCTGGCTATGATATGTAAAATGTTTTGCACTACTAAAAGTACCTATTACGAATAATTAATATCTAGTGCTTAATTTTGAGTTCTTGATTTATAACATATCTTCAATATCCTGTGGGTTTCCTACGTATAATTCCAACTGCTGGCCAAGAAATCTGCAACAAATACACTTATGTAATATAAACAATTACTTTATGTTTCTTTCATTGCATACGTAATCTGCAAAAAAAGTTATTGAAAATTAATTAAATAATGCTTTAGAGCACGAGCTTGATGTAATGCGCTAGTTGGTAACGGAGCATAATGGATCAAACTATTTTTTAATTTTTTTTTATGTTGTTGAATTCGGGATGTGTTTTAGAGATTCTGTATGTTTGCGCGGTTTCTGATCGCCACATAAGAAAAGCATCTACGTGAAAAAAAAAAAAAAAAAAAAAGCATCTACGTGGGAGATAGTTTTGTACTTGATGTGACAGCATTTGTACTTTTGTTACAGAAAGGCTTCATGCTGAAGAGCATTCAGTGTATGGTGCTGTTTTGTTCGAATATTCTAAGTTAGTCATTTCAAGATCCTTTTACCATCCTACTTGACATTGGTAAAGTAAAGAGGAAATAAAATTCTTGAGAGAACAATAGAAAAATTTGTTAAATAAAATTAAAGGAAAATGGATACAGAACGTAAAAGAAATTATAAGGGTTTGAATGACTGCGAATAAAAAAAAAACCCATCCATAAAATGGTCTGTTGTTATTCTTCTGTCCGCTACACCTACAACCATTCAAAACCAAAGAAAGATGATATTATATAGAAGAATTCTGATTTAGCGTTTGATTGGTTATGTTTATGGCGTATTTTTACATAATGTCTCCATAATTCTAAAAAAAAAAATTGAAAAAGAGGAGCTAAGATATGAGAGATGGAAAAAAAAGGATATGAAAGTACAAAAAGGAAAAAGGCTGTGAGTTTTGGTCAGCTTACTAATTTTTGTTTTTTTGAGATATAATCGCATTTTCTTTTTAGAATTTAAAATTAATTATTTTTTATGTGTCTATATATATTGTATATAAAATCAAAATAATAAGTATATATGAAAACAATGAGATAAAATATCACAATTACGCTTTGGTACCGTTTGCAGATAATATATGCTTTTTTTGTCGTGCATATCATATATGCATAACAATCTTATTTCGAATAATTTGCATATACTTGACAAAGAAAAGTAAAAGAACAACTTGCATGCATCTGCTGACGTTTTGTTCATCCATAGAGAATGAACTTGGAGGACTTGCGTGAAGTTCATATTTAAAAACTTTTGGTCTATAAAGATATTATTTTTTCTTAATGGTGTCAAGTTTGAAAAATCTAGAAGCACAATGTAAATGAAGATTCGAATATATACAAAGCCTAAAATGGTTTAAAATAAAATGTACGAGCAGACAAGAACCCATATGAAATATCTTAAGCTTTTTTATAACTAAAATTTTTATTTTTGTATCGTTTTTAGTATAAGGAGTTATGATGAAAGTGTACGTACACAAAACTATAAGTCTATAAAATATCTTGACCAATGGCAGACTTTTTTTAGCCTTTTGATGTGTTGTTGTTTTAGACTTTAGAATAAGATTAGTTTTTTTTTGTCAACGTTCTAGAACTGGATGTTGAGGCGATGTCTAATGAAACGAAACCGGTCTTGTGTATTGTGGAACACAAACAATCAGCTTTTGAGTACTTCGGTCTTTGAAGTAGTTCTTTGCTCACGGTTTTAACGCCACCAAGAAGACAACGCTTCAAAACCTTCAAAATTGACTACATTAAAGCAAAATTCCAAAGGAAATATCCAAAGATCTGAATCCAAAATCCAAGATCCATGATCCTCTCATATTCTAAGCAAGAATAGGCCTATATCTTATCTCACTCTCAGTTACTAACATAAAAAAGCTCTCTTTATTAAGTTCTTGAAACTAGACTTGTACACATATTACAGAGACTAATTGCAATATGAAGATGGCAACTTCTTCTAGCAAACAACTCCAGAAATTTTGAGGAATTTGCCAAATTAGCCAGAGAAAAGAGCATGATTTTTGTGTTTGTAAAGATGAAATTTCATACAAATCGAATCATCCTCAGGCTCACAAAACAGCTACATTTCAGAGACCAAGAAATCCTCCAGCTAATATGACTGAATCACTTCTTGTCGTCTTCATCGATTGTTCCGAATTTCTGCTTGAAAGACTCTTGCTTCTGCAGCCACATCATGTGGCCCTGAGACAATTTCCATACAGAAATACGTTCGAAATCAAGATTTGAGCTAACAAAACTCGATGTAAGAATCAAACGATATAACAAATTCCTACAAAACAAAATGTGTGGTCTTATTAGAAACTGTAAAAATCTGTGGGAATCAATTCACCTGGAGACCAGCAGCCCAGGCGATGAGAAAGGAAGCGACCCAGAATCTCTTGTCCTTGACGATCGTCTTCGCATCGAAGCTCGCCATTAAACCCTTTCGTTAAGCATCGAATCGGCTTTGAGATTTTTATTTTAAGTGGATGCATCAAAACTGGGTCGGTAGGCGTCACAATTACTACAACGGCCCAAGCCCAATACTCTTTGAATAATGAAAAAGCTAAGGGGGAATTTTTTTTTTTTTTTTACTGCTTTATTGATTATTTTATAGAATAATTGAAAAAAAAAATTGAAATTGATTTAATATATGTGAGACAATCATATCTATGGTTAATTAACTGAGCAACTAAGCAAAGAGGTTTTTTTTTTTCTAAAATAAGTGTGTTGTTGATGAAAAAAAATCGTAATTTTATGTGCCATACTTCAAAAGTTTTAAGTCGTTTTGAGTGTTACAAGTAAACTAATGTCTGAGTCTATGAACATCTTCCGTCTCCATCAAAGATCAGGAAGAAGAATGCATCTTTTGGTACTGTGATTCAAGCTTCAATGCTCAAATCTTCGATTCCAACTTAATCATAATGTTGTCTCTCAACTCATTTATTTTTATGCTAAAAAAATATGTGTTCTATGGTTTTACTTTACAATGATATTTTAGGAACATATGCGTTTATATACACAAGATAAAATTAAAAAAAAAAACACTTGTCCACAGATAATTTTTTACTTGCTTGTGACCTTATAAAAATAATTACATAGAGTATACTCAATCCAAGCGATTAGTCGTTTGTTCCGTTAATATGACTTATAGTTTCCATTTCAGCCAGATTGAGTTCAAAACCATTGATAGGTCTTGCATTTTTTGCATATTCATCGTGGAAATAGATGAACGTCCTCCCAAGCACCAAAACATCAATACATGTATTGTAGAGCCTATCATGTGATTACATTAAGAACAAGAATAATTCATTTGTTAACTAGAAGCTAGAGTAGCCAACTCATGAAGTTATCCTTCAAACCTTTACATATAGTTAGTTCATTTGATTGCTTATCCTATTGATTGCTTGAATTACGATTGCATAATTGCTTTCTTTTCATAAAACTTGTTTAATCTAGTTATTTATTTGGTTTTACTATGGATTGATAGCCCACAAACAATCCATTTTATCACTTCAACTTAATTCATAATCTCATAACTAAATCAAACTAGTCATATTACATACATAATAAATGTGCATTAATAGGTCAATAAATTGATAGCTCAGTTAGAGAAAATTGAGAAGGAGACACTTGGATGCGTTCTCAGACCTCGTCACAGTGAGAGTCATGGTCAGAGTGGGGATACTTTTATACTGCTGTTTATGTGAAATCAGATCCATTGGTGAGTTTGTTCTATTCTCATGTTTTAACTCTGGTTTACGAGATTTTTTGTTCTATACCTATTTCCTAACTCTGATTTATTGTTTTTCTTATATCGCATTTTGTGAAAATGTAAGATGACAACGAAAATCTCATAATTATAGATCATGAAAATTATGTCAAACCTAAAGATATATTAACAAGTACTTTGGGGCTGATCTAAATGTAAATAGCAGACAACGCAGAAGCAGGGTAGTGAGGGATGTAGGCGAAGTGTGGTTTAACTACATGCCTGCTGTAGTGAACCATCATCAGCTCCTCCGATTAGGGTGAAGGATGATTTAAATACGTAATAATTATCTAGTTTTAAAATTATTCAATTAAATTCACTAAATTAAAACATGAGTAGATGCATTGTGACTTTGTGACTTACTAAATAAGTGTCTTTTACAACGAAACTGCTTTTTCTCAAATAACATTTTAATTGTATTAAAAAAAGAAAGAGACATTAATAGAAAAAGGTTGTAATACTAGTATTATAGAAATAGAAAGAAGTTTAGTAAATCATATAATCTTAAAATATATTTTTGTGTACATTCATTTGAGTAGATGTTATGGGAGTATGAGATGTCTTCATTAAATCAAATTTTAAAACAGAGGATATAGTTCGTGTTATGATTAAAGTATTTATCATGTATACATATCACACTCTATCAAAATATATTAAATTTGTTGAATGGAGTTTACCATAGTATTTGATCAATATGTAATACGTCTCTTGAAGCGGAATTGCATGGACTGGATCTCACGATGGAGTAATCAATCAGCGGATCTCTTGGAAGGAAACAGTTTCAAATTCTCAATTTGTATCTGTAGGCAATTGTGCCACGGCCACATAATCCAATCAACCTTGAATTTGATAAACATTTTTTATTGCTAAAACGGGGAAAGATAATGAAATACGTATAATGATTAGGACATCTTATGATGTACATACGTACGTATATACGTAGTAGCTTTTATATAATAAAATATATATGTATAAAAGAAGTGTGTCTAACAACAAAAAGAGCATGATCAACGCCGAGAAACAGGGTTTTATATAGCTCAAAAAAATCCGTAAGTACCACACAATCATCATGGACCAACACGAACCAGACATCCTCTCGAGCTTACCTCTAGAGCTTCTTCTCTACATCATCAGCTTCCTCCCTTTCGAGTCCGCAAGACTAACCCCTTTAGTCTCCACACAGTTTAGGTTCGTTTGGAGCCAAGCCTTACTCGTCGCTCATAGCCACAACGGATCAACCGAAGACATCTCTCACGGCGTCTCTCGCTTCATCAACGACTTCGACGAGCACGATCCGTCTAAAAACACTCGGAAGCTGGAGTTACACCTTGACAGGTCAACCTTCTTGTCAACTATTCTTGCACCTCATAACGTCATGCATATGAGCTTCTTCTTCTCTGGTGATTCTATGAAAGAAGAGAGCTTTAGCTGGCGTCTTGATATCAACGATCAGATCCCAAGATCTGTCGAGTCAAGCGGTTTCTTGGTGAAGACGCTTTGTTTAGACTCGGTGAATTCTTTTACTCACGAGGTCGTTTCTTCCATGGTTTTGGATTTTTCTTTACTTGAGAATCTCAAGATTTGTGGTTGCAAGGGATTGACTTCTCTCACTATTGATTCACCAACTAAGCTACTTCACTTATCTATCTCGGGTTGCTCGCAGCTGACATATCTCGATATCAGATCATGTAAGCTTAAAACTCTTAATTACCAAGGATTTCTACCGTTGATCAAGATCCATGAACATTTCAACTTGACCGATGCAATTTTGGATGTAAGACGAGGTCCAAACTATTACAACAATGCTTTGGACATCGGTCCCCTCTTGCTCATCATCAAGAACTCTCAATCTCTTACACTTTGTAGATGGATGTACGAGGTAACAAAGATATTCTTTACCGAGCTTGTGAAAGAAATAGGTTCTTACCACAATTATTTCATTTTAGGATATGCTTTGTTTTTTTTTTGTTAATTTATAGGAACTAATCAAACCATCAATATCCTCTTCTTGGACATCATTCCAATTCTACAAGTTACATGAATTGCGGTGGATTGAAAACTCGATGAAAGAAGAAAATAATAATTTCTTGATTTCTTTTCTCAAACTTTGCCCTTCAATCGAGAGCCTCTTCATTACTGTAAGTGTATAATTAAAACCTTTGTTAGTTCACACTTTTTGGTTTCTTCATGCTAATTAATACCTTGATTTGATTATTTGGAAGATCGATGCGAATACTTATAGTTCAAAAGAAGAAGTAAGTTTTACTGATAATGCGAGCAAGCATACAACAGAACTAAGGAATCTAAAGCTGGTCAAGTTGGAAGGATCAAAGAGTAATGAAGAGGATAAGAATCAACTGATATTTGCTCTACAGAAGATAGTCAATATTGATCAGCCTCTGCTTGTATTGTCGTCACTTTCGTCAGATTGACTCCGAATTGTTATGGAAAAGACAAAAAGAATTATGATTAAAACTACACGTATGATCATGCTGTAACCTGATGGTTTTTTTTTAAAGCGTGGGGTTCTATGTCTTGCTGTACAAGAAACTCTCGTCAAAACAAAATATAAATTTGGCTCGTCAGGATTCGCCGATGAAAGATTTTCACCAGTATGTATTATTATAAGATTTACTATGATAAATGACTTCAGAATACATTGACTTCGCTAGTATATTTATGAAAGTGAAATTATGATTGAATCTCGTATACACTTGCAACTTTATCCAAATTACCAAATATAATCGCCAAATATTTAGTTTGGGACCTTTAGGTGAAATATCGTTTTTAAACCATGTGCATGTCTCCTTTATTTTGATATTTTCAACAGAAGCATGTGGAAACTTCATCTCAACAAAAGAAAAGCGAGCACCACAAGTCGTTCTCAATATATCGATTAAACCCTAGAAAACCATTTTGATTCCAACATCAAGTTTGATTGTTAGACTTGGCAACGATCTTGAGTACATATTTTTCTCAATTTTCCTTAGCACAAGTTAGCCCAAAATGCTTAGTTTTTTCGTATAGTTGCAAACTGAAACTGGTTTCAGTAGACGGGAACAGGTAGCAGCGGAACGAGCACGATGCGAAAACGGAATGAAACAAGAACAAATTAATGACATAACATGTTTCATTCCATTTTTGTTTTATGTCTAATTAGAACTAAATTAATTTACACTTGTCAACGAATGGCATACACATAACTAATAGGTGAATACGTGACGATCAATCAAAAAATATTTTTTCGACTTCTGATGTAGATTTTGATCGGGTTGACTAAAGGCCAAACATATTTTGGATAGTTGCACACCAACCCCAGATGGCTCAAACAGGCCTGATGGTATAAAAGTTTTCAAATGACAATCTAACAAAGCATTAAAGTGTCAATATAAAACTGCAAAAGAATAAGATATACAAATTATTATTATTTCGTTTCAATCATACTATCATTTGAAGAATGTTCTTATCAACTATATTATATATTTATATTATAATCTTCCCAACAACAGGTATTTTATTAGGATTAACTATCTAATATTTATAGATTTTGTAAAAAAATTTAATTTAATTGTATTTTTCAAGCATAGTCATACTTTATAAGAAAATTAATTTAATAAAGTTTTAGTAACACGATATATTACCCATTGTTTAGTGTTTACAAACTATATATATTACAAAATGTAGGGTGTAAAAATCAATGGACTACTATAAAACTAATCAACAAATATACTTGACTATTTCAAAGCACAATTTCTAAGAAATGATCTGATTTCAAATTATCTTTCTAAACAACATAAGTATGTATGTCATGAGATTTTCCTTTGATCGACATGTTCATAAAAAGGTATAAAACTTTAGTTCCAACCATAGTATATACACAGGGATGTATATAAGTGTGGAGTGTTGCTTAAAAGGATCGAGAAAAGGTGGATTCAACAAAAGGGCACAGATCAAATGCACTGGCAGAAAAAGAGTCTCCATACTGCCTCAATGATACCTGCCCCCACTGGGTAATGCTACTCTCACACGTAGTAGCACCCTTCTCCTTCGTCACCCGCACCTTTCCCTCTTCTATATAGTCTTCTTCGACAGCGAAGATGGAAAGAAACGATGACAGCTATTGTTGCATTCTTCACGGCACACCAATCAACATGCACATTTTTTTCAAGTCTTTTTTTTTTGTTGACAAGTGTTTACAATGTCTTCACATGTAATTTTTTGTTGTTTGTTGGATATTTCATTTGTGATATAGTGTTACATAACATTTTTTGCTATTATGTCATCGAACAAAAATTCTCGTGATATGTAATTTTTAAGACAACAAAAGTCGAGACAATATTCAGCATTAAAGTCAATTAACTTGACAACCACCTTCTGTTAACGGGCATATCTAAATTTTATGATGAGAATTACTATTAACAGTGAAAATGACAAGGACGTCAGAAATATTGTCAGAGGGAAATGATGTTGCAGTGACTGAACCTGATCCGATCTAGCTAGACCAGTTTGTCTAGGCATTATATTATTAGACCGTCTCATATTTGATCTCATTGCAGAGCCTATTTACGTTAACCGGCATTTTTCTTCTTCTTTCAGATCCAAATTAAATCAAAACTAAACCGGTTAGATTTGTAAACTTTAAATAAGCATCACAATTTGACAACATTATTTAAACAATATACAGAAGAATTTTTTTCAAAATTTTTTTGATATATTCACCCTTTTTCTCTTAAGATTTTTCCTAGAAATTATTAGAAGGAATAAAAGAACAAATTAAGCAGAGAATAAACAAAGAATACCTGAAGAATACCAAAATAAAAACTATATACTCGTCGCCGTAGTTGACCGTTAACAGGTAGGTATATTTTTATAATGTGTAATAATGTTAAAATGTGATATGAAAATATACTATACTCTTATTTTTTTGTTGCGTTACATCAGGTGACACACATTTACACAAGAGTTGTCTGTCTTTCACTTTTGAGTCTTTGACCCATTTTCTTCATTTCATTTCCGAAAACCCAAACAAATAAATTTTTAAAAAATCAAAATCACAGCAACAAAGAGGATTTCTTCGCCGATTCTAAGGACTTTTCTTCGCTCTAAGCTTGAGCGGATCCGGTGAAATCTCAGATTAAGCAAAATCCGACAAACCTTAACCTAGGGTTTTCTTCTACGCCGGAGACGGAGGTGATTACTGCCCCGTCGCTAAGATGATGATTTCTAGGGGTTTGTTCGGGTGGTCTCCGCCGCATATACAGCCGTTAACTCCGGTTTCAGAGGTTTCCGAGCCTCCTGAGTCTCCATCTCCTTACCTCGATCCTGGTGCCGAGAACGGTGGCTCGGGCATGGCGGCGCAGGCGGAGGATGAGGAGGAGATGGAGGAGCCCGAGGAGATGGAGCCTCCTCCTGCAGCTGTTCCTTTCTCTCAGCTATTCGCCTGCGCCGATCGGTTCGATTGGGTGCTTATGATTCTTGGATCCGTAGCTGCTGCTGCACACGGTACTGCGCTTATTGTCTACTTGCACTATTTCGCGAAAATCATTCAGGTCCTTGCATACACCACTGAATCGGGTCACCGTGTACCTGAGGATCAGTTCAGTCGCCTTGTCGAGGTAAGTCAGATTGCATACGGTTTTTGCGGAAATGGAATTTTCCTTTGTTAATTTAAATGTGTGAGCTTGTGGAAATGGAATTTGGAGGTTAATCTGCCATGTAATTTAGGTGTTTTGTGGATTAGGTTCTCTATAAGCTTATGCTTCCATTTCCCTCGTCTCTAGGGATTTTTATGTATGCTCTTCTGAATGTCCATTTTATTACTTGAGGTTTATCAGTTTACAAACCATTTCATCTGAATTCATGAAACATTGGCCACAGTCCTGAAAGAATGTGCCCCTCTAAGTTATCTAATCCCTTTGTGCAGCTTTCGCTGACCATTGTATACATTGCTGGGGGTGTTTTCATATCTGGTTGGATTGGTAAGTTTTTCTTTGCCAAATTCTATACATATATAACCTAGTTGTGTCCTTATTTCCCCTACTGCAATGATTAATTATTCTTTCTTACAGAGGTGTCTTGCTGGATACTGACTGGAGAGAGGCAGACTGCTGTGATCAGGTCAAAGTATGTCCAAGTACTACTAAATCAGGATATGAGTTTCTTTGATACATATGGGAATAACGGAGATATAGTAAGCCAAGTGCTGAGTGATGTTCTTCTCATTCAGTCGGCTCTAAGCGAAAAAGTACGTAACTTTTGAATCTTGTTTCAAGTTTGCTTCCAAATATCTATAATTTTTCAAGGAGTGATACATTTTTTGGCATTTCTATAATCTTTGTGTTCTTCGACATTCGCAGGTTGGAAATTATATTCATAACATGGCAACATTTATCAGTGGTCTTGTTATCGGTTTCGTCAACTGCTGGGAAATTGCGCTCATTACGCTAGCCACTGGTCCTTTCATTGTTGCTGCCGGAGGTATATCAAATATATTTCTCCACAGACTTGCTGAGAATATTCAAGATGCTTATGCTGAAGCAGCCAGCATTGCTGAACAGGTATTATTATTGTTGCTTGTTAGGTTTATGGGGGACATTATGGAGATAATGTTGATCTTTTCGAAATATTGCAATTTTACTGTCAAATTCTGTTGCAAGCATTAAACTTTGAAATGTTTCCGATAGTGATATGTTAAGTATAGACTTATAACAGAGAGATTTGTGACTAGTGAACTTTTAATTTGATTTTCACGGTGCAAAGTTTGATATCTTGTACTGTTCTCTTATTTAAAATCAAAATTTGTATGAAGTTCAGAAAATAGTAGGCAAACTCTATGAGGGTTAGATTGTATTTAGACTGGTCGGACTTTTTAGGTTGCTTATCCTGGTTTTTATGCGGCTGTACTGCAATCCTGAACATCATCTCAACATATGGCCCAAGCCATGGCCTCGTTTTTTTTTTTCATGTTAGGAGGCATGTATAATCATTCTTACCATCCATGATTTGGATCTTGCATCACCTTAGTTGCATCGCAATTACACGGCTGTTAGTCTGTCTTGTGTGTACAAGTTCTTCTAAATTGTATCCCCTACTAGTCCGTTTTCTGAGTTCTCCATCCTGGTTAGTTTACTGGGTTAGTATGCGTCTTGTATCAAGTTTCTAATGCGCAAAAGGGTTTATTCTAAATGTGCAGGCGGTCTCTTACATTAGGACTTTGTATGCCTTTACGAATGAAACTCTTGCAAAATACTCTTATGCAACTTCTCTCCAAGCAACTCTGAGATATGGTATATTAATTAGTCTTGTGCAAGGACTAGGACTTGGATTTACTTATGGGCTTGCTATATGTTCATGTGCTCTGCAACTTTGGATTGGTCGATTCTTTGTTATTCATGGAAGGGCGAATGGTGGAGAAATCATTACAGCCCTCTTTGCTGTTATTTTAAGCGGGCTGTAAGCTTCAGATTCTACTTTTACTGCTTGTATCTTTCTTCTTTAGTGTATGTATACACATTAATTTGCTGATTGTGTGCATTTTGTGTTGTGCAGGGGTTTAAATCAAGCTGCTACAAACTTTTATTCGTTTGATCAAGGAAGGATTGCGGCGTATAGGCTTTTTGAGATGATAAGTCGTTCATCATCTGGGACTAATCAAGAGGGAACTATTTTGTCTTCGGTTGAAGGAAATATTGAGTTTCGGAACGTATATTTCAGCTATTTGTCACGACCTGAAATTCCAATCTTGAGTGGATTTTACCTCACTGTGCCTGCTAAGAAAGCTGTTGCACTTGTTGGTAGAAATGGTTCTGGGAAAAGCAGCATTATTCCTCTAATGGAACGGTTTTATGATCCTACCCTAGGTATTATGATGTGTGATTCAAGGTGTATCAATATCTTTTTTATAATCCCCTTTGAATACTCAGCTGCAGCGGACACTATTATTAGCTAAATAGATCTCTGTTGTCTTAAACAGGAGAAGTTCTACTTGATGGGGAAAATATCAAGAATCTAAAATTAGAATGGCTGAGAAGCCAAATAGGCCTGGTAACACAGGAGCCTGCTTTGCTTAGCTTAAGCGTAAGAGAAAATATTGCATATGGCCGAGATGCTACGCTGGATCAGATAGAGGAGGCAGCTAAAAAAGCTCGTGCACACACATTTATTAGCTCACTTGAAAAAGGATATGATACCCAGGTAAAACCATCCACTGGATACTTTGTAGTTATGAATTGCAATTTTGGTGCTTCTATTCTCATTTTAGAATTTGGAAATGACCTGTTTGTCTTCTAGGTTGGGAAGGCTGGCTTAACGTTGACCGAGGAGCAGAAAATAAAACTATCGATTGCTAGAGCTGTACTCTTAGATCCAAAAATTCTTCTGCTTGATGAGGTCACTGGAGGACTAGACTTTGAAGCTGAAAGAGTTGTCCAAGAAGCTCTTGATCTTCTAATGTTAGGACGGTCAACCATAATAATAGCTCGACGGTTAAGTCTGATAAGAAATGCTGACTATATTGCTGTAATGGAGGAGGGTCAGCTACTTGAAATGGGTACACATGATGAATTAATCAACCTTGGTAATTTGTATGCCGAGCTTCTGAAGTGTGAAGAAGCGACAAAGCTACCCAGACGGTATGATTTTCCGGCCAAGACATGTATATCTAACAACTTGTCATTTCTGTTGTGTAGTGAAAGTCATGGTAGAATATATTTTGTCCGATTTCTTTTGATTTGTAAATGATCAATTGAAATGTAGATTTTGACGATTCTGCTTGTTTTTGGATTTTGTATCTTCTTAAAGGATGCCAGTTAGGAACTACAACGACTCTGCTGCGTTCCAGGCTGAGAGGGATTCTTCAGCTGGTCGTGGCTTCCAAGAACCATCATCACCTAAAATGGCCAAGTCTCCATCTCTTCAGAGAGGTCATAATGTTTTCCGCTCCCAGGAAATGTGCTTTAATAGTGAAGAGTCACCCATTGATCATAGCCCTGCACCAGAGAAAATGGGAGAAAATGGCTCGTCTTTGGATGTCGCTGATAAGGAACCAACCATCAAAAGACAAGATAGTTTCGAGATGCGGTTACCAGAACTACCAAAAATTGACATTCAGTGTCCACAACGTCAGAAATCAAATGGTTCAGATCCGGAGTCTCCTATATCACCCCTTTTGATATCAGATCCCCAAAATGAGCGCTCCCATTCACAGACATTTAGCCGCCCTCTTGGTCATTCTGATGGTACTTCAACAAATGTTGTGATGGCCAAGGACGCTCAACACAAGGAGTCACCTTCATTATGGAAGTTGGCACAGCTTAGTTTTCCAGAGTGGCTATATGCTGTATTAGGGAGCATTGGTGCTGCCATCTTTGGTTCTTTCAATCCTCTTTTAGCTTATGTCATTGCGTTGGTAGTGACGGCATACTATACGAGCAAGGGAAGCCACCTGCGAGAGGAGGTTGATAAGTGGTGCTTGATCATTGCCTGCATGGGATTAGTGACAGTTGTTGCCAATTTCTTGCAGCACTTCTACTTTGGTATTATGGGGGAGAAAATGACAGAGAGAGTACGGAGGATGATGTTCTCAGGTACGGCAATATTTTTCTTCTTTATTTAATTCACTTCACTACATGTTAGTTCTTTCAGTCGCCTCAGTTCATTGATTTTCTCTGATGTGCCAGCGATGCTGCGTAATGAGGTTGGATGGTTTGACGAAGAAGATAACAGTCCAGATACGTTATCCATGCGCCTAGCAAATGATGCCACTTTTGTCCGAGCCGCCTTCAGCAACAGGCTTTCGATACTTATTCAGGATAGCTTTGCTGTTATTGTTGCCATTCTGATTGGGTTGCTGCTCGGTTGGCGTTTGGCCCTTGTTGCATTGGCAACTTTGCCGATACTAACTCTCTCTGCCATTGCTCAGGTTTGTTTTGTTTCTTACCCTTCCCCAATAAACCCTCATGTTACGCATAATAAGGCTTAAAATTGTTTTCTTATGTTTTTCTTTGCCAAATTATGTTTCTGATTGTCGCAAAAGATTTCCAGTTCAAGTAGTGATCCATTTAGTATGTGAATCTCTCTATTCTGTGTCATGCACTTAGCTTAGAATTTTTTTTCCTATTCTCCTGACGCTGGTTTAAAATAACCCTAAAAATTTCCAGAAACTTTGGCTAGCTGGATTCTCAAAGGGCATCCAGGAGATGCATAGAAAGGCGTCTTTAGTACTCGAGGATGCTGTCAGAAACATCTATACTGTTGTTGCTTTCTGTGCTGGTAACAAGGTGATGGAACTCTACAGACTGCAACTTCAACGGATACTAAGGCAGAGCTTTTTCCACGGGATGGCTATTGGCTTTGCGTTTGGCTTCTCACAGTTTCTCCTCTTCGCATGCAATGCGCTCCTCCTCTGGTACACCGCATTCTCAGTAAACCGCGGATATATGAAATTATCTACAGCTCTAACCGAGTACATGGTATTCTCCTTTGCTACATTTGCCCTTGTCGAGCCATTCGGATTAGCACCTTACATTCTCAAGCGCCGTAAATCTCTCGCTTCAGTATTTGAAATCATAGATCGAGTGCCTACAATTGAACCTGATGACACCTTAGCTCTTAGTCCGCCTAACGTCTATGGAAGCATTGAACTGAAAAGCATCGACTTCTGCTACCCAACTCGCCCGGAAGTGTTAGTTCTAAGCAATTTCAGCCTCAAAGTCAACGGGGGACAAACCGTAGCTGTGGTCGGCGTTTCTGGTTCTGGAAAGAGCACAATCATATCACTGATTGAGAGATACTACGACCCAGTTGCTGGTCAGGTCCTATTAGATGGGCGAGACTTGAAGTCATATAATTTGAGATGGTTGAGAAGCCACATGGGTCTGATTCAACAGGAACCCATAATCTTCTCCACGACGATCAGAGAAAACATTATCTATGCAAGGCATAACGCGAGTGAAGCTGAGATGAAGGAAGCAGCAAGAATCGCAAATGCCCACCATTTCATCAGTAGCTTAGCTCACGGCTACGACACACATATCGGGATGAGAGGTGTTGAGCTTACACAAGGGCAGAAACAGAGAATAGCAATAGCTAGGGTAGTGCTGAAAAATGCTCCAATACTGTTGATAGATGAAGCGAGCTCGTCTATTGAATCCGAGTCGAGCCGTGTTGTGCAGGAAGCTCTTGATACCTTGATAATGGGGAACAAAACAACGATTCTGATAGCGCATAGAGCGGCGATGATGAGACATGTGGACAACATTGTGGTTCTCAATGGAGGCAAAATAGTAGAGGAAGGTACGCATGATTCCTTAGCTGGTAAGAACGGATTGTATGTCCGTTTAATGCAACCACATTTTGGCAAGGGTCTTCGACAACATCGACTGATCTAAAGAGATTAGAAGACTCTCGTGCCTAATCGAGATTAGTTCAGTTGCATACCAACGGTCACGTGTTGCCACGGGATAGTGTTATTGGATGCTATTTATGAAGCTTAGAAATGACCTTTTGAAACACATTGAAATCTTGTAAAAAGAAGCAAATCGACACCAACCAATTGTATTCTTGAAACCAAGTGAAAATCCAACAATAGAAAAAAAAAAAGGGGACGACTCAAAATGGCTGTAGCTTGCACCCGAATTCGTAGAAGTATAGACATCGGGATCTAAGATCCACACATTCGTAGAAGTGTCTGAACATTCAACAATTCATGCAGCTAAACAGAAGTGAAGGTTTAAATAGTGGTTCCATTTTAATTTCATCACTGTTATGGAGCCAAACATCATTGGAATTGTAGAGAGTACAAAAACATCATCAATTGATATCTACATATCATTTTATAACCACAGAAAGAAAGAAAGATAGATCGAAGTAACACAAGATGTTTATTGAGTTTGTCAAATCTGAAGGATCTTCAAAGAGTCTGCAACAACTTGTAGCTGCTTTTTCACTTTCCTCCACCTCCTCTCGTTTGCTCCAACTATAAGTGTGTAGTATCGGTCTGCAACATCAAATCAATCAAAAACTTTTTATTCCTCACTTTCTTCTCTCATCATTAATCAGTAAATCTATATCATATCTTTTTATAAGTCTATATGCTTACTGTTTCCAACTGCTACTGTTGCAAAGGAAGTGGTTGCATAGATGGGAGTTCTTAGACCATACTCAAACGTGTAATAGTTCTTTCCATCCTCCACCCTCTGCATTTTCAGCATTTTAGATATAAAGATCCGATATATCTCAAAACTTTGATGATTCTTTAAGATGTAACAGATAGTCGAATCTAACCTCTTTCATATCGTAGATGGTAGCTACTTGGTTTGGTGCTGCAAACTTATGCTTCACTAGATCATAAACCACCTGATAAAACATATAAAAATGTTGAACCAATGTGAATATCAAATGACACAGAGAGAGAGGAAGAGATGAAGATTTGTGCAATGCATACCTCTTCCATTGGACCAACTTCGCGGATGTCATTTTTCTCAGTTGGTATAAATCTGACACGAACATTCTGTAGTTGCAAGTATCTATCTTTGAAAGCTGAATCATGTGCCCTGAAGTCAAATTCCTACATAGTTTGTGCAGAACAAGATCTTCTGTAACATTTAAGCTTCATACTTCCAACAAAAAAAAAACAGAAAAACAAAGCCATAGCTTACCCACCCTCCAGTCTGATGGGTAATAATAAGAATATCCGTCTTCTCGATCCACAAAAGCCGAGTAGCTTTTTGGTATCTCTGCTCAAACATTTATATGACCAAATATAGTTATGCTTTTATTCTCAAAAGAATGAAGAAGAGAGAACGAATGAACTCTTTACTTTTGCAGATTACCTTCAGCAAGAAGCAAAGTTGCAGGTATTGAAGTTGCCACTAAGGTTCCAACTCCTACAAGAGCTTGCCTTCTCTTCCAATTGCTTCCACTTTCTTTCCCGTAATGTATTGAACCGTTAATATCAGTCAATCAATTCACAGGCCATTGTATTATAAGAGAAGAACAATGTCAACAAGAGTTGGTTTCTTACTATTCTCCGGCGAGTCAAGATTGCCGCCGGATGAAAGTGAACAACAAGATTTGAGTGATGGATTTGGATAGAGAATCTCTGTCTGGTAAGAAAATGTGTCAATGAACATTAATGATATCAGAATTCGAGTTAAAAGTGGGAATCAAAGCAGTGTTATTAACCTTGTGAGAGATTGTTGGTGAGACGCAATAGCGGACTGAGAGTGAAGAGATTGCCATAATGGCTATAGCTCACAAGACTTTAGATGATCAATGATCATTGCCTTAGTTTTTGTCTGTTCGGATAAGAGATTTCAGCTTTTCGTCATTTCTCGGTTTTCTCCATTCGTTAACATGTGGATAATTGGATAATAAATGATCCACACAAATATGTGGTGACAGTTCGGTTTATGATCGACAATCATCAACTCAGTAAAATAATCGGTTAGAGAAGAGAGATTGCATTAGCTTATGTGCTTTTAAGAAGTTTATAAGAGGACTAATATAAGATTGTTCAGAAGCCGAAAACATATAACTTGAATTCAACAATAAACTGCAACAAGAATGTATTGTTAAAAAAAAGTTTTTGCCCAAATACTACAATCACCAGACGATGGTAATAATATCTTAAAGCAAAACTGAGACTACGAGAGACAAAACCACAAGTCTGTTTTTAAGTTGCCAAGGTAAATAAGTTTAGATGATGCCAATTTTGTTAGCAACGTCTAAAGCATCGTAGTCCGGTGTAAGCCTCACGTACGCTTTCTTCGTTCCATCAGGCCTGCAACAAAACAATAAGATTGTGTCAAATATATGAACGATAATCAAACCCACAAATTAAAAAAAAAAACAAAGCTTATAAGAAAACTCTCTTTGATCGTACCTGATGAGGGTATTGACTTTCTTGGTCTGAATGTCATACATCTTCTTAACGGCGTCTTTGATCTTCTTCTTGTCAGCACGAATGTCAACAATGAAGACAAGAGTGTTGTTGTCTTCAATCTTCTTCATTGCGGACTCGGTGGTGAGTGGGTACTTGAGGATTCCGTAATGATCCAACTTGTTCCTCGGAGTTGCACTGATTCTCGGGTACTTGGGGTCTCTGGCCTTGGTCAAAGTCTTTGGCCTGTGGAAGGTGACCTTTGTCCTGATCTTCTTGTCCTTCTTCTTGAAGGCTTGGCCAGACTTCACTGCCTTTGCAGCCTTCAAAGCCTTGGCCTTTGGGTCGGCCTTCTTTGTGGTATCAACTGCATTATAACACAGAGTTTTAGCAGCTTAGAATAGAATGCATTGAGATGACAATTGCATAGCTTTCAAAATTTAGAGCATATGAACACTCTTACACGTGATTACAGAGGAATGAGAAACGAAACAGAAGAAATATGAATTCAATTATTCAGAGGATGAAACTTAATGTACAGCTCAAATTCAATTTGATACATGGAAAGACTACAATACAGATTCACTATATTCCAATAGGCCCTGATGATTAAATCTAAATGAAGCCAACTTATGATAAGATTGGAAACTAAGTATCATACGAAACGTGATTAGAAAACATTCATCCATAAAACTCTCAAGTGTACATAAAGGTTCAAATCCCTCAAAAGTCCAGTGAAGTTAAACAAGCCCAACATGGAATCTGATTCCCAATGAAAAATGTTACCTTTAGCCGGAGACATAGCTCAGGATGGTTCTTCTCACTCTAAATCTCTGAAATTTGATAGAAACCAAGAAAATCAAACTCAGTTAATATGAAATGTACGACAGGCTACGAAACGAAAATTTCAAGCTCTCTCTAAAGACAGTTCGCAAAAACGAAACAATTCTTCAGATAATGAATAATGCGAAAGAAACAGTGAACGGAGGAAGACGCACAAACCTGGAGAGGCTAAGCAGCTGATAAACCTAGCTCACTTTGCAGCCGCAGGCAGTTTTATTGTAGAAGTCACGAGGATGATAAAGAGAGACGAAACCCTAGATTATTTGGGCCTTCTATATTATAATGGGCCTTTGACCACAGCATTGATGTAAAGCCCAAATCACTATGCTTAAGAATTTAATCTTAGCCCAAACAAGCTTAACCGAAACGATAAACCGTTTGGTAAGGAAACTGTAGACAATCAATGATCCTCACTGAACCGAAGAAGGCGATCAATCACGTGCGAGAGACTTAAGCCATTGAGAAGGAGCCACGTAAGACATTTGATAAAGACGACTCATCTCAGGCCGGTCCAAGTATCTCTGTGGTTACTGATACGTCTACCACACCAGTCGTAGTTAGTAGCCGCCTCGGATGATCGGGATCCATGGCTTAATTACCGGATTTACCCTCGTCGTCTCTTCAAATTTCCCATTCCCTACCTCACCGTTTATGCTATTAGCCGCTCCAAATCCCTCGCGCGCCGCTAATCTCTACCTCACCGAGTAATGGTTGGGCCAGCTATTCAAGATGGCGACGAAGGGATCGCTCTGCTCGAGCTTCACGGTAACGTTGACCGCTCCTGGCAGCTTAACTTCGACGATTTCCAGGTTTCTCCGGAGCACAAGGAGAAGAAATCGCCCAGCAAACTCCATAACTGTCTTGGCTGTTTGGGTAATTTTCTTCTCCTCTCGACATTTCCATTTTTCTTCTTCTTAATTCTTTAGTTCCATCTTGAGCTGGTGAAAGAATTGATGTTATGTGGGAAGAAGACTGATTAGGACTGGGCTATTCTTGGGAAAAACAAAAGATTTGCCGTTTTGGGATTTTGTTGACTTTTGAGTTTGGTATTACTATTTTTAGCTTTGTTGATTCTTGAAATAGTATTTTATGTTTATGAAGTTCAAGCTTTTCTTAAGATTTAGTGGAGTCTTTGGTAGTGATAAATCTGAAGCTTTGATGGATTCAGCTCAAATTAGATATATGATTTGTTGAAGCTATGTCTCTCGGCGTTTGCAGGTCCGGAAGATAATGTGGCAGATTATTACCAGCAGCAAGTAGAGATGCTTGAAGGCTTTACTGAAATGGACGAACTTGCAGAACGTGGATTTGTCCCTGGAATGTCAAAGGTTAGCTTGGATTGTCTCTTCTTCCACATTTGTTGAAAAAACTCATAATCTGTTTGTTCTTGTAAATTTGGTACTTATCTGACTATCTCTGTGTTGTGCACACTAGGAAGAGCAGGAAAAACTAGCTAAAAGCGAGACATTGGCGATTAGAATATCAAACATTGCAAACATGGTTCTTTTTGCTGCTAAAGTCTATGCTTCTGTCACAAGCGGCTCTTTAGCAATCATTGCGTCCACATTGGACTCCCTTCTTGATCTTCTCTCTGGCTTCATCCTTTGGTTTACCGCCTTCTCGATGCAGACACCAAACCCGTATCAGTATCCCATTGGGAAGAAAAGAATGCAACCACTGGTTTGTAATACCCTTTTAGAGAAAATACACACAATGCTTTTCCTTTTTCTCTGTGCTAAAAATTTCTCTGTGCAACCCCCTATTTCCTATTTCTCTCAATATGTGATTATTGGATCAAATCTTCACAGGGAATCCTAGTCTTTGCTTCAGTGATGGCGACACTTGGATTGCAGATCATCTTGGAATCTCTTCGCACAATGTTATCCAGTGTAAGTCTGACCTTGTCTGAAACTTGATCACCTAGCTTTATTCCACGAATTTGAAAGTTCTACATTATTCACGCAACTTCTTTCATGTGTTTTATACAGCACAAGGAGTTCAGCTTAACAAAAGAGCAAGAGAGTTGGGTGATTGGGATCATGCTCTCTGTCACATTGGTCAAACTGCTTCTGGTTCTCTACTGCAGATCCTTCAGTAACGAGATTGTTAAAGCTTATGCACAAGATCACTTCTTCGACGTCATCACAAACATCATCGGACTCATTGCAGTAATCCTCGCCAATTACATCGATAATTGGATGGATCCAGTTGGAGCTATCATTGTAAGTTTCCAAGTTCTATAAGAAAAAAGAACATCTCTTTATATATACTCTCTCCTTCTTCCTGAAATTGTGTTTTTTAACTCATGTAGCTTGCATTGTACACGATACGAACATGGTCGATGACGGTTTTGGAGAATGTGAACTCTCTAGTTGGGAAATCAGCGACACCAGAGTATCTGCAGAAGCTAACTTACCTGTGTTGGAACCACCATAAAGCCATCAGGCACATCGATACAGTGAGGGCTTACACTTTTGGATCTCATTACTTTGTGGAGGTTGATATTGTTCTCCCTGCTGATATGCCTCTGCAAGTGGCACACGACATTGGAGAATCGCTGCAAGAGAAGCTGGAGCTGCTTGAGGAGATCGAACGGGCTTTTGTGCATCTTGATTATGAGTACACTCACAAACCTGAGCACGCTAGATCACACTGTTAAGCTCTTTTATTTTTCCTAATCAGCCAAAAAAGGTTACAGCTTTTGTTTGGTTTTTAATCAACTGTTCGGTTTGGTATTGTTAGAGTTTGGTTCAATTGTGTATATTCAGCTTCGCTCGGTTTTGTTTGGGTTTAGTTAAGCTAATTTGAAGTCATGTCGGTCGGGTTCGGTTAAACTTCGGTTCCGATTATATCATTGTTGGTTGGAATCTAGCAAGCTTAAAATACAATGCTCTAACCGAACCGAAACCATTTCCAGTTTGGAATAAAAAAGTCGGCGCAAGTAAAACGGTAGTATGTTTTTGTCCCACATCGAGAACACGAGCCTAATGATCCCTGTGAGAGCTGATATAAATAAGAGAGGATCGACTACGCAGAAACTCGCCTTAAACTAATGAGTAAGGAAAACAAAGCGAACGGTGAGAATCGGTCGCAGCGCAAAACATAAATTAGCGCAAGAATCTTTGGAAGGGATATAGGCTGGCCGAGTTGTTGACGCTGTACTTTAACAGAACTCTCTCGTGCGGGCCTCCTCCTCCCCCAAGTATAAACCCTAAACATTTTTAATGCTAATTCCAAATTATACTATTATATTGATAAATGACTATTGATATTTGATTCGGTTCACCAGTCCGATTTTTGTGTTATTGGTTGTTGTAATTTTCGACAAGATTCGCTACAGCTCGTGTAAGTTCCTTTTGGTCGGTACAGTCGTGTAAGTTGTTCTGTTTTATTTTGTCGATCTTTCGATTGCCCGGATTTTTTTATAACCCATTACGGATTCGTTAGTTTAATTTCAATTGATTGGGTGTTTTGTTGTGTCTGAATATAATCAGCTCCCAATTTACGGCTTAAATTCATTCCAAGAGGTCATGGTTGCTTACTTGCTTGGCGTGTAGAATTTTTTCTCTTGGACTTATCATTTTGGTTTTAATTAGATTTTGCAAATTTGTTCTTCTTACTTGGATTTTGCAAATTGTGTCTTCTTACTTTGAGACAAAGACTGCTTACACTTTGTGGGATTGGCTTTGTCCTCGTACGTTTCTTCTCATTGCATCTAATCTGTTTTCATTCATTCGTGATGTAATACGATTGCTCTTGAATACCAAAGTTCTTGATAGATGATTTCATAGTCTAGTCTGTATATTTTAGGTTGTATACTTTAATACTCTCATTTTCTTGGCAAGAGATGCAACTGTTTGCTGATATTGTCTTGTGGAAAGCTTGTTAGCACGCCTGTTGGATTTTGAACCAACCATTTTTTTTTAAGAGTTTGGATGCAGCATAGATTTGAGCCGAGAGCTTTCGCAACTCTGATATATGCTCTCAATCTTCTGCAACACACGTCTGATTTTAGCTCGTGTTAGTGTAGTCCTTCAAATTTGGTCTTTCTTGATCTTTTAAGAATATTCTTACACGCTTCCAAATTGATATCTACTTGTAGCAGAGAGGGAGAAAAACCAAAGGACTGATATTGTTTGGTTTTTTCTCACAGTGATTAGCCGTGATTTCTCAGTCTCCTCCTTTGCCAAACCATGGAAGAAGCTCATTCCGTGAATAGTCCAAGACGAGTTTTAAGCTTCTCGAAGAGAAAGAAGCAAAAGCCCGGTTTCCAGGATTCAGACAGCATAAGGCCATCTCCGTTTAGAGCATCAGAAGTGCATGGACCAAAACCCTCTGAGGTGTATGGTTTTGTAGGATCCATATCGACTGTTGTGGCCACAGTCATCTTCTTGATATGGGCATACGTACCAGATAAAGTGTTGGAGTCTATAGGGATCCATTACTACCCAAGCAGGTATTGGGTATTAGCTATGCCAACGTATCTGATGGTGACTTTGGTGTTAGCTTTGGCGTTTTACATCGGTCTCAACTTCATTGCCACTCCACCCCCAACTTCTCTCAATACATTGTTTGGTGAGTGTCTGCATCGTTCTCATGAGGCTTGCATAGATCATAGTACATAGCTGGACATGAAGATCTCTGTGCCAATGCGATGGCTATTTGAAGTTGACTTGCAATGATGATATTTCTTGGCGTTACTGTTATGTTAATGTTTGTTTTTTTGTTTGTTATTATGGCAGATGAGTTCAGTCGAGAACCTGGGGAATTTGATCCTCAGATGGAGGAAGGGGACGAGAGGCCTATAGATCCAATCTCTGACATTGATATTACAAGAATCAATGACCTTATGTTCAATTCATGAGAGGTCAAGTGATGTATGTTTCCATCAAATTCTTTTTTTGTTTGGATTTTACCGAGGTAAAACATCTTAAGCAGTCATTAATGGATTTAGTAATTGGTACTTGGTAGTATAGTAAGATTTATTGATGATGCTATAATGATGTTGCATTCCCTTGATGTTATAAAACTCCATACATTCACTTTATTTTTCTGGTAGATAACAAAAACTGAAAGTAAGCAATTTTGGCTACTACTGCCACCTGACATCTTTAAAATGACGCCTTTGCCAGGACCCTCTTTATGTACAGTATTCAAAACAAACATCTCTGAGAATGTGTGACACAGAGACAACATTATTGTTGCATTGACAAAAGCCTCTAAAACAACGTCGTTTTGAGAGGAAGAAAAAATCATCAAAACGACGTAGTTTTAAAGAAATAAAAAGGGTTATGGCTCGTTTTAGCAAAAGAAAACTAGTCCGACAAAATTAATCTCTCGTCGTCCTCATCTCTTCATTTCTTTCATCTTCTGTCATAATTTGCAACCTTTTTTTCCGTATCCGATCTCGAAGGTCCGTTTTTACCGTTTCAGATTCTCGTAATCCGCTAATTATATACATATGGAATCCCCTCACTCTCTAATTTTCAATTTTTCTCTTTTGTTTCGCTATTAAATCCCTCTTTGCAATTCGATGAGCTGAAATCTCTTCAATTTTTTTCGTTTGTTTCGCTCCTGTGTTCTTTTGGTATATCAAAATTGATACTTTGGGACGATTGCTCATGGGTAAAGTAAATAGCAATGGATAATCAAATTTTGTCAAAGGTTTTCTGGGTTTGGGTTTAATCATTGTTTATTGATTACAAGTAAACTGTTTAAACTCTTACAACTAGTTTTGTTCAAATTACTATATCGCAGCACAATCTCTTTACAAGCTGAAGTCACCACCTTTTTCTTCAACAGCTAAGCCACTTTGGCTAATAGTGGTACAGAAATCTCAAGAATTGATCCAAGTTGGCTTTGATGGGAACCATAGACCTTAGGGCTGCTGCAGATGAAAACTCAATCGCGAATCTCAGCAGTCAAGTTCACCAGCTTCCTTGCTGCATTAGATTTGAGGGTCCTGCTCAAGTTTCCCATTATTTCAAGCCTAAATCCAGTGGTTAGAGAAACAATTATTATGTATATTGTTATTCTGTTTTCACTTTGTAGTTTTTTTATATAGTGAGATTAATGTGGAAAGTGGTTCGACCATGTAGAGGTCGAAATTGATGGAGTGAGAACGGAAGAAGCTCATTTCAGAGGAAGGAAGTTGCAGGGAGCAACTATCTCACTCCCTAGTGGTTATTCTGGTACTTTTTTCTATTCTTTCTTATTGATGGAAAGGAGAAAGCTTTTGAATTTCTTGTGGATACTTCTTTTTAATGAACGAATTCCTGTTTATGGAGATCTTAGTTAGAGAGTTTTTGAGACAAATTCTCTGTAAGATGTCTTGATGAGTCTTTCTCTGGTGTATGTTCTATACGATTATCCTTGATGGCTGGAGAAATTATGTTTTGGTTACATTTCATTGGCGATTGGCATGTTTTCATATGTTATCCCCTCAGGTTTTGTGCTTGGACAGGCGAGTAACCGAAATGCTAACGGGAAGAGAAAAGCTTCTAGTCTCACAGAAGAGAAACCTTGTTGGGAAGTGAAGGCGAAATTCGATAAAATGACATACTGGAACCACGATAGTCTTCCTTCAAAAGACGATACTTTCTTGCGGTCTTTTCATTGGTTTAACATTGCAGAAGCGGTGAGTTTTGAGTTCTATCCAATCCATCTCTTGTTGAATTGGTTCGTTAAATTGCTGTCTTTTCACTCTTTTGTTTTTTGTTTTCCTAACTAAGAACAATGGTTTGATTACAGCTGCACAAGCCAGTGACAGTTGAAGACTTGGTTGCAGTATCACATGGTGGAAAGGGATAAAAATTATGCTACTAGAAACAAGTAGATCTTGACATGAAATTCTCTGTACTTGTTGGGTTAATTACTTGTTTTGAGCCTGACTCGTGTATTATTTCTGTAAAACTTTTGTTATTTTCTAAGACACGAAACTTTGGGAGAAATCATTTCATTTTTCTTCATAACAGTCTCGTCACAAACAATAGATTTTATCGTGGATCATCTCTGGTCAAACAGGCCTACTAAGTACCAACACTCTTCTGATTCCTTGTTTTATTTTTCGGTTGAACAAATCTTCTGAAAAGCCCAAACCGAACCAGATTGGTTGACGAGTCCATATGATTGTGTTTTCTGTATGATCTTGATTTTTTTTTGTTTGTAAAAGAAAATAGAACAATATATTACTTTTCCTTTCACAAATAATTTTGTATTTTTTTTTTATTGTAATCATTTCAAAAAAAAGATTTGCATAAATAATTTACTAAAAAAAGGTAATAAGATATAATACTGTAAGCTTAATGAGTTATCCTAAATCTAAGTAAAAATGCATAATTGAGTAATAATATAGTTGCCTGTGTAGGTTCTTTTAAGCAGTTTCCATATTCTAATTAAGACAGACTACTATATATGTTTTTGTAAATAATAAATCTTAATTTAGTGATTAAGTCATTAAATTAAAGGGATTTGTAGAGCCTATATTTGAATACAAACAGTTGTTCATTTGTCTGCGTAGCCAAAGGGAAAAACAATTATATTAGATTGTACAAACTACAAAGTCATCGATTATGTAGATTCATTCATACATTGTGTATTTTTATTTGCATTGGATTTGAAGATATTGATTTTTTTTTTGAACTTTGAACTTTGAAGTTTGACAAAGGGGATTAAAATAGCATCCAAAGTGACGGACGTCATTTTCTTTGCATGGCCCCATGCCAAAATTATTGGAGCGTATTTTTAAAATTTAAATATATATGTATTTATTATTAAATTGCCAAACATTTTGTTTCGTGTAACTGACCCTTCTTTGACGTCGATTCCGTTTTCATCTTCTCTTTGAAGTGATTGTGACCCAGAGAAGAACGCAGAGGTTTGTCTTCAATCAATCTTTTTGACCTAATTTTAAATTTATCCGCTCTTGTTTTTTCTTAAAGTTTCATATTTGCAAGCCAATCTAATTACCCTTTTAAATGTTCTCGCAAAGGTTCTTTTCGGGGATGGGATCTGCGAATCTTTGAAGATCTATGCTATCGAAAGGTCGAATTGCTTCTTCTTCTTTTTTTTTTCCCTTTTCTCGATTTGATCTCTCTGTTATTCAACTTCTTTTTCTGAGATTCTCCTGAATGAAAGTTGATTTTTTTTCTGCATTTAGTTTTAGTATTTGGATTAAATTTTGTTTCTTCTCTGATTACAAAAGCAATCGTCTCCTTTTATTGTGCAGATTACTTGTATTTCAATATCTGGGTATATGTTGATTTTTGAAAGTGTTGCCATTTCGGAAGCTTCTGGTTTGAGGTCGACAAGAAATGGAGTCTAAGGAAATTAGATCCTCCGTGATTGCCAGATCGATGCGTTTCAATGGACTGTTTCGACCTCTGGGTCAAGAGAAGCTTATTGAGAGGCAGAAGCAACCAAAAGGGTTTATCCAAAAGTCTAATTCTGGTGGTTTCACGGTGATTCCAACAAAGGAACTTTGTCGAGTTTATCTCCAGAAACCAGATTTGTTTGCCTCGAAGGGTATCATTGATGCACAAGCTAAGCCTCCTCACCGTCAGAAAAACGGTTCGAAATCGATGGGATTGAAGGTATATGGGGAGATGGCAGCAAAGCACAGGAAGTTTGGTAGGAGATTTGATCATCAAAATTTGAAGTTGAAGCTGAGACATCATACAAGTGTTGATTCTCTGAAATCCAAAATCGGGAAGAAAGAGAATGTTGTAAGGTCCTTTTCTCCTCTTGGTTTTGGTAGTGGTTCTCAGTTGCGAGGTTGGAAGAAAGGGCAATACATAACAATTGAGAAGAAATCAAAGGAATTGAAGAAAGTTTGTGATGGTACTACAGTCTGTCATAAGAAGGATATAGTTGTTTTGAGAGAAGTTAGTTCCAAGTTAATGGTTAGTACCTCTAGGGACTCGGTGTTAAGTTTGGACCGAAACAGAGTTGCAGCAGATGAGAAGTTCAAGCATATATCTTCTTCAGGTTTCATTAGCAAGGTAACTTCAATGAACTTAGTATAAATTTTTAATATTCTCCAATGCTTTGACTATATAAATTCGCTTTGAGGCATCTGATCATTCCAAATGGTTTCCTTTTTGTTGACTTGTTGCACTTTTGAGACCAAGGTCCTTTAGTGACAAAAATGATTTATCATGGTTATGCATATTTTTCGGTTGATCATATTGAATATTTATCATGGTTAAGGTTATGCATTTTTTAGTTGTAGTAGACGTTAATTTAGTGGAAACTCAAATTTGGTCACAACATTACAGTGTGAGGTTCTGTAGAAGCTAATGCAAAAGTGTTTTTGTGATGCATATACGTGAACTCTTGAAACTGATTGTTGATTTTCTAATAAACTGCAGGATGAAAATGAGGATTCATTAGATTGCTCCAATGCATCTCCTGGATGTCAGACGAACTCGGAAGAAGCTCATCAACCTAGCCCTGTTTCTGTTCTGGAGCCTGTGTTTTACGAAGATATGTTAGACGATGATGAAGAACTTCCTCATCTTGATTTTTACGGTAAAGAACAAGTTAGCTGCTGTATAATTTTTTCTGGAATTTGATAACTTGCGATAAACCTTTTATTTGTCTTATTATCTCACTAGGTCTAGAGAAACAGCTTGATACCCTGAAATCTGAATCCGATAGTTATTCAGATGGGAGTGGGATGGAAGTATCAAGCGATGAGGAGTATGTTCTTGAGTCTGAAACCAAAGAAAACAAGGACAGTGAACCAATTGGATTCTTGAATTCACAAGAAAGCAGGGATTCTTCTTACATTGATGATATCTTGGCTGAAGTTGTACTTGAGGACAAGAACTGGGACAAACGGGAGTCACTGGATCTACTCATCACCCCCAAGATATTTGAGAAACTAGAGAAGAAGTATTACACAGTGACATCTTGGAAGAGATCTGAAAGAAAAGTTCTCTTTGACAGAGTCAATTCGGGTCTGGCAGAGATTGTAGAATCCTTTACAGCTACACCAACATGGAAGAAACCCGTTTCTAGGAGGCTTGGCGTCGTGCTAAGCACATGTAGACTGAAACAAGAACTCTGGAAAGTACTTGACAGGCAAGAGAAGCGAGCCAAGAAGGAATCATTGGACAAAGTGCCAGTCATGGACATTGATGAGTGGTTAGAACGTGAAGCTGATGATGAGTCAGTGGTTTGTGAATTAGAAAGTATGATAGTGGATGATTTGTTGTCTGAGGTTGTCAGCTTCATGTAGGGTGTAGAGGGATTTTTTCATTCTTTTTTGTTTCACATCGCATTCTCTGTATTTTGATTGAGAATAGAGAGAGTAGTATTAGTTGCATTTGGCTTGCATCATCGAAAAGAGATGTATAGCGTTTTAAGGAAGTAATGCATAGTTTTGTTTATCAGGTCTAGGATTGGCCTCTTAGCATGTCAGTCACATTGCTTCAAAAGGTTGCTGTGACTTGTACCCATTTGTTAAAAGTGTTTGGAACAGGCTTTTGTGTGAATGAAACAAGATTTTGATTGAAACAGTCTCATTTAAATAAATTTGGCCGGAATTCAGATTTGCACAACAAAGAAAAAAGACCACAAGCGGAAGCTAGTGAACAAGAACATATACAAAAGCAATCATTTCTTGTCTAACTTTCATATTTCCTCTTCAAGCTTTGTATGTGAGGTATACACTGAAATGGAGGATGGTGTCTTGACCATCAGTGATATGCTGGTTGTTCTGGTTATGCAGAGTTTCCACTATGGCATAACCTTTGGCGTGCTCGAACTTCCCTGTCCCGCCAATAACCGCAATCTGAGAAGCATGAGAGGCGGTCCTGTGAACCCCAAAGAAGCTAATGGCATCGTCTAAAGTGTCATGATGGTCATGCTCTCCGTGTAGCAATACGGTCAGAGAAAGAGTCTGGCTTGTGCCGTCCAAGGAACTGGCCAAGTAAAAGCCTTGAGCTTTCCCTATAACAGCTGAGCCAAGCTCGTGGCTTTCGGTTAACTGGTCGTCTACAACGGTTATAGTTCCAAACATAAGATGCTGGAGAGCAGCACCAATAGGAAGGTTTCCCGCGGTTACAAATGGGAGGTTGTTAGAGTTAAAGGCATCGTTGGTATTGCCGTTAGTGTTTTGGATCACGGTGCTGGTCTGAGCACCACCGAGTCCGGTGAGAAGTGGGGCTGTGTTTGGGTTAATGACACTGTTAATGTTGTTTGTGTTGACAAGTGGGACTCCGTTGTCCACAGGGAAAATGCTGTTGCTTGCCTTTGAGAATGGTATTCCATTCACCTCGGTTTGAGCTACTATACCGGTGACCACACGAGCCGATGGGTGAGACCCGCCTAGCACGTCGTGCATGAAGAACTCTAGTACTGGCTTTGTAGCTCCTGCTGGACCGGCTGGGACTGTAGTTGCTGGTGCGGTTGTGGTTGTGGTTGTGGTTGCTGGTGGTGGGTTATCGTCGGTTTCATCAACCTCTTCAGCTTCGGTTGGAGCCACGGTTGGGATCTGGCCGGAAGGGACTAACTGAGGCTGAGGTTGGATCTCGTCGAGAAGTCTAGCGGAGTTGATAAGTGCGAGGAGATTGGAGGCTATGAGGAAGAGCATGATGGTTATGTGAAGAGCTTTGGCCATTTTAGAGTCTTTTGTTTGTGTTCTCAAGTTGTTTGTTGTGTATTGTGTGTTGTGTTTGATGTTTTGTTGATGGATGGACTAATGGGTTTATATAAAGAAACATTGGGGAATTTTGGTTAGTGTGATTGAGAATGGAGTCATTGGAGTGGAGTTGTTGTTGCTGTTGATTTGCTTTGGTTGTGTTTGAGAGTCAACTAAACCTCTATTTATCTATTTGAATTAGCTAATGATTTGCTACTTAATCCATAACTTTTTTAAAAATTCTAGATTCAGTATTCTAGTCAATTCACGGAATGCTTCATGCACCTTGTTGACTTATAGATCGTATGTAGTCACAACGGAAGTACTTTTAACAGCTTCTTCTTTTTCTCAAACTTATTAAAATCGATATGTTTGAACAAATTAACTCATGAATCAATTTTTATGCTGGCCTAAATAGAACACTGTATAAGAAATATACAATGTAAATATTACAGAGAAACATGTAAGGTGCATATTTATCTAGAGCAAAAAATACTAACAGCTACTATATATGGAACAGTATTAGTATGTGATTTGAGTAAGTGAGTATCATATATCTTATGTTCGATGCAATTATGTTTACATTTGATCAGTTATGATTTATGTGATCTCGTGAAAACGTCAATCTACAAACTTATAAGCGTAAACTCATGAATTCATTTTCGATATGGTTGAACAAATTAACTCATGAGTAAATTTTTTATACTGGCCTAAATAGGAACATTGCATAAGAAATTACGTACATTAAAACTAAAATATTCTTTGTAAAACAAAAAAGAACTCTAAAACAATAATTTTTTTAATAAAACGGGAAGAGTAGTTAGTAAATCAACAGAGTCACAAAATATCATTACAATAAAAGCATTCGAAAAGGGAAAGAAAAAACTATATTTGTGCGTTTGTGATATTTGATAAGTAACGACACAGCTACTTTACTTACTACCCTTTCAAAGGAAGACCATCATTCTTACGTTTAAGCTCGGATTCAAAGCTTCCATTTCCATCGGAAGCTCTCTTGTCCAGCCAATTAATGATGTCAGCAAACACAATCTCGATATTCTCTGGTGTCTCGCCATAGAGTAAACCATGCCACATCCCAGGATACAGTTTGAAAGTCTTGTCCGAACTCGAAGCAACTTCATACAGTTCTCGGCTCACCGCCTTGTCAGTCACTTTATCGTCTTCTCCGTGCAAAACCATGAACGGTAATGAAACCTATAGTATTACCATTTTATAGAAGTAAGCATAAGTATCCGAGTTATAATGTCTTATAAAGAACTATGTATATAAATACCTCATTCAGTCTCTTCTCAAGATCGGTGCTAATCCGCAATAGCTCATAAGCAGTCTTCAAGCGTGGACGACCTTTGTAGCAGTAAGGATTTTCTCTGACCTTTTCATCATTTCACATTTTCATTAGTTACGCGTTACAAATAAAATCTTTGTATCGCAAGGATTTTTCCCTAACCCTCACGAATTTTACAATGTCATCCATTAGTTATATATTTATCATATAACCTTCTGTATTTTCCCCTTAGTATTTCATTATCACGTGCTTAATTATAAGGTGAAAATACCTGTTTCCTGATTTCTGGCTGCTTGAAAGCAGTCTCAATAATATCTTGGCCAGGGATAATTTTCCACGTGGGTATGACTCCGCTAAGTTTCGACAATATCGAGATAACCACAGGGCTTGGTTTCATTTCTTCAGCGATCTGTGACATGTAAAAAATAAAAATCAGCGAGAATTAGTTGTGTTATTATATACATAATTGTAATATTTATCCACACATCTTCAATAGCTCGACTATGCTTCTTCCATATAAAACATCTACTTCTACGTTGTATCATAATAATATACCGTCCGCATAATGCGGGGTTGGATCCATTGATTGTAGATTGAAGATCAATTAAAAAATTAGTTTGCGTTTGATATTGGTATGATTACTTCAGCAACTTCGTGGGCGCGGTTTAATAATTAAAGTATTAAACATGAAATTTGACTAAGCTGTTTTTGTATTTTTTTGTTTCCTCATTATTGTTAGCACGCTATAAAAGATTAAGTTTCACACACTTGTCTTACAAATAATTGATTATAATCAACTAATAATTCAGCATCTTTCACATCATTATGATCCGTTTAAAAACTGACAACCAATATTTTGGGCATTTGCACATATGTTGGTTCCTTTTGGATTTGGTGGGCAAAAAAGTTGCACCACACCAAAACAATGAAAAAATATTATAAAATGTTTAAATATGTCAAAGTATCTTCTTATAAAATATAAACCAGGCTGGCTAAAAATTTCTATATGTGCATCTTTTTCAAAAAGGTAGTGGAAATTCAAATTATCTTCATTTTCCTCATATATACGTTGTAATAACATATTTATTTGCCTAGTAATCTCTGAAGAGAATATTATCTAGGCTGGCTAAAGCTTAGCTTAGCATTATATTGCTTATTTGTTATAATTTCTATATATATTAAATACTTTTTTTAAGTATACAAAATATATGCATATGCATGTGGCTTTCTATGTACGTACCTAAGAGAATGAGAATATTACCTTACACATTGGAGCAACCAAGACGGCCCCATCCCAAAACTCAGGCTTCTTTCTGTGTAACAGCAAAAGGACTGCTCCTCCCATTGATTCTCCAACCAAAAACCTCATCTTCTCTTTATTCTCTTCTCTCTCTAATTATTCCAAACCACAAACAAACAATACATCAAAATCCTTTTCTGATAAAGTGAGATGACAAAAAAAAAAATCATGTGTGGGCTACGTTCTTCCAAGAACACCATTTTCGAGAATATTTTTTCTTCAAAAATATTACTGAATAATCTTGTTTTTTTTTTTTTTTGTTTGTCTATCCAAATTACATCAAAGCTTTGTGAATGGTAAATAAAAAGTGACCGTGAGTCCGATGCCTCCGCATTCTAAAAGTCAATTTATAGTTTTACCCTATAGAAAAGTCAACTTTACCGCAGACGGATGTGTAGTGGGCAGAGACATCATCAACAAGATGATCAAAGTTTGGGACATAAGCACTAAGCCCATCAGATTTTCCATGTCCTTCATAATCCATTCCATACACACCAAATCCTGCCTTCACAAGCCTCCTCGCGGTACCTAATACAATCATATTCATCCCAAAAACACTAAATAAACTTTTGATATTCGATGATGAGAACATATACATATTCAATGAAATTATCACGAATTTAAGTGGGTTGGTCTCAACTGTTCATGGTGATGCTACATTCCATTGCATATCCATGGCAAATGAAGAGTAAAGCCTTTGGTTCTTGATTTGCTGGTAACCACTTGCACGTGAACAGCTTCATTCCTCGACTGTTCTTTATGAAACTCTGCATTTATAATCATCAATGTAAAAACAACAGATTTCTCTAATCTATGTGATAAATTTATTTATTATTGAGTATTAACACACACACCTCTTCATACTTGATGTCCTCTGTTTCACTTGCCTGCATACAAAAGAAACCCAATTCATTACAATAGAGCAACAACTTCAAACATTTCAGAATATGATCTGAAATAGACATAAACCAAAGAGCATTAAATCTTAACGTAACTGACCATAATTACGAAGAGGTTGATCGAAGTCTCTCTCTCTCTTTTTATTTTATTTTGTTGGAGAGGAAAGTATGATAAGAGATACCTATACGGCTCTGTATATATTGGGCAGTTTTGGCGGAAGAGGACGGTTCGACAATGCGACGCCGTTTGGTTTGATAGCGACGAAATAACGGATTCCTTTCCTCTCTTCGCACCCCAACACACGTTTTTTTTGTTACTTCTTCAAACTTTTGAAAGTCTTTGAAAGATCCCCTGACAGGTGGCAATTGGTCAAGTTTGGTGACGTTTATAAACACCCCCACAACTTTTCAAAATAACATAATTAATACATCAAATTTTGTTAATTATACGAAAAACTTTCTTTTAAGTCTTGAAACTGTTCAGAAACCCCCATCCCTCGAAAGTTTTTCATTTTCCGGCCTAGTACTTAGCAAAGAGAAGTTAGTGAAATTTTGAGTACTTCCTAGTTCCAGAAAAAAATATTGAATAATTAATCATAAAACCTCTAAATATAGTACATTTATGTTACTAAAATAGTCAAATCAGACTCATGTTTACATTACAGTATGCTAAGGTCGTTTTTAAAAAACAATTTCAAGCTTTTGATAAGGAGCACTTTTTGCACTTGACAAATCTTATATACTGTTTTATACTAAAACAAACTACTGTTATATTTTCTAAAGTATATATAAGTCAACCATCAAATGTTAGATCTACACTAACACTCACTGACACATGAGATTCACGGAACTTATGCCTTTTTAGAATGTCAAACCTACAATTCAGGATTGAAGTTTCGATAATTTTTATTCGATGGTGCAAAATTACGTCAATGAATACTTTTCCCTTTTTTTTTTTAATTCAGCATATCAACATATCTTAGCAGTTAGCAATAAATAATTATACAGCAGCCTTTGAGGACTGAGTTGTTTGGTTTATTTAACTTTTAATTATGCAGAGAGTGATCGAGATTTAAGAGCGACGACTATGAAATAGATTAATATATCCCAAAGTTCTGGTCGGTTTTTCATTTAGGGACTCTCAAACCGTTAAAAACGCATACATTTTAGTAAACCATGTGTTAATTATAAAATAGTTAATTACACATGTTTTTAAAAACAATATTTCCTTTCAAGAATCTTCTCAACCCTAGGCCGCTATATATATTTTTGATTCAAGTGACCTAAAAAAAAGTATAAAGAATTTCTGAAGTTTAACGGATGATCACGGAGAATTTTTTAGGAGTTTAGTAAGGATATTTTAGGGGTTTTAGGCCTACATATATATGTATATATATGCATGTTTTATTTTTAATTGTTTGTAGAGATCTAGAAACACATAGAAAAAGAGAGAGAAAAAATACTCTGAACTCGATTATAGTGTAATTTGTTTTTTGTTGCTAAAATCGATTAGTGTAATTCGTAGCAAGTGACATTAAAATAAACTACTATAAATCGTGTGTGCCTTTTCAGAGTCAGATTTAAGATCCAAATCTTAACAATTAGGACCAAGAAATACGTGCCTCCTTTAACAAATGAATAATGAAATAATGCATTAAAGAAAATCATTACAGAGTTTTTTTAAGACATCAAGACATCTTTGTAGAAGTGTGGGAAAGCTGTTCTTTAGAACTTTCAAGTGTTTGTATATCACCAAGTTAAAAATTAATTTTAAAAAACCTTTAAGGATCCTTTAGTCTTGCTTATTAAGGCTATGAAGATATGAAGACAAGTCCAATTAAACGGGCTGATATGCTCCTGGTGGAAATTTGACTCAGTCTATCCGCTATCTCTCGGTTATTTATGAAAGTTTCTCCCATCAACAAAGGTCCTAAAAACGTTTGTAATTATGTTTTTTGGGTTTGGCAACATTTATCTACATTATTATTTTAAAAAATCAGCACAAAACACATTGGAGTAACCAAGAGAGCTCCATTCCAAAACTTAGGTTTTTTCCTGCGTAGCAAAAAAACCACTGCTCTCCTAACATAAATCTTGTCTTCCAATTGTTCTCTTCTCTCACTATTTATATATAATGTTCCAAAGAAAAGTAAACCAACATATATAGTTATAAATTAATTTGATAATGTGTTAATGTCATACCAAAAAAAAAAACTTTCACGCTATTCATTTATCAGTTGCTTTTATCATCACACACTCGACCAAGAAAAATTAATAATGATACAAAAATTAGTTTTGCCATTACGACACTTTTGTCACACAAAAAGTATCGGTGAACTAGTGTCTATCCAGACTAGATATCCTCAGAGGAAAAGCTTTCAAAATTATGAGTTCAATACTTTTTTTCTGGTAGCCGATAACATTTGGCCCTTGGGTGCATAATCTTTTTGGACCATATGCAAATATATATATTAGTCTTTTCTCCGTCGTTGGTAAAAGCTTTGATCGTAAGTGAAAAGAAAACATATAAAAATATTTAATACAAAAAGAAATGATGAAATGGATTGATCTCAACTGTTCATGGTGATGTACGTACTGATGCTCCATTCCATGCCGCGCGTATCCATGGCCAAGGAAAACTAAAGCCCTTGGCTCTTTGTTTGTTTGTAGCCATTTGCACGTGAACAACTTCAATCCTCGAGTGTTCTTTTATGAAACGACACTACGGCGTTGACTTTCTATAAGTTTAGTAATTTCAGCTCAAAAAGTCATTGAAATTGTTGGCTAAAGAAAATTACCTAAAATCTAATTTGGAATATGTTATCTACAAATTTGTGTAATTTTGGACATTTATTGAAAGAGTTAAAGCACTCCATGTATTTGGCAAATAGCTTCGTTTGTAATGTAACATACAGATGACTACATAAGTACATTACCCAACTATATATATATCATTCACTTATTTTTGCATTAAACATCCGTCATGTTTATGTTTTAGCTCACTCTCTAACCTTCCGTTAGAATCGGAAGCTCTTTTTTCCAACCAATTTATAATATCACCAAACACAATTTCTGAATTTTCAGGAGTTTCTCCATATAACAAAGCATGCCACATGTTGGGGTATAACTTGAATGTTTTGTCGGAACTTGAAGCCAATTCGTAAAGCATTTTGCTTATGCTTTTGTCCGTCACTTTATCATCTTCTCCATGAAGAACAATAAAAGGAATCGATACCTGTTCAAGAGGCATACGTAATTAATTAGTATGTTGTGTACGTCAAATGTTTTTCTTCCTTAAAAAATACATATAAACCAATTAGAACCTGATGAAGATTTTTCTCGAGATCCAAGCTAACCATCAAGAGTTCGTAGGCGGTTTTGAGACGAGGCCGGCCTTTATAGCAATACTTGTTCTCCCTTACCTATAAATTTCATATGATATATATATATATATAAGTATAATAACAAAGTAATAAATTAAAATAGATAAAACTTAGACAATTATGATCAGTCACCTGATTTCTGATGTGTGGTTCTCTAATTGCAATATCAATAATATCGTTTCCTGGAACTATTTTCCATGTTGGAATAAACCAAGCAAGCTTGGTAAGAATTGAGGTAACTACTGGATGTGGCTTTATCTCTTCTGCTAACTGAACATAACAACATTCACTGTATTAGATGAAAAAAAAAACATTGTGTGGACTATATATTTGTTACTAATTGCTTGAGATCTTAACGCTGTATGGTATTAAAACTTTTTTTGTTGTTACTTTATTTTTGCATGATAACCGAGAGATTTCGGATCGAACTTCAGATAAATCCCCGAAACATGTGCAAAAGAGATTATGTCATGTGGATTATCATGATCATAATCGCAGTACGTTCACATTAAGTTTTAAATGGATTTTTATTGGCTTGTAGCAACTAGCAAGTAGTGGTGTAGCATGGATTAGAAGCTAGGAGATAACAGATAAGATAAGGTTTGTGTTGATCTAACTATTTTTTTTTTTTGTATTCTTCCATTGGAATCTCTATCAATACGCAATCCTTTGAACATGACTGAGGACGTATTAAAACAATAAAATAATTTCAGTTTTTCGTATCTTTTTATATACCAAATTAATCACACACTGTATCAAGATCAAATTTTTTTTTTAAAAAAAAATGGTCAACAATTTAAGACTATGATAAACTCAAAAGATGATCACGACCCAAAAAACCAAAAAAAAAAGCACTAGGTAATAGAAGAATCACAAACCTTACACATGGGTGCGACTAAAACAGCACCGTCCCAAAAATCAGGCTTATTTCTAGCTAAGAGCAACACAACTGCTCCTCCCATGGATTCTCCAAGTAAAAACCTCATCTTCCCTTTATTCTCTTCTTTCTCTTCAATTTAATCAACCATTTTTTTTAATAAATTAAGAAAATCTCTAGAATATAATCAAAGGTTTTTTAAAAATTACCACAAATTGTAGAGTAATGAATAGAGACATCATCAACGAGATCATCAAAGTTGCTGATGTAACCATCTAATCCCTCCGATTTTCCGTGACCTTCATAGTCCATTGCATAGACCGCAAAACCGGCCTTTGCTAGCCTCGTTGCTGTGCCTGATTAATCCATATTTTCATTGGTAAATATGTAATTATAAGTTATAACAATATTTTTGATCAACATTAGTAAATTAAAATATGTATCCAATAAGATATATCTAACCAAAAAGAGAAAATTTATAACAGAAAGAATGAGAGACGAAACTGTTCATGGTGATGCTGGATTCCACAGCGTATCCATGGCAGAAGAAGATTAAGGCCTTTGGTTCTTTCTCAACTGGTTTCCATACACAAGTGAACAACTTCATGTCTCGTGAGTTCAACACAAAATCCTGCATACAAATACAAAACCATTAAAATTCCATATTTTCTACTGTTATATCTAATATATCTATGAGCTGGAAAATATACAGACACTAACCTCTTCATACGTAAGCATGATTCTCTGCTTTTCTAAAAATATTAAGATCTTTAAAAAACTTTAAACTTTTAAGGGTTTATGCTTGAAAACAAAGTGAGCGAGTGCAGTCCAATTTATAGGAGCTGAAAAGGGAAAATTCAGAGAACTCAAGTAACCCGAAAAAAAAACAGGGGAAGCCGCTATGAACGCTGCGTTTTGGTAATTTGTAGAAACGATTTTAAGTCTTTGTGGGATTTTTTCGTTGTAGATGACGTCAATACCGACTTTGAATAAGTTCAAGATTTTTTTGGTAATGAATGCTTCAGCCGTTAGTGCTTGACGCCTTGACCGGCTTAGTTTTTTTTTTTTATTGACCAAATGGCAAATACTCCGACTTAGTCATCCCTTATTAAGTGCCATGCCATCACTATTTTTTTTGTTAAAGGTTTTTAATAGTGCCGTGCCATCATTTAATTAGTCTTTTGAATCTTTGATTTAGGGATGGATATACATGTATTTATGTCCTTGTGTAAACTTGCCGTCTTGACAAATGTATCTATATCATTATCATCATATTTATTAGAGTGTTTATCATCACCCTACTCATAATTCCACTTGTCTGATTGCTGTTAGGCTTGGTTGATTTGGTCAATTTGTCTAGGTGCTTTGGTTTTGGATTCTTTTTTTTATTCTTTGTTTTGTTTATCGGGTATATTCTTATTTTGTTTCCCTCTTTTAAGTTTGGACTCTAAAGTTATGTTGTAAATCATAGGCTTTGTTTTTGGGAGAGTTTCAATTTTTGCCGGTTTTAACATCAGGCTTATAATTTTCAATAAAAACTACTACTAGATGACCCAAAAAAACTAGAGCTGCCAAAAAAAAAACAATAACCAAACTAAATCAGTTTTATACGAACTTTGTGTTGTAAATTTACCACCCGAATACATGCAAGCAGACCCGTGCCTATATGTAGTAAAATGAAGCATTGGTCTACGGTCCATGTTTTTATAAAATATTAAGGGTCCATTTTTATTACATTCAATATTTTAGAATCCTAAAACCATTTTTAATCAAAATAGTTAATGAAAATTTTCAGAAACAGTAATAAACATTAGAAAAGGAAATTAGGTTAATATACACAATTCGCCTTATCAATGTTTTCAATTTTCACATTCGTCTCTTTACTTTTTTTTTTAACCGGAGATAATGTATGTTTGTTTTTCTTTTTTTTACATTTACAAACAAAATCAAAATTTTTTTTATTATATGTTTTTTCAAATATAAAATAGATATAAGCATAATTTAAGAATTGAGGTATTTTTACTACCGCCTAGGGTCTCAATAACTCTGGGCACAGCTCTGCATGCAAGTTCTATATGTAAGTTTTTTCCAACCTATGAAGAGTTATTCCCTATAATTGTTCCTCCTTTAATCCCTCTAATCTTCTATGAAATACTCTAAAACACAAGAAATAAGAAATAAACTTCAAACAAAAACCTTCTATAGATTAAAGGATTAATGATCCTCGGCCCATATGATGTCAAATTCGGCCCAATGATAATGCCCAGAATAAACATAACCTAAAATCCGGTCAAGTCTTAGCCGTCATCGTCTTAGCCGTCATCGTCTTCATTTTGTCTAGGGTTTCTGATCTTTTATAACACCCAAGAGAGTAAAGGAAACCAGAGAACTCGAAGACGCAATGGGTAAGCCTGAAAATACTTTTCGATTAGTATCAGTTTACTTTCATCGTTCCTGTTTTATTTTTACGTTAGATCACAACATTTTGTTTTGTATTGTGAAATGGAATATGAACAGCGAGAATCAAGGTCCATGAGCTGAGAGAGAAATCAAAAGCGGATCTTTCTGCTCAGTTGAAGGATTTCAAGGCGGAGCTTGCTCTTCTTCGCGTCGCTAAGGTCACTGGAGGTGCTCCCAATAAGCTCTCCAAGATGTATGTGTTTCCACATCTATAAAAACTTTCGATTGATTTTCAGTGATATGATTGCATTTTCTTTAGTGATTTATATTGTCAAAGCTTGATTAAATTCGTAATCCATTCTCTACAGCCTTGTTTATAATTTAGCTTGTGTTAGTGATCAAGCATATGTGCTAATCATTTCTTACTAGGCTTAATTCAGGTTTGTGATTGTTAATTGAAGACATAATTATGGTACTAAGTATCATATTTTTTCAACAAGATTAGGCGTGTATGACCAATTTGTACTTGGTTATGCTGTCAAAATTTTGTAAATGGGATACATTTTAGCTGTATTCTAGTTGCCTATGAGTGTTTTTCAGTAGATAAATTAAGCTACTTCCAAGTAGAATTGCATTCGTGAAAGAAAAAGTAGCTTACTTGGCTTAGTTTTCCTGTGCTGGATCCGTTCCTTAACTCATTTTAAGTCACAGTGATCTCAAATGAGCTCTGTTTGTGTTGATTTTCAGCAAGGTGGTGAGGAAGTCAATCGCTCAGGTATTGACAGTGATCTTACAGAAACAGAAGTCTGCTCTTAGAGAGGCATACAAGACCAAGAAGTTTTTGCCTCTCGATCTTCGTCCCAAGAAGACTAGAGCTATCAGGAGGAGACTCACCAAGCATCAGGTAAAACTTCCACTCCACTCTGCTTCTCATTTGTGATTTTAAAAACGAAACCTTTTAAATGAAAAGAAAGAAGAATGTGCATGCGAATACGATATCTGGCAGTTTATACTGATTGAATATTGTGTGGCTTGCTTTGAACAGGCATCGCTGAAGACAGAGAGGGAAAAGAAGAAAGAGATGTACTTTCCAATAAGAAAGTATGCTATTAAGGTGTAAAAGCTTTATTTCTTAAATCACATCAATCTTTGTGTTTTGAATCCATTTTGGCTCGTGCGTGAGTTTGTCTTTTTTTGGTTCCTGATTGAAGATTTTAAAGGCTCTTAATGAAAGATTTGATTTACAAAAGCAGTTTATTGTTATTATCACTTGGCTACCTAGTCAAGTTTCTCTATCATAAAACCTGAGGTTTCTGTGAGAATTGAGTTGATAAAAATATTGAAACCTACATAGCGATAAAGCTTTGAAGAATTGATGCACCAAAATGTTTCGCAATAGTTCGTGGTTACTGTTAGGTAATTTGTTTGTTATATAGCTAAAACATCAATTTGAACTTTTGTTTATGATAAAACTAGTCTTATAATCTACGTATTTGGGAGAAAAAGTCAGTTTGAGAAATTTCAAATTTGACTTTGTAATTTCTTGTCTTATAGGCAAGAGTTGACTTTAGCAGAATCTGTTCAGCCAATCATTTTCACATTTTCTTCGATTCATTATTTCATTTTCGTTTTCTTGAAGTGGTAACTGTTGAAAACAAGTGTTCAAAAATCAAACCTAATGAATTGTCCTATTGCTTTCTTACTCTAATAAGCACCGGATATTTAGATTTAGCCAAAACGTCCAACTAATTACAGAGCTTAGAAAAGGCTCATATAGAAAAGAAAAAAATTACAGAGCTTAACAAAGCCGTCGATAAATAGTTTCTCGCCAATTCACCTAGACCAAAACCTAAACGACCAAGTGGCCCACAGTGACCAAAGAGATACCACTTCGTGCCTTTCCTTTTTTCATGCATAACAATGATCAAAATCATAACTCTGATCAGTACATAATCGACATTATTTTCTAAGCCCATCTTTTTCCTTGCACTTGGTTAGACAGTTTTGAAGTTCTTGGAAAATTAGTCCTATAGGTCATAGGAAGTAAACTTTTTCTGCAGAACTAGATTGTTTTTTCAGTAAAATGACCTCGAAGATATATAACATATACGCAATTGACTTTGATACGCAAATATTCCGTTTTTTTTTTAATCTTTGAAAAACTGCCGTGGCTAACAAAACATGTGTGTAAATTAATTTTTCGAACCTTGTCAGCATGTCATTACTAATATCAATATGTAAATGTAAATACATAATATTAGAGATAGTGTACATATCTTTAGTCTGTTGGTCAAACAATAGGTTAATAATAGTCTTAGTCAGTGATGGCAAAAACAATGATAATGATAATTAGAAATTATTATCTTGGGTTTCAATATCCTCGAATTGAATTATACAAGTTGTAATTTCGTATTCATACTAGGTTCTCGAATTCTACTTATCCTATGGATTCATACCACGATAAAAACAGTATGAGTATCTTAGTTCCATAAAAGATTTACGTAATGAAGTTACAATACGCATACATTGTTAAAATTTTGAAAAATCTTTAAACGTAAAACTTAACTCTAGTGAAAATTTTAACGTAAATGTGAGATCTTTAAAAGTGTCCTTGTTCTAACCCGAAAATTAAAGTTGACTTTTTCACCAACTCCTATATCCTTAAAATATTTCTATATTAATTAGATGAATTTTTCCAAATTTTTGCCAAGTCAAAGACTCAAAGCCACGTACACTAATATATTCTTCTATCTAAGGACTTGATGAAATGTTTAAGTATTAAGAATAGAATGATTAAGAAACAAGGAAAAAACTACTGTATTTGGTCAATTCTTGTATGGGTTACCTCGAGAGTTCTAAGAATCTAACATTTAATCATTAAACGTCAGTGTAAATAATGAAACGTTACTTACATTTTTATATTGAATACACAAATAGAGAAAGCCAGCCAATGGTTTGTATTGGTCATTGGTCACTCAAACATTGAGAAATCATCTCCCTATACTCTATATAATGTTAAATGGACTTTCCAGAGACATGAAGAGAGTAGAAGCTAAGTGACTCCATTAAACATAATATTTTCTATATATTCATAAGGAAGAGCAAATTAAAGCAATAAGTACTCAATGGCGAAAAAGGCAAAGTCTGTGCTTTTCTCTTCCTCTTCTCCTAAATCACTCCTTTCTTCTCTTTCTACATTCACTTCTCTCCCTGCTTCTCCTCTCAATCAGACTTCTTCTCAGTCGATGATGGAGGAAACCGTGGAAGCCGCGGAATCAATCATCAAGAAATGGGATCCCAATTCACCCTCCTACACAAAGATCATCTCTCTGTTTAGTCACAGCAGAAAAGAAGCCAAAGAATTCATCAGATGCGTCCGTGACTTACGCAGAGCCATGCACTTTCTTGTCTCTCAACACTCTCAATCTTCCAAGCTTGTTCTTGCACAGAAACTGATGCAGATCGGTATGTCCAGGCTCGAAAAAGAGTTCTTCCAGATACTGTCTTCTAACCGAGACCAGCTTGACCCTGAATCAGTCTCTGGTCAATCCTCCATTTCAAGCAATTCAGAATTCGACGATGTTATGCAGTCTGATGATGATGAAGACGAAGATGATGAGCTGAAGAAGGCTGGGGAATCGATCACTCAGGTTGAAAAAGCCTCGGCTCTGGTGATGTCAGACTTAAAGGTCATAGCAGAGACTATGATCAGCTGTGGTTATGGCAAAGAATGCATAAAGAGCTATAAACTGATCAGAAAGTCGATTGTTGATGAAGGGCTACACTTACTTGGGATCGAGAAGTGCAAGATCTCCCGGTTTAACAGAACGGACTGGGGCGTGCTCGAGCCTATGATCAAGAACTGGATCAAAGCTGCAAAGATTGGAGTCACAACACTCTTCCGTGGAGAGAAACTTCTCTGTGACCACGTCTTCTCTGCTTCGAGTACCATAAGAGAGTCTTGCTTCTACGAGATAGCGAACGAGGCAGGAATCAATCTTTTCAGGTTGCCTGAGCTCGTAGCCAACAAGGAGAGAAAACCACCACCCGAGAGGATCTTCAAGCTCATGGATCTTTATACAGCAATCTCTGACCTTTGGCCAGAGATAGAACTGATATTCCACTTTGATTCAGTAGCTGCTGTGAAAACTCTGGCGCTCTCATCGCTCAAGAAACTCAAGGGCTCAATTCACACGTGTCTCACGGAATTTGAGTCGACGATACAAAAGGATTCTTCGAAAGCAGTTGTTGCTGGAGGAGGGATCCACAAGCTGACTCGAACAACGATGAGTTTCATATCATCACTTTCTGAATACAGCTCTGTGTTGTCAGAGATTCTTGCAGAGCATCCTCTCAAGAGAAACACCCGTTTGTTAGAATCTTACTTCACGGCTCCAATCTTGGAAGATGAACACAACAACCACGTAATCTCGGTCCATCTAGCTTGGCTCATCTTGGTTTTCCTCTGCAAACTAGACATCAAAGCAGAGAGTTACGGAGATGTTTCCCTCTCTTACCTCTTCCTTGTCAACAACATTCAGTTCGTGGTTGACACTGTCCGTTCATCTCATCTCAAGAACCTCCTCGGAGACGATTGGCTAATAAAACACGACGCAAAACTCAGAAGCTACGCTGCAAACTACGAGACAGCAGCGTGGGCCAATGTGTTCTTATCTTTACCAGAGAAAACCAACGTCACGCTATCACCAGAGGAGGCCAAAACACGTTTCAAGAGATTTCACGCCGCATTCGAAGAAGCGTACATGAAACAGTCATCGTGTGTTATAACAGACGTGAAGCTTAGGGACGAGCTTAAAGTTTCCATAGCAAAGAAACTTGTACCGGAGTACAGAGAGTTTTACGAGAAGTACTTGCCAACGCTGAGGCAGGAGAGAAACATAGAGATGCTGGTTAGGTTTAAGCCTGATAACTTGGAGAACTACCTCTCAGATCTGTTCCATGGAACACCGATACTAAGTTGCTCTTCTTCTTCTTCATCTTGTATCTCACTTGGATGTGTAAGAAACTAAAGTTCACGGTTATAGCAATTTTCTGAATAGCATTATCACTGAAATGGATGTGAAATATCAAATAAGTAAACCCTACTTATATATGTTACATTGTATTTCTATTATGTGTGTATACAAAACAAAAGATGAAAAAGGGAAAGAAAATTGAGCTGATGGTTACCTGAATCTATAGACAGAACAATTAAGAAATGGACTTAGATCATTCATCTAATACATGCACAAAGAAGATGAACAGTCTCTAACTAGAAAAGGTCAAGAATCTACATATTGAGGTTTTGGTTTGATAGTAAACATCAATAAGTAAAATTTAAATTTTTATTACAAAAATCAAAACTTTTAACTATCTAAAGAAACTCGCAGAAGAAAAAGCAACCTAAATCGAAATCAAAAGCTCCTCAGAAACAATTAGACATAACAAAATGCAATAGTCTCAATCAATCAAAGCTCAAATCATCCACTGATTTTGTTTAGTGTCGCCACAAACTTGTAATTCCGATATCCACAATAGACATGCGCAAAAATAAATCAAAGATCCAGCTAAGCAAATACCAATAACTGGAATAGGAACTGAAGAACAGAGTCTGACCTTCTTTCTCTTCGATTCGTTATTCCTTCTTCCATCTTTTCCTTCAACTGCCCACGTGTCGAAAGTTAGTGTCTTGCCACCAATGCTCTTGACGAAGATTTGCATCATCTTTTTGTTTCTAGATGCAGATCTTCGTGAACAGCCTCGGAGGCAAGACAGTAACTATAGAAGTCGAGAGCTCGCACAATGTCTTTTCAGAGATGAAGAGAGAAATAATACGAGATCGGCTAAACCGGTAATTCATAATTGTTATGTCGAGGAAAGCGGTCAGACCGGGTGGGGGTTCTTTGGTTTATTATAAAATATGGTTTAGTCCCTATGGGCTACCCGAGAGATACGACCAAATTTAATCACGACCAAATTTAATCGATCAAAGCCAAGGCATTGGGCTAAACTCAAGCAATAAATTAAATTTTCGCATAGTGTATTGACAAAAACAAAAAGTAAAATAATTATTTTGTTAATTAGGAAGATAATATCAGAAAATTAAGAAAACAATAGAAAACAAATTTCTCATGAATATATCAGGGCGATGACCCCGTAATCAAGTAAAATGTCTGGAACATCGTAATGTACAATGGGATGCGACTTTGCCAATAGAATAATAAAAGATTTCCACACTATATATTACAAATATACTATGGGGAAAGGTATAAATAAGCGCTATAAACAATCTACATGATGAAAAGCAAAAATAGTTTTATTCAAATTTTAATTTAAAAAGAAAATTTGGTTTTAATAACCGTGTACCTAATTACCTATGTATCTTAAATTACTCTGTGTTATCAGCGTATCATACGGGTCACGACATAATCATATTGTTGATCCTATTTGGGTAGTGGTGTAACTGCTGTTGATGCATTTATTTATTGCTTGAGTAACCAATAAGACAGAAACAAAATATCACACACGTGGGCTTCTACCGAGACTACTGTCTCTCATCGTCGTCTTTGTTCAAATTTAAAAGAAATCCAAATATATTTATAGAAACACAAATAAGTGAAATAATTATCAGATAAGGTTATGTATACATACATTTGTTATATTCTAAAACTTTGTCTCTCTATTCGTTCTTTCAAAATCTAAGCTTTAGACCTTTAGTCATCATTGATGACGATGTAGAACCCGTTTAGCTTTCTAAAGCCAATCAAATAATTCTTCAAGCGAATATGGAATTAATAAACCATTTTTATACCCAATGTTTATCAAAATTGACCCACCTTGTATAGTTGTATTGAGTACAAGTTTAAATGGTGGTCCATCCAAGAACCTATTATTTCTGAATATATATGAATTTATACATGGTACTCATCACTCATTCGAACTGATATAGAAACAAATATTCCTTGTTTATTGTATTCCTAAACTTTTATTTTATTTTTATCATATATGTAAGTTAGAAAACACAATTTGGTCCACATTCCACTGTTGTACCTTCTTTACCAAATCAAAAACCTAACACTTAAGTCTCTCTTGCATATATAAAGACAAACCTCTTCGTCTCTTAACTTAACTCATATCTCTAATCACTGAAACATAAACACAAACAAAAAACAGAAACACAAATGGCAATCAATCAAGAGCGATGCGACAGTGATGTGGAAGAAGATTACATAGACATGGAAGTAACTTCTTTCACAAACCTCGTACGCGAAACTCTCAATAACAACAACTACCCTCGAGAGTTCGAGTTCCAAATGTCTCATATTTGTCCTCTCGAGATAGACAAAACCACTTCTCCAGCAGACGAACTCTTCTACAAAGGCAAGCTTCTCCCTCTCCACTTACCTCCACGTCTCCAAATGGTCCAGAAGATTCTAGAAGATTACACCTTTGACGACGAATTCTACAGCACACCTTTAGCCACCGGAACGGTTACAACTCCGGCGACGAGCAACACTCCTTTCGAGTCCTGCACTGTCTCTCCCGCAGAGTCTTGTCATGTGAGTAAAGAGCTTAACCCTGAAGACTATTTCCTTGAATATTCAGATTCAGTGGAGCAGAAGAAATCGTGGGGCAAGAAACTGAGATTGATCAAGCAGTTGAGTTTTGGAACGAAGATTAAAGCTTCAAGAGCTTATCTAAGATCCTTCTTTGGAAAATCAAGTTGTTCCGATGAGTCAAGAGTTGCTGATGAAGGATCGATTTTGAGGTATTCGCGAGTGCAGCCTCCTTTTGGACAAATCAAAACAGAGAGACCTAAAAAACAGAGTAATGGTTCTGCTTGCGGGAGCCATAGGAGATCGTTTTCTGTTTCTATGAGAAGACAACCAGTGAAGAGTTCGAACAACAAATCATCGACCAGTTTAGGGTTTCGTCCTTTGCAATTTTTGAAGAGAAGTACGAGTTCGAGCTCAGAGATTGAGAATTCTATTCAAGGAGCTATCTTGCATTGCAAGCAATCTCAGCAACAGAAGCAGAAGCAGTATGGTGTAAATGAGGTCGGATTTTGTTCGTTGTCAGCTTCGAAAATCGCAGCGACTGATGATCAAGAACGGGCTCAGATGTTTAGGGGTTAATTAAGTAATTAAACTGGACATGAAGAAGAGGATGAGAAGAAAATAAGAATTGAGTGAGAGTGAAAGAACTAAAGATTAGATTCTTCGTTATTTTCTTTTGATTTTACTCTTATTTTTTCTTCTTCTTTGTATTTCTATCAGTTTTCATAAATTCCTAATGCCATTTTCGTGTCAAAAAAGGATATAATGAGAAATCGGTTATTAGGTTCATCTCAAATTACTAGTGATTTGAGGTTTTAAAATTCAGTTCAGATTTTTTCCCAGATAAAAGATTCAATATATGATCGGAATTAATGTAAGTTAATGCAAATGTCTATTTGAGAGTTTTAAAGGATTTTACTAAAACTGTTTTACACACATGTATGATTTTTGTTTAGCTTACTTTTCTTTTTTAATTTTCTTTTCTTTCATATGGGTTTCCAGATCGTCAACAGTTTAATATATTGACTAAAATGTAAATAATTCAGTACATTACAGTATGCGCATAACAATTACAAAATTAATTTAAGAAAATTACTATGGTTGTTTAAATATTTTGTATGATTTAGTTAAAAATCTGTTAAAAAAGATTAATATATAAATAATTTAATTTTACAATTATTACTAGCGAAAATAGGGGAATACCTCTAGTTTTTGAACATGTTTTGAACTAAATATTGCTGCCACTGTTAAAATCACCAAAAGTAGTCATATTAGCAGGAAAAAACATTCCTTGTACGACGAAAGATAAAATGAATAATTTATCAGAGATTGATTGATAGAGTGAAATGATGATTCCCTAAACACGAGTGTTCAGAGTCAGACCGTCGTTATCACCATAGAAAGGTTCACTTCTTAAAGTTGAAAAGGAGTATATATCGGGAAACATGGATCCATGCTTTAAGAAAGCTGATCGCTACTTCGCTCCAAAGTTTAGATAAATAATTGTAATTTGTGTAAACAAACAATTTATATCTCAATGGAGAAATTATGTCTATGTTTATAAAAGCATCATTACAAGACATGATGACGTACACAGCAACCTAGGGGTTAGGTCGAGTTCTGAATTAGTCTAATTAGACTTTTTTTCTCAAAAAAAAATTAGTCTAATTAACCCCTTTTCTAATGTTCAGTTTCTTTTCTAGCGTCTTCTTTCTATATTAACCTCTTGATTCTTTATACATGGTTAAGATTAAAGTTCTACTTTTTTTAAGGTTTGATTTTTCTAAACACAAATATATTTTATAAGTATATTATGTTTGCAATTAGTTTTTTTATACTATAACTTTGTTCATTTGTAAGTTTAGTAAACTCAAATTGAAAACTTTTTTTTTCTTTAACAAGAGAAAATGGAAAACTATTCGATTAGCGTATAGCGTATTACATACGCATTTATGATTGATTTATAAGCTATTTAGAAAGTAGTTTAACATACTAGTTTAGTGGAGAAGTCGTCAAACGTCCATTATCACACACATTGGTGTCACTATGATTTTAGGCATTCGCCCGTTATTGATTTTTGTAGATCGTGGCAGGACCGTGTCTGAGCACAGGCTAATGAAGCATGTACTTCAAGGTTAGAGGAGTTAAATATTTTTTTTGGGCCAATTTTTCAGAGTTATAATTAATCCAAATGGTTTGTGAATAAGTAAAAGCATGTTTGGTTAAAGATTTGCTTGGATTCGACTCTTCTCAGATGCATATATGTCATTTTTTCTTCTTTTTACCAATTATTTGTGGGTTAAACTGCATTAAGAAGAGTTTTAAGGGACCAATTTTTTTACTCGCTTGTAGTTAGAGAAATCTCAGACACGGCTCTGGATCCTGGAGTTTATCCAATGCATGTGCAGTAAAATCGAAATGTTAGATTAGATAGATATAATAGACGAAAGAACTTCTCCAGTGTTTGTCTCTTACAAGAATTAAGGGACACTTGTGTGAATTAAAAAATCAATCCAAGGCTAAATGAGAAGTATGGTAGTATATGGCATCGCATAACTATAAATATAATCCTGCAGCACAATGTAGTATTAAATAATCTAACTCCAAAAAGGCAATTAGCAGGAAGAGAAGGGACAAGAGAACCCAAAGCCGTGGGCTGCTTTAGCATATATTTTGTGTTTGATTAGTGCGTGTGCATCAGTTTAAACTTTCAAACTTCAAAGCCTTAAAGTAAGATGTCTTGTCCAAAGCTATTCTTTCTCTTTTTATAACGATGTCGTAAAAATAAATGTTTTTTCATTGTTAATTTATTTACATAATCATGTAATATTGTAGGGGTATATACTATAATGGTTATATTGTTTTATTTTATGAAAATCAAAATGTAATATCATGTAATAGCTTGAAATGTTATATAAATAAATTTTATCCCTCCATTAAAGGATTTTTTTTTATAAATTAGTGGTTTACATATAAAACAGAAAGGAATGAAAAAAAAAACTAAGAAAATTGTAGTGCACCATGCGGCCCATGCAGTGACATCCTTACTTTGATAGTCCGATTTAAAGTTTCTATATAATTGTGTGAAATGTTCAAGTTTCTTACGCATGTTGTTTGTGTTTCTATGATTTCTTAGGCCCATCTGATTTTTGGGTTAAACTTTTTCCCCATAGAATACGTAATGATATAAATATTAACATAAGCAAATTCAACATACATACAGTAATATGCGATATATATTAACATATGTAGTATAAAATATAATCCAATATATACGTATAATATATAACATATATCATAGGTATGAATATACAAATATAATGTCATATTTTTCAAAATAAGTTATTTATACGACAAGATATTTGTCATTTGTAAGACATCCCCACATGTATTATTACTTTACTCTTGGTATTGTTTTTTTTGTTGTTGTTAAACGACTCTTGGTATTGTAATTAATATTCTTTTGAATGTATCTATCTATATGATACTTCTGATTTATAACTAAGAAAATATGTTGTAAACATACTAGTTATGTCATGTATCTGAAAATTTAAATAATGTTTTTTTACTAGTATAATTTTTCCTTGAAACGTTATTTTCATTTTTTTTTAGAAGAGAAATACTTATAATAATTACGATATTTCTCTGATATAAAATAAGAATAAATAAATATTGAATGTTTCAATTTTCAAACAAGGGATTATCCTAAAAGACAATTTATTCTGTCGCCTTCATGAACAATGCAAACCTAACGGCACGTTTGAAGCCGGTGGGAAATAGTTGTCTTTGATTTATAATTTATTATGTCCATTGTCTCCAATCAAAATCACACAAATATCACAATCTCATCTTCTTCCTCCTCCTTTTGGCTTCTTATCCTCGTTTCTATTTATATATTATTTCTCTTAATATCTTAATGAATTTCCAGCTTGATGAACATGTCAGAACCGAAATGTTGAAAACGAAATTTACAGAAAAATACAAAACTTTCTCGTGGCCCCTTGTTGATTTTAGATTTGTTAAGCAGCTTTTGATTTTCGTCAACAGATTGGTTAATCAACTTGTTCCTCTCTCTCTCTCGTCTTTTTGCTTAAAACCCATTTTCAAAACCCTGAAACTAATCCAAGACCTTTTTCTCCCCCGATAATCTCTTGTCACAATTCTTTTGGTCAATTGATTAGTGTAAACGCGTAGTTATTGAGCTGATGTAAATGTTTGTGTTCATGAAGCTTTTTTGCAAACACATCTCACTTTTCTTTTCAGCTTACAATTATCCTCTCCAAAATAATCTCTGTGTTCCTTCACAATTTTCCAGAATAGTTGGAATTGGTGATACCCATTTGTCCAATTTACGATTTTTTACTCCTCTGTATTCTTGAATTTTTCTTCCGATTCACTTGTGGTTTCTCTGTTCATCGTTGGCTATGATAAACCTAAAGTTCTTTACTTTATGGGTTTTAACCGCTCTCTGTTCTACACGGGTCTCCTCTGCCTCTGATAGCTTCTTCCTCAACTGTGGATCGCCGGAGAATGTAACAGTCACCAATAGAACCTTCGAATCCGACAACAATCTTGGTCGGGAAATCTTCGATTCCACGCGAGGAGTCTCGGTCCGAACCACCGATTCGAATTCCCTTCCTTCAGGAGACGAATCGACTCTGTTCGAGACGGCGAGAGTTTTCTCCGACGAATCAATTTACCGATTCCCGATTGAGCAACACGGTTGGTTCATAATCCGCCTTTACTTTCTACCTTTCGTCTCAGCTTCTCGAGATCTAATCACAGCTAGATTCTCGGTTTCGGCTCAGAATTTCACTCTGATCAAAGATTACAAACCCTCGAAGACCTCCATTGTTAAGGAATACAGTTTAAACATCTCGACAGATAATCTATCTCTCGAGTTTCTTCCCAAAACCGATTCTTTCGCATTCATCAACGCCTTGGAAGTCTTCAGGCTTCCAGAGAATCTGCTACCTGAAGAAGCAGGACTCATCGGTACACAGAGCAGCAAGAAGAATCTCAAGCTAAGTACTCATGCGATGGAGACTGTTTCTCGAGTAAACATGGGGAATGTGAGTGTGGGTCGTGACCAGGATAAGCTATGGAGACAATGGGATTCGGATTCTGCGTATATGGGAGAAGCTCATTTTGGTCTGCCTGTGTTGAACCTCAAAGCTGTTAACTTTAGTGCTGGTGGGATCACAGATGTCAATGCGCCGGTTTACGTCTATGGAACCGCCACGAGGTTGAATTCTGAGAACAATCCAAACACAAACGCTAATCTAACTTGGACATTCCAAGTCGAGCCTGGTTTCGATTACTTTCTCCGGTTTCACTTCTGTAACATCATAGTGGATCCTTTTGGATTCGAGCGTCAGATAAGCTTTGACATTTTTGTGAACTCAGAGAAAGTTGATTCCGTTGATATGACAGAGGTTGCAAATGGCACCTTTGGAGCTCCTTATTTTGTTGATGCAGTGATGCGGAAGTCGAAAAGTCATGAAGGAGCGTTGAATCTATCTATTGGTGGAGTTATGGATGTTTCTTTGTACCCTGTTTCTTTTATCAATGGATTTGAGGTTTTGAAGCTAAGCAACGATAAGCGGAGCCTTGATGTTTCTGATGCTGTTTTCCCTGGAAGTTCTTCTCGTAACAAGAGTTCAAATCCGAGAATCGGATTGATAGCTGGATTATCTGCAGCTCTGTGTGTTGGTCTAGTGTTTGGTGTGGTTGTATTTTCGTGGTGTCTAAGGAAAAGAAGAAGTAGAAATAGACAAATGCAGAGTGTTCATTCTAGAGGAGATGAGCAGATTAAGCAGAACGAAACAGGTGAAAGCTTAATCTTTTCGAGCTCAAAGATCGGTTATCGTTTCCCATTGGCCTTAATCAAGGAAGCAACAGATGATTTTGATGAAAGGTTAGTGATTGGAGTTGGTGGGTTTGGTAAAGTTTTCAAAGGAGTCTTGAGAGACAAAACCGAGATAGCTGTGAAACGAGGTGCTCCACAGTCTCGCCAAGGTCTAGCGGAGTTTAAGACAGAGATCGAAATGCTTTCTCAGTTCAGACACAGGCATTTAGTTTCTTTAATCGGGTATTGCGATGAGAACAGCGAGATGATCATTGTCTATGAGTATATGGAGAAGGGAACGCTTAAGAACCATCTCTATGACTCAGATAACCCGAGATTGAGCTGGAAACAGAGGCTTGAGATATGTGTTGGTGCAGCTAGAGGGCTTCATTATCTCCACACAGGTTCCACAAGAGCCATCATACACCGTGATGTGAAATCAGCTAACATTCTCTTGGATGAGAATTTTATGGCCAAAGTTGCAGACTTTGGATTGTCTAAGACTGGTCCAGATCTTGATCAGACACATGTGAGTACAGCGGTCAAAGGAAGCTTTGGTTATCTTGATCCAGAGTACTTGACAAGACAGCAGTTGACTGAGAAATCCGATGTTTACTCTTTTGGTGTGGTGATGCTTGAAGTACTATGCGGGAGACCTGTGATTGATCCATCTCTTCCGAGAGAGAAAGTGAATTTGATCGAGTGGGCGATGAAACTGGTGAAGAAAGGGAAACTTGAAGAGATCATTGACCCTTTTCTTGATGGGAAAGTGAAGATTGAAGAGCTGAAGAAGTACTGTGAGATAACAGACAAGTGTTTGGCACAAAACGGAACTGAGAGACCAACAATGGGAGATTTGTTGTGGAACCTAGAGTTCATGCTACAGCTCCAGGCAAAAGACGAGAAAGCAGAGATGGTGGAAGATGATCCAGAGGCGAGCGTCGTGGGCTCAACCCTGCAGTTTAGTGTGAATGGAGTGGGAGATATTGCAGGGATCTCAATGAGCAAAGTTTTCGCGCAAATGGTGGTGAGAGAAGAAACACGATAAAAAGATTTGATAAAAAAAGAAGAGTATCTTAGTTACAAAGTGTTGTTTGTACAGTGAGGGAGAAGAAGAGAGAACACGTTACTGTTTTATACATTGTTGTAGGAAATTCAAGTGTGTTTGTTGTATACACTGCAGAAATCCTAAACAGATTGTTATACTTTCTATACATATATTTGCATTGATATTTCAGCTCTTCTTGTGTTTTGTTTTTAAATGCTTTTATAAGTTAACTACATTGATGATACCAAACGTATAGAAGTAGCGTTTGAACTATAGCTGCAATGGCATCAATCAAGCCACAGTCCACAGACGAATTAGATTATGACCATAATGTACTACTATCGTATTCTTGACATTGTTAAGATGGACATGTCTGACTAATGAGACTATGAAATCTCAATCTTGCCATCATTGCAGTTAGGATCGTAAAGTATCATTTGAGATTAGTAACATAACAATAAAGCAAATGCATAATGGCATTTGCTTTAGGGGTAAAGACGTAAATTCACTTCTGGCCAATTCGATTTTGGTCCGAGTACGAGTGCTTTATAGTGAACTCGCGGTAACTTCTTTTGCTCATCTCCGGAATTAGTCAGGCGGTCCTCTCAATTTTCTCGAGGAGAGTGACTGAGTGATTAATTCTAGTCAACAGGGCCCATTATGAATGCATGGCCCAGATTAGTTGGGAGGAGAGATGATCAATTATCTAGGAGCTTTTGAGGGTCATACAAATACAACAGAGGTCTGACTAGTAGTGCTAGATATCGAACAATAAATCAGTTAAATTATATAAATTACTTCTAGTAGAGATAAAAAAAAAATAGAGAAGAAGAAGAGGATGCAGATTCGTTTTAATTGCGATTTACATAACACAAGAATTACGTTTCATGAAGAGACTTGCGGATAAATTGTATTTCATGACTTAAAAATGAGATAACGCTGAAAAAACGTAAAAACCTATGAATTTTTCTGTTTTTATTTTTATTTTAAGACATTGCCGAAAAGGCTTTTTTTCCAACTAGTGGAAACTTTGTAAACCAGTGGTTGTAAGTGAAAACATATTTTATAAACTTAAAAAAAAAAGACAGTGGTCCAAATTAATATAAAGTCGGCTACGCTCTTTGAAGTTTCCCTTGTTGAAATATGGTAATGAATTTTCCCGTCCTTTGATCGTGGCGGCATGTAGGGAAAATACAGTTAGAAGTTGGTAATCAAAAGTCAACGAAAAGTTAATTACCAAAAAGTCAATTTGAGATTGGAAATGTAAGCTTCCCCCTATCATATTTAATGCTTACACATGTTATCAATAACACCGCCTAGGGCTGGGATTCTAAGAAGGTGGGAATATGATAGTGACTTAGTGAGGTACAAATTAATAAAAATGCATTTTCGATCAGTATACAGTGCGTGATTTGAGAAAATTTGATCGGATAAATCAATAAGAGATTTCCATCGGCCAAGAGTCAAAAAGTAGTATTTTGGAGGACGTTGATGTGTTGTGCCTAATGACTATAAAGACACTTATTTTAAGTTTACAATACACCTGGATTTTCAAATTACACTTAACTTTGTCTTCTAGGAAAAAAAAAACTACTTTCGTCTTAAAAATAGACAATAGACAATAGACAATAGACAAATGTTTCTAAATGTATATCATCATAAGCACAACTTTCCATAAATTCAACAACGACTATAGATTTTTTCTTTTGGATAAAATATGAATTCCTAATTAAAAAAAAAAAACAGAAGAACTTTGTATTTACAAGTAGCTAGGCTTATATAAGGGGTTTCTAGCTAGGGTCCCCAAAAAAAAAAAATCCTGGATGAAACTACGAAGACTTCAAACACGAGATTACATGTGAGTGAACCAGTTTGAAAGGAGAATTTGGTAACCTTTCAGGTTTCTCCTTGCCAAGAAGATGTCTCGTATGGTTCGGTCTAGTTGTTGACAGGGAGCTTGAAATGTCTTTAATTGATGTGCTGTTCTAAAGTCGGTTCGTAGAAATGGTAATTAAAGATCTTTATAATATCAACGATATCTTTTGCATCTTCTAAATCCTTATATAAGTTATTGCGCTTCAAAAAAGAAAAATATTGGTTTAAACAGCGAGACGTTTGTCCGAGTTTTATTTGGACTCTATTCCAAACCTGGCTGCTAAATTCGCAAAGCACATGATCCCTTGTTTTCGGAAGCAGACAGCATTTACAACATGCATTTGAGGTTTTGATCCCCCAATTATGACTATAGATCAATCTACGTCAAGTTTATAATTTACGTTTTGAACATACACTTGAATTTTTAATTTTCCTTCTAAAATACACTATAGAAATATTTAACAATCATGACTATTATATTATATATAGCTCTATCTATAGTCTTTTCGCGAATATTCAAAACCAGAGGCAAAATATCTATTTCTGTAAGATTTTTTGTTCTAACGTACGGATAATTGATGTTATTGCTTTGGCAAGGATGATCATATGGGCGAGTGATGGCACAGATATCGAAGAGTCACGCTCACGCATTCAAATTCGAATTCATAGGATCTTCTAAAATTTCCGTCATGCATGCATGGACATTTGAGCATTAATGTGATAACAGCTTTCCTTATAATATCTTCACATATATATTACCTAATTGGTGACATACATTTGACTTTAATCACATGCATCGCCATAAATATGAAGTCATATTATCGATCCATATGCAAGCTGCAAGCATCTATAGTGATTCAAGGAATTCGAATAAATATATATACCAACCTTACATAAATTTTATCAAGAAACAAAAAACCTTAGATTAATAAATTGACACACCAATAGAAAACCTATTGTCTCTTCGTTTTATCATAAATGAGAACATTAAAGCATCGCAATTATAATCTCTGTAGAAATTTAGATAATTATATTTAAAATGTATATATTAATTAACATAAAATGTTTATATTTTATTCCATCTGTTCCACAATATTTGATGTTTTAGATTTTTTACACTTATTAAGAAATAATAAATACATCTTTTTACTAACTACTTTTTGTTTTTGTTTTAATTATTTTACTATTTCCAATAAATGTATAAACATTATTTTCACTTCCAAATACTATTTCAAAAATTTGATATTTTTATAACCAATGTAAATTAAGTATTTTTTAATTTATAAATAAAATAGTATTAAATACTCCTAAAACATCATATTTTCTGGAACAAGAATAAATCATAAAACATCATCTATTTAGGAACAGAGAGAGTATATGACAATGAAAAATAACCGATAAAACTGGACAGCTAAGGAAAACTACCATGCATGGTACGCGTTTATACCAAAAAAATTACCATGGTACAATCGCTTGTAATGTTTCCATGTGTTTTTGACGTCTTTAATTTTCTAAAGTTTATCCTATAATTTGTTTTTTTGTTAAGATTGAGTTCTCGACTTCTCGTTTAATTTTACTATCATTTTTTCCCTTGACAATGAAAACGAACCTTATGTAAATGACTTGACGACATATGATACCAATAGAAAACCTACGGATGCTCTCTTGATTTGGGCTCGGTACAGTAACAAATTAGTAAAAGACACAGAAACATGGTATTTAACATAGCATTTCGAATTACGTTTAACAAGTACCAACAGATCCACCAATTAAAACGCTATAGTCATATATATAGAAAAATATAACATGGCACACTACTCACTATTTAAAGGTGTGACAGATTATTCATTCGATTAGGCAACATTTAACTAACTACTTCGCCAGGAGGTTGCAATATGTGATTTTGCTATAATATTGTTATTCTTGCAGTTGGCTATATCAGTTTGTCACCATATACGTAATGTGTGCACACATACGTTATGTTAACATGCGTCATGCGTGTACACATTTATAACCAAAAAAGAATATGACATATTATAAGTTTTTGGGTGGCTTATTAGGCTACGAACATAAATTAACAACTAACTTTTCGAATTAAGCTTTGTCTTTGTTTTTAACTATCAGACATAGGTATATCAACTACTTTATTGTCTGGCCACTCGAGATAAGAGAGTTTTTCTGGTCTCTCATACTACCAAAAAAAAAAGACTTGATTCGAAGCTTTTACTTATCGTTTATGAGAGACTTGACTCGAAACTTTTATTTTACGTTCATCACCTGATCACTCGATCAAACGTTCCATGTGCGATTGAAGATTTTTCCGGCATTTTGTTAGGCTTTTAATTAGGTTCGCGCGGCGCAAGTGAAGTAGCTAAGCTACATAGCCTTGTAGATATTTGTTATAGATTAAGTTAGCCTTGTAGACATTTATTATAGATTAAGTTAATGTTTTAATTGGACCGACTGTTAAATATATAGACCAATATAAAACATCGGTCTACATGCCTAGATCCTTGTATGTATATATACTAATACTAGTACACACGCACAATCCATTCACAAGTGGGCATCAATTTTGCATGACTTTTGTTTGGATTTTATTTTCGCTTTTTAACTACCTCATCAATCATCTATTCCCAAGCTATGACTATCATGTATAGTAGAAAGTTTGTCATTTTCACATTTTAAATTTGGTTTTACCTAACGCTATTTTTTTGTCAACTACCTAAACCGCAATTAAGAATACTCCTCTACAAAAAAAAAAGAGAGCATATATAAGCTGATTCTTCTAACTAGTAACTAGGTAACGACCAGATGGTGTTTGTGACCTTATATCATAGTAGCAACGATGAGCCTTCTTTTTATAAGTTCCTTTATTTGCTTCCATTTTCTTATGGGAAGGATTAATCTAATTTTCTGTCAGAGTAACCACTTCTACATTATATACAGAATTTGAACATTCACTCGAAATTATGAAAAACAAGAGCATTAATGAGGCCAAGTATGGGAAACACACACACACACACGAAAGTCCTCGTCCCATGCCTATCTATATGTTAGATCAACAAATACTACCTTTTACCTAATTACCTAATTCCCAAGTCAATTATAACCCATATCTCCACGTGTCATGTGCCCACCGATTTTCTTTACTCCGTTAATCGTTATCCCGCCCAAAAGAAGAAGAAAACGTATTTGGTCTTTCCACTTTTGGGCACTTTGGATTTCATAGGTCGGCTCTTCACCTTCCCCTAATAAAAAAACAATAAATCAAAATTGCATTTACATCCAAACAGTCAAAATATAAACCTAACACACCTTTCCCATGCAACTCACAAAGACTTTTTCATTTTAATAACATTTCTCACATCAAAGCCGTCGTGTCTTCACACAGACACACACGCCTTTTGATGCACTCTCGCTTCTATATAAGCATATAGTAAGATACATAGAAAGAGACATATTCAAGAAACCTCACTAACTTTTGTTTCTTCTTCTTCTTCTTCTTTGAGAGAGATAGCCTAAAGTCGTTAAACACAGTTTCGTGTATCTCAAGGAAATACTTCAATGAGTGTGTATTAAGTTGGTTAATTTGTTACTCTGAAGAGTGTTCAGTCTTTTTTTTTTTAACAATGGCTCGTATTGTTGCAGCTAATGATGACGATACGCCGCACTTTTACTCCATGGAGCTCAACTCCATCTCCTCCGTTTCCGATTCCACCTTAGGGCAACTTCTGAAGAGCGTCAGTGACGTCAGGAAAGTAGCCATTGGAGACGAGACTCCAGTCCACGAATCAATGAACCGTGACTACGAAGATGATCTCATGCGTACTGTTCCTTTCGTTCTCTCTTTCGACAATCTCACTTACAATGTCTCTATTAGCCGGAAACTAGAGTTCCGCAATCTCATTCCACGGCGGAAAACAGAGGATCCCGAGATAGCTCAAACCGGAAGGCCGAATACTAAAACCCTTCTCGATAACATCTCCGGCGAGACTCGAGATGGAGAGATCATGGCCGTTCTTGGAGCAAGCGGGTCAGGGAAATCAACTCTGATCGATGCATTGGCGAATCGGATTGCTAAAGGAAGCTTGAAAGGAAAGGTGAAGCTAAACGGAGAAACTCTTCAATCTCGGATGCTCAAAGTTATATCAGCTTACGTGATGCAAGATGATCTTCTCTTCCCTATGCTCACTGTGGAAGAAACACTAATGTTCGCTGCTGATTTCCGCCTCCCGAGGAGCTTACCTAAATCTAAGAAGAAACTTCGTGTTCAAGCTTTGATTGATCAATTGGGAATCAGGAACGCTGCTAAAACGATTATCGGCGACGAAGGTCACCGTGGAATCTCCGGTGGTGAGAGAAGACGTGTTTCGATCGGGATTGATATAATCCACGACCCGATTCTTCTCTTTCTCGATGAGCCTACGTCTGGCTTGGACTCGACGAGTGCGTTCATGGTGGTTAAAGTGTTGAAGAGGATTGCGCAGAGTGGCAGTATCGTAATTATGTCTATTCACCAGCCGAGTCACAGAGTTCTCGGTTTGCTTGACCGGTTAATCTTCTTGTCTCGCGGCCACACCGTCTACAGCGGATCTCCGGCGAGTCTTCCCCGTTTCTTCGCCGAGTTCGGGAATCCAATCCCGGAGAACGAGAATAGAACGGAATTCGCACTCGATCTAATCCGCGAGCTTGAAGGATCCGCCGGAGGAACGAGAGGATTAGTCGAATTCAACAAAAAATGGCAAGAGATGAAAAAGCAGAAAAACCGTCAACCACCACTGACTCCTCCTGCATCACCGTACCCAAATCTAACCCTAAAAGAAGCAATCTCCGCTAGTATCAGCAGAGGAAAGCTAGTATCCGGCGGAGAATCCGCCGCTATTCCACACGGTGGAGGAAACACGACAACGACGTTAGCCGTGCCTGCATTCGCAAATCCGATCTGGATCGAAATCAAAACTCTCTCAAAACGCTCAATGCTGAACTCTCAAAGACAACCAGAGCTATTCGGAATCAGACTCGCCTCCGTAGTTATCACCGGATTCATCTTAGCCACCGTCTTCTGGCGATTAGACAATTCCCCTAAAGGAGTTCAAGAGCGGCTAGGGTTCTTCGCTTTCGCGATGTCGACAATGTTCTACACTTGCGCCGAAGCACTACCAGTTTTCCTCCAGGAACGTTACATCTTCATGAGAGAAACCGCTTACAACGCTTACCGGAGATCCTCCTACGTTCTCTCTCACGCCATCGTCTCCTTCCCGTCGCTCATCTTCCTCTCTATAGCCTTCGCCGCGACGACGTTTTGGGCAGTGGGCTTAGACGGAGGCCCAATGGGCCTATTGTTCTACTGTTTGATCATATTAGCCTCTTTTTGGTCAGGAAGCTCCTTCGTCACGTTTCTGTCAGGAGTGGTTCCACATGTGATGTTGGGTTACACAATCGTCGTCGCTATCTTAGCTTATTTCTTGCTGTTCAGTGGATTCTTCATCAACAGAAACAGAATCCCAGATTACTGGATTTGGTTTCATTACTTGTCTTTGGTGAAATATCCGTACGAAGCTGTTTTACAGAACGAGTTTTCTGATGCGACCAAGTGTTTTGTGAGAGGTGTTCAGATTTTCGACAACACGCCGTTAGGGGAATTGCCGGAAGGGATGAAGCTGAGGCTGCTCGATACGGTGAGCCGGTCGCTCGGTACGACGATTTCGAGCTCGACGTGTTTGACCACTGGTGCCGATATTCTGACGCAGCAAGGTGTGACTCAGCTGAGCAAATGGAATTGTTTGCTTGTCACGGTAGCTTTTGGGTTCTTTTTTAGGGTTTTGTTTTACTTCTGTTTGTTGCTTGGAAGCAAGAACAAGAGGAGGTAAAATACACGGAAATGAAGAATGCTAAGAGACCCAAAACAAAACATACTTGTATTTTCTGTTGTAATTCCTTGAATCGTTTAAATGTAAAATGCTTTTTCATTTATATAAAAGAAAGAGTATTGCTGGATATCTCAAAGTCTTTAGAAGAATAAGGATTTTTCCATATTCACAATAACGAATTACAAACACATTTGGTTTCTCTTTCAAAAGACCTCCTACACCTATTAAGTATTATAAACCTAAAATGTCATACCTGAGATTATGTGTGGCAAAAGATGATGATGATGATGATGATGATGATTGCCAGAGAGGCATTTTGGCTTCTTTTCTTTTCCATCAGACTACACAACAAACATTAATTCTTTTTTCGTCATGTACGCGTAAAAAAATCATTGACATCTAGATTTCGGTCTCCATGAGCAACTGCATCTTCAGGTTCTGGCATGAACAGACTCGGTGTCGACGCCTACACGAGAAATAACACAAGTTCAGTCCTCATCTATCCATATCTTGAGAATAAGGAACTCGACATTTATATGGCTTTGAATTAAAGTGAACCCCGTTTCTCATCAAAAACTTTTGGCAAATTCAAAAGAAGACTTACCTTGGTGTCAAGAAGCATATCACCGTTACTGTCAGCTATGAGGCTAGCACCATGGGCTTTTAGCCATTGAGAACACTCCTCCATACCATCGGTCTCCTTTTCACCGGTACTTTCGCTTGAAGCACCAGTAAAGCCCAACACTTGGACTAAGTATGAGACCGGGATTGTCGGACGACAACTCCGAGACATAAAAGTCACTGCCTTATAACGCATCTTCTCCACATAGAGATCTGCAAATAAACATGAAAATAGTTCTTTACACATCTATTAAACTGTTCAAACATATCAAACGAGTTTACATATGTGATATGTCCCCCACCCATGAGGCAACTGTTCATGTTTGGTGCAGTCTTGTAGAGTCTGAAGAACATAACATAATTTCCTGATGTAACAGCTGCACGAACTGAGAGAGCATGTCTAACTGCTTCATCCTTCTTAGCTTCTTCGGATAATCTACAGAACAATGAAGATACTTCAGAGATCACAAAATTACTCAATCTCATGCATATCACCCCAATAAAAGGAGTAACCTATTCACACTGATAGGAATATAAGTTAAAAATAATAAAAAACTATCACACAGGTGGAGTGAACATTCATAACTCCATTACTATTCCCAGTTGGCCACTCACAGAACTTTTGTAGCAAACGTTATTCTCATCTTCCCACGAAACTTTCATTTATCAATGTTTCTCGTGAAAAGTCTATGCTTAAACAGAGCCCAGAGAAGTAAATTAAAAAGCACTAACCTGGACATAGATGATAGCAGTTCTCGGTTGTTGTTAGAATGTAAGGTAATATAGAGCAGACTGTACGCAGCAAACTCCAGAGAGCACCCTTCTATACCTTCCGCGTACAGAATTTTTAACTGTGACAGGCACTGTAACAAAAATAAAAACCAATTCAGCAAGACTACAAATACCCTGCGATTTATATTAAGTATCCTCAGGAATATACAATAGATGTATTCTACAAGACTTGATGAAACAGCATCATCATTATATTGCAAAATCAATGCAAACTGGAGCCAAAATTCAACGTAACATGTCACCAGAACTATAATTGCTTTTTGCGAATTTCTCTCTGATTTACTCTAACCATTATATCTATAGCATCTTCCCAGCTATGGCAGTCAGAATCATTCTTCAAGTTCTACTGTACTGATTTTAAACCTACAGGCCCAACTCAACAGGTAGTTTTCCAACAGCTAAACCGGGAAATGATTTCAACTATTCTATCACTATCAAATTCCCTGCATAGCTGGGAAGAATTTCCCTGGATCTCAATCTCGCAGTGGTTAGTACTCTATATAAGTATATATTAGGAAAAAAGGACAACTATTTTCAACCGGATTAGATCTCGACAATCTGAATGATTTCTATCCAGCAATATGGACAATCTGTGCTAGCGTACCAACCTGATTATACTCAGGTAAATCCCCAGCCTCCAAAGCCAATCTAGCATGTGTTTCATAAACCTGAAATAGACATTGCACATGAAACAATCATAAACAAGCTCGTTGGGTTACATGTCCTGTAACTAGGATAAACCTCCCACCAGGAAATGGATCCTACATGCAACAACCCTCAACATTGGGACTCAATAATATACCTTAGCTGTTAAATGATTGTGTATCCGTTGTACTGTGAGGTCTTGGCGAATAGATTTTAGCTGATCACATTTATAGAGATAATTCTTTTGAGAATCCTGAACCATTAACAGAGCTTTTTCCAGCACATCCTCTGGCCTTACCTGCAAAGCCGTTTGGTTACAAACAAGTCAATCAAAAACATCAGTCTGGGTGTCGAAAAGATTACTAGGTATAAGTTACTGATATTTACGGTGGAAGGATCCGGTGCAGAAGTAAGACGGAGATAACGTTTCTCAATTTCCTGGCAACTTCCTTTAACAGTTAGTGAATCCCAGTCAATGTCTTCCACAGCTCTGCTGCCACTTTCATCAAAATCTCTGCTAAGCCTCAGTGCAGTGGCTCTTCTAGACTGCAAATTTCCAACATTTACATTCTTAGGTTTAGGAGTATCATTCCCTCGGCCGTGCCCTTGAACTTTTTCAAAACGCTTGGAACGACTATCACGCCGCTTCTTTTCCTCGGCAGAACTAGCAAGTGCCATTGTGCTGGAATAGTAAGGTGTCAAATCCTTGTCACTATCACTAGATGCCTCATCATCAATGGCAGTAGCTGCACCACCAGAAAAACGCTGTCGCTTGACAGGCCGCTGGAAACTCTTTTTTGCAGAATTTTGCCCAGAGTAAGTTGGCTTGAAGCCAGTGACAGCATCCACCTTTTGAAAACTCTCAGAGTTCTGCAAAATGTTTCTATTAGAACCAGTCGATTGCAAGACGAGAATTTCTAACAGCTAAATAAAAATTCAACCGACAACTAAATGCTTTCTTTTCATTTCCTTTGACCAGACATAAATAAATGTATAATCACTATCACCCGTAGCAGCATCCCTACACAAATAAATAATAAGGAACGAATGTTAACCTTTTTGTTAATTTCATTTTGGTGATTCCAACCTCCAAACTTAACACCACTGCTGAAAGTTGAAGCTGACTTGACAAATGGTTTTGCTTCCAGTACCGGCTCCCATCTACTTTTGGGTCGTCTTATTGGGCTCTTATTTTGGAACGAAGAAATAAGAGTACAGCTCGACCTGCAGCACAGCGTAAAACTTAGTAGCAAATCATATGAATCCAAACATATTATAAAGAACGAAAGTCACATATTATGCAGGCTGGAGATAAGGAAGGAAAACAGGGCCATACTCAGTGTTAGTCATATGTGTGCTCAGGACAGTTGAGAGAGGCTCAGTATCCCAATCCCGAGTATTAAGACTACCATCATCCGTAGCTTTGGTGATGATCTAAAATACAAAAATAAGCATCAGCATGCAAAGCAACCCAAGTTAATATGGTATTCTAATAAATGAATTTATTCTTGTTCCAAGAGATGGCATGAAACATCTTAACCAAACTACATATTTACTCCGACGATCAAGTTAAAGAAGTTCATTCGAATTTGGCATTAACATTAAGCTGAGCACAATGAGTAACTAGAAAGAACCATTTATCATGCTAAAATAGTGTAACTACAGTGCGCCAATATTTACCTCCCTCAGGGCGGCCTGGCAAGATGCCTTTTCTGTATCATCTTTGCAGCGTGCAAAAGCCCTCTCGACAAACCCACGAAGTGATTTGGGGAAGGTTCCAGGCTACAAGCAACAAGATTATTTTTTTCCAATGTCAATATAAAGAGAACTTACTCAATATACAATTTATAGTGGCCAACATTTAATGTCTACTTCACTTATTAGGTAATAAAGAATTGAAAAAAGGAGCCTTACCTCAGGCATAGCAGTGGTGTGGCCTTTCGGCTTTGGCATTGAAACACTAACATATGCAGGTGTTTGGGTTGCACCGGCTCCTGAACTATCTTTATCCATTTTGGGAAAACCTGATGGCAAGTTCGAAGCAATTCTAGGGTTAGTTGGAATCTGTACTTTGCTTACCCTTGGTGTATCCACTGACGGTGTTGTCTGAGTAGGCTGGCGATAGCCTAACGGTGCCTGATGAATGGAAGACTGAGAGTTCATTCCTTGAGGATATGTAGGTCTCTGATGCCCCTGAAACGGAGTCTCATATAAGGGTTTCGTCTCCAGAGGACTCTGGTAATGATTTTGCGGAGGAACAGGATAATGAGCTTGCTGGTTTGGTGTTTGATGCATCCAGTAGGCATCATTAGAGGCACTAACCGCTGCACCAGGCTGAGAAAATAATGAAAATGACTACTTAGTTTTCATAATAAGGATATCCAATTAAAAAGACTCTAGTGAAAGAAAGCAATCAGTGACCACGTCTATACTTAACATGTTCTAAGAATTGACTCAAGCAAGTATTGCTTAGCTAATTTATCAGGAGAACAAAAAACATGTTCTCAATAAGCCACAAGCAGGAAAAAGGCATTAGTCATATAAGCTTAAGAACACAAATTTGCTCTACGCCCTCATGAAAGTAAAAACTGAACCTGCTGAGAAGGTGGTTGGGAGGAGTTGGTTTCCTGTCTCCAAGGTTGGGCATAAGACGGAGCAGGCTGACCATTAGAAGCAGGCATTTCACTGGTAACACCAGGAACTGGAAAGCTCTGACTAAATGAACTAGTGGCAGACTTTTCCGTGCCCGGGGCACAGGGTACTTCTGCTTGACTGTAATAATCTGGCCACTGTTGGTAGTTCTGTTGATAATGTACAGGTATTGTAGTTGCAGTAGTGGAGCTATGAGTGTTAGCAGCGTCAGGTGTATAATTTTGATATGAGTTTGATGTATAGTCCGTATAGTTTCCCTGGTTTGATGTAGGAGTCTGATTGCTGTAGTTTGTATTTGGGTAACCTCCAGCCGTTTGGTTGTTATAATTTGTACTTTGGTAACCTCCAGTAGTCTGATAATCAGCAGGATTGTAGTAAGTTCCTGAATAACTTGCAGTCCCAGCATAAGATCCTGGATTCTGAAATGAGGAAATAGGCTGATAAGGAGCACCTGTGTTTTGATACGCCCCTACAGGCTGAGAATATGACTGGCTAGGTTGCTGTTGATAGCTACTGTAGTAATTGGAATATCCCGTGTTTGAATAGTTGTGTGGGTCAGAAGAGGTCTGGTATGGCGTATATCCACTATAATCTTGTGCCACATTAGCAGTTCCAGACGTCGTTGAGCTAGTGAAGGATGCAGTATTCGGTATTTCTTGCACATTTCCTGAGGCTGGCCCTGTAGGCTGTGGATGGTAATAGTTTGAATTTGAATAGTTCCCATTCTCCACAACCTGATTGTCCACCCTCTGTGCTGTCCATGGGGCACCGTCAGACCCAGTTGAGTATTGATATGAAGATATCTGCCCTTGGTTTCCATCAATACCATATCGTTTCTGTGAAAACATAAAAAGCGTTAGTAGTGGCAAAACTGAATACTTATCCGCCATATGGCACTGGCAATCTTCAGTTACAGCAAAAACAAATTACAAAAACAAAGTCTAAAAGTTATAAGAATCATAGACAAACAACAAACAGAAAGGTCATTCTCATATCAAGACTAAATCTGCAACTTGAGATGCTTAAAACCTCTCACAGTCTCAAGTCGATCTGAAAGAACCTCAAACATAATAAGCGACAAACTTCATGCAGTAAATGATCAACAGCGAAGTGTCTTAAGTTCTTAACCTAACCAAACACTTAAACGAATTTGTTGTAACAAAGTACTTTCCATCTTTGAACTGTTTTGTAAATGGTAAACTACTAGTGAAAACCATCCATTACAGCAAAGAGAAGATGATCACAAGCACCAAATAATTTGGAACTACCACCACAGCAAACAAAAATCACCAAATCCAATTCACGCAACAACACAAACACAAATACTAATTGGAGACCCAATGCAATAAACTATCACTTGACTAGATTTTAAATAATGCATATAAAGGAGAAAAACGAAAGAAAGGACACAAGAGATTACCTCAATGGAATTAGGGTCCAGTGGAGCTGCGGCCTGAGTGTTCCCTCCTTGATTCATTCTACCATAAACATCCTGCAACAAAAAAAAAAAAAAAAAGAAAACATCATCTCATACGATTAGACTCACTTTCGATTCGGATTTCGGTAACACAAGCAGAAGAACTAAGTTCGTAGGCAATAAAAAAACCATAGAAAAGCCCTAAATAGACAATAGAGATAAGAGGAGCAGTAATTTGTACCAGTGACGCTCCAATTTGTGTCTTCTTCGTTAGAATACCGCCGGTGAAGAATCGAATTGAAATAGTATAGTAGAGCAGGATTCCAGATCAAACCAAAACAAAGATAACAAAGGAAACGAATAGAGCAAAAAAAAAAAAAAACAAGAAGGCGAATAAAAAATATAAATCAAGGGAACAACAAAGAGAGTTTCAAATCTATCCAAATTACAGAACACGGAGAAAATCGAGGAATCTGGCCGAGGAAAAACAATTTGTTGTGCCGGAGACGAAGATTGTCAAATTTTTACGGTAAACTAGCGTGGCGGGTCGGGTCGGTTCGGGTCGAGTCTGTCCGGGTCGGGTTGTAGTGTTGAAATTGGGATTTTTTTTTTTTTACGTCAAAATACTTGTTGAAATTGGGAATTTTTTTTCCTTTTCTTAGTGAAAACTGAAAATCCGTAAGAAAGGAAAAAACAACGTTTGCCTTTTTGTAAACGTAATAACGTAAAAAAATTTGCTCATAATTCAAAAGATTTGCAATAATTTTTGGGTTAAAAATATATCTTCGATGTTGAAATTGGTATTCCGAAAGTAAACACATATCTAATTTTGTCTGAACTGATATCAAATAAAATTTTGTCTTACGGAATTCATGAGATATCGTTTATCAAAAAAACAAAAAAAAATCATGAGATATCATATCATAACGTCAGTTTAAATTATAGTTTACAAATTGTCTTAAAAATAAACCACATTTCATGTATATCTTGTTCTTGGCTGCTCAACACGAACAAGGAGTGGGATTCATGGGAAGGTTACTCCGAGATCAAGATGAAAAGTTATGGAAATTTTCAGGTAATATTTCTAAATTTTTATACTCACTAACTTGATGACTCTTGATCGTATCCTGAAGAATCTTTTTTTTTTTTTTTTTTCAATTCTGTTTCCCTTGCTTTAGCTGATCATCTTAATAAAACCTAGGATTTTCATAAACGTGTTAGAGAAGAAATCGTAAAACGGGTAACAAATCTTGAAACTTTTTTGAAGCTTTGCAGATTGTTTTCTTACGTGTATTTGTCATAGGATGATGACTCTGTTTTCCTCATAACAGCTTAAATATCGTCCAATTGTTTTACAAAGGATTAGTTGACAAAAATAGAATTCTCCGAGTATGTAAAGAAAATGTCTAATGACTCCGTGTGGGTGCGATGAAGTCATCATTGAAAGCACCTGCAGATGTGTGTGTGGTGTGTGTGTGTTGGAGTCAATATAGTAGTCAGTACATCATTGAAAGATATGCCTTGTTTCATTGTAATCCGTGAATCTATTGTCTCTCGAATTCTCATTTCACATCATGCCTCTTTCCTCTTATCTCGCTTTTTTTTTTATAAGTTACTAAGAAAATATTGTGTCGTTTACAATGTTGAGCATCGGGCCAATGCTCATTTTCTATGCTGCATCCCAAATCACGTGTTCCTACCCACAGAAGATAGGAGGATTCAGAGAGATGACTATATTATTGGGCTCGTTATGGACTTTTATTCAAAGAGAAAAGAAGAGAAGGATTTGTTTGTTGTACTAAACTCACGAGTATCTGCATTTGATCACAAGTTGGATGCAGCTATTATTGAGCTCTTTAAGGACTCTTCTCAATATAAATTATTGCAATATTATAATCCCTCGTGAATCACGAGTTGGTTACAACATACTTTTGATGATGGAAACAACGTGACAAAAAAATAATAATACTCTAATAATAACGACCAACGTGGTAACGTGTCTAACCAAAGAGTGTCAATAAATACCACATTTCAACACCCAAAACCACAGGAATTCATCTCTTTCATTCTCAATCAGAGCTCAAGAACTGACTGGTTCTCTTTCTCTCTCTCTCATCTTTTTTTTTTTGATGGTTTTGAAGTAGCTGTTTGCAATTTTTTGTAGCCCTCATTGGATTATGATTGTCCGTTATATGTACATATGTGATTTTGTGAAGCCAACAATTTTAATTATAGGAGTCGTTCCCAATATAAAGATTAGAAATTTTGTTTTGTTTCCGCAATCTAGATGTATATAGTATATATATGTATATACACAAATTTAGTTTTCTAAACATGTACATTAAGTACCATTAATCTATATTCTGATAATTAACTGGATATATATATTCTAAAGATGAATATCTTTGACTATTTTAAGAGATTGTCTCACAAAAAGTTTATGAGAGAGACGAATGTTTGGGAGAATGTGACTGTGTGAGCAACTAGTGTAGCATATCTAAACTAAAAACAGTGAGAAAGGAGTATGTGGATGCATTTTCAGTTCGCTATATTTGTTTGATATTATACAATATACTTTTATCTTCATTGATTCATATAATACACCAATAATAGATCTATCAATACATCACGTTATAAATGTTACCCTACCATTAGTTGATTGACCCTACCATCAATTGATTGCTCTGTCTGCGATTCTTGGACCATTTTGATGTATATGAATAGGCTACACCTTTTTTTGAACATTTTTCTGAATCTTAGCTTGATTGTGCATACTTTATGGCCCTTTTTTTTAAAAAAAAAAGATAGTGCATACTTTATTGGATTTGATTTTTTTTTTTTTTTCATTTTACAGGATTTGAAGATTCGAAATGGCAAAGATGTACCAGAAGATGGCAATTCGCGGTGGTGAAGGAGGACGCGAATGGGACGACGATGTATACGAGGGTGTAAGAAAAGTGTATGTAGGGCAAGATCTCTCACGTATCACTTACGTCAAATTCGAGTACGTGAAGGAAGACGGCGAAGTGGTAACACGTGAATATGGGACAATAAATCAACAACCTAAAGAGGTTCTCCATTGCATTTTTTCTCTCCATTTTTCACATTCTTAGTTTTCTACATCAATAGATTTATTTAGTGTTAAACAAACCACTAAACTACGAGCAATGGGTTTTATTTCGTGTTATTTCAATGTCTTTGATTGAATAAATGGCATTTTCACATATAGTTTGTACTTGAATATCCTGATGAACACATCATAGCGGTGGAAGGAAGCTACAACAAAGTGGCTCTGTTTGCCACGGAGATGATCACATCCCTCGTCTTCAAGACCTCAAAGGGTAGAACGTCTCCAACGTTTGGGCCAAACTTGTTCGGAGTTGTGAACGGTACAAAGTTTGTTTTGGAGAATCAGAGAAAGAAGATCGTAGGGTTTCATGGACGGTCGGATAATGCTCTCGACGCTCTTGGAGTATACTTTGCACTGGACTCTCTCAACACGTCGACCCCTCTTTACAAGCTGGAAGCCCAAGGTGGTACAGAAGGGACTGTTTGGGACGATTCTTCTTATGACGGTGTTAAAACGCTGCGCATTGGTAAAGATAATTGCCGTATCACTTATTTAGAGTCCGAGTATGTGAAAGGTGGGAAGTCGGAGACACGTCAACATGGGGTGAAAGGAGAAACACCATCCGAGGTAATTTCTTACTACTTCTTATACTTATCCACAAATGGTTCAATATTTCTCAAAAAAGTTATACGTCTTGTTGGATATACAGTAAATTCTATTAATATTTGAACTTGTATAACAACATATTTACATATGTTTTTAGTCCTTGAATATAAATAAACTTCTTTGTATTCAGAAAATTAAAATATGCATAGAAATTGGACATGTAACTACACTATATATACCAAAAAAAAGAACATGACTTAGTTTGAAACGGCCCTCGTATGAAGTTATCTCACAAAAACCCTTAAAACCAATTCTATATTTAGATTTCTTGTGACATAAACTTTCTTGAATTTTTGCATTTTGTTGTAGTTTGTGCTTGATTTCCCGGGTGAATACATCAAATCGGTGGAAGCAACCTATAATCGTCCAATCCTTTTCCGCAACACCGTCATTACATCGCTTAAGTTCGAAACATCAAATGGGAGAACAGCATTCTTTGGGTATGAGGTTGGTAAGAAGTTTGTATTGAAGCAAAATGGTCTTAAGCTTGTAGGGTTCCATGGAAAAGAAGGTGACGCTATTGATGCTCTTGGAGCATATTTTGCACCTATTCCTGCTCCTACTCCTTTGATTCCAGCCAAGAAACTACCATCAGTAGGTGGCAATGGAGGACTTGCATGGGATGATGGTGTTTACGACGGTGTGAGGAAGATATACGTTGGACAAGGTAACGATGGTGTGTCCTTTGTCAAATTTGAGTACATTAAGGGAACAGACTTGGTACCTGGAGATGACCATGGGAAGCAGACATTACTCGGAGCTGAAGAGGTGATCATTTCCATAGACAAACAACAAAGTTTTTTTTTTGTTTCAACTACTTCACTAAATTGTATTTTTCTGAGCATTTTTTCAGTTTCTGCTTGAGGATGGTGAATATCTCACGGCTGTGGAAGGCTACTACGATAAAATCTTTGGAGTCGAGGAACCAATGATTATCTCTCTTATGTTCAAGACGAACAAAAGGGAATCAACTCAGTTTGGAATGGATTCCGGTACGAAGTTCACGCTCGGGGAGAACGGACACAAGATCGTCGGGTTCTATGGACAAGCTTGTGATGTTATTTACGGTGTCGGAGTCACTGTTGTGCCCATCACCGAGTGAAAAACCCTTTTATTTATCTCAATAAAATCAGCCAATCATGTCGACTAAATGAAACTTTCAATAAGATTGGTATGTATGTAAGAAAAATGTTTATGTTGTGAACTTGTGATGTGGGTCATCAGTCTTCTCTTTACTCTACTACTTTTTCAATGTGTCCTTTTTTTTCTTCTCTACAATGTGTTCAAATGGGATAATAAAATTCTTAGTTGAGCCATATTTTAGTCTTACATATTTTTGACATGTATTTGATTTTGAATTAAATTGGTTTTAAAATTCTATGAGCCTATTAATTAGAATAAATAAATTGATCAGTTTTAGTTATTTTGTTAGTAGATCCAAATTAGAAATAATAAAAAATGCTACCATTTATCAATAGAAATCTACTAAAGTTTTCATATTCCACCTCGTTACTATAACAGTAACTTTTTTAATTTTTATCAATGCATCTTACTGTCAAAAACCTAAAATCAACTGCAGAAGAATCCCACAGATTTATTATATATGTATTATTATTAGATTATTTAATTAATTATCCTTTTTCACTATTAATTATCATTTTTATTTTTGAAAAAGGCAGAAACCAAACTATATCGAGTATGCTTGATTACCAAACAGCTAACACAAATTGGGCCCACAATAAGAAAAATCAAACGGGCCGCTCCTCTGGATGGCTTTATCTGTCGCAAGTTAAAAAATTTAAAAAGTGACGGAAGTCTACTTTCCATAAATACCCCTTTATAGATACTCTATCTACGGTGAACGCCCTCCGTTTTGTCGTTACTTGTCCTTTCGACTCCTTGTTCAAGGAAAAGACTTAACGCCTCTTCGTAAAAGCCTGAAGTCGACGTTAACTAACGCCGTCAGAAAATCTGCATTTCGGATTTGGATTCTTCTTTGCTTGATTGAGTCTCCCTCCATCTTCTCGATACTCGGTTCTGGAGAATCTCTCTGTTTCTGGTAACTTGATAATTCCCTGGACATTCATTTTGTTTTGTTTTTCGTTTGAATTTTGAAATATTAGTGATTTCATGAAATCATTTTCATAAGGTTGTTTTTTGTATTTTGATTGTTCGTAATTTCGCCGAACATTTTCTTCTTCAGTTTCTCCGCCGCACGGACTCAGGTTCGATGCTCAACTTTAACAAAACCTTTGAAAATATTCGACTTGGTGGGTTTTCTAGGGTTTTTGTAGTGAATGGTTTCAAGGGTAGTTTGGTATTTTACTCAGTTACAACAACTCGCTGTTTGCGGATCTGTCAGAAGCTCTCTGACAATTTCGTTATATAAAACAAAAGTTGTGGCGATCTTGATCTTGATTCTATTTTTAACCATATCTCATTCAGTCAAGCTAAAAAAACGTTAGTTGAATGATTCTCATCGAGCAAGTGGTTTAAGTAGGATTCACTTTGGCACACACTCTCTGCTCTGTTTTTGATATTAATTCGCTTTCTGAGGAAAACATTTTGTGTTTCACAAATGTTAAAACTTTGCTCTTGTTTCATGATTACTGTCTCTAATCCATCCATGTAGCAATCAAATCAGTGTCTCTATCTATGCACCTGTTTGTGCTAAAAAATAAAGGAAACTTTTTTCTTACTCTTTTTTTGCTGTAGTACCCTTTCCAGCTTGTCTTGTTTGATATTGGAGATACATACACACCAATGAAGAAGCTTTTCTTTTTCAAATCGTCGTCATCTGGTAATGGAACTGATAAACAAATTCGCCGGGAAAAAGAATCAGAAACTTGTCCAAAGGGTCTTTCTATGAAGCCTCAGAGTGAAGAATATGGTGGTCATGAAGCTCTTAGACGAAGCCGTTCTTTTTCTTCCGCAGCTTTTCTCCTTGATGGAGCAACTTCCTCAAATGATCCAACTAATGCTACTAGAAGCAACCATCATCGACTTCGAAATCATTCATCTCGGTAAAGTTTTGTGCTTTGGTCTTTTATGACGTTGTTGTGTTGACTTGTCTTTATAAACTTGGTAGTTGATCATTTGTACGTTTCAGTTTCAGATGTTTTACTCCGGAAAGACAATGTAAAAAAGCAGAACATAGTCACATGTACAAAGTACATGACTCATCTGGAAGTTTGTCAACTTGTTCTAGTAATGTCTCGAGCCAAGTCTTGGACCGTTACATTGATGGAGAAGAGCATACAGAACGGAGTAAGCATTCCCCGCATAGTAATCTCTCTGGGAGCGTCAAAGGAAGGAGGCTTCCACCGCGAGTTCAAAGCCCTTCACCACTGTCATCAGATACTACAACTGTCAAAGACAAACGACAACCTAATGGTACTCGCCTGAATTTCTCTTCCACTGATTATGCGGAAAATGGTTTGAGGGATGTATCGCCTCGTTCACTTGCGAGAAGCGTCATTAAAAGACTCTCTCATGCTCACAAAAACTTAAAGCCGTTGAGTTACGAGTCGATCAGAGTACAAGATGTCTTAGGTGGAAACAAACTTGACTCAAGCTTGGATGGTTTCGTCAATCTTCCATTGGCTGAACATAAAGAATCGGTGGATGAATATGACAACGCAGAGCACCAGGAGTTGTTGAACATGCATGTGGGCACTAAGGAAAGTGATGTTAGTTCCGAGCTAGAAAAGAAGTATAGAGAAGCTGAGAAGAGAGTGAAGCTGCTTTCAGAAGAACTGGAGGAGCAGAAGTTCCTATCAGATTGTGACTTTGATATATCATCTTTGGTTGGGGATATTAGACAAATGCAAGAAGAGAGGGTAGGCTTGGCTTTCGAGGTTTTAAGTCTCTTGAGATCACAAATGGATGAGAGGGCCTCTGCTAGGGAAGAAATCAAACGGGCAAAGGCTGATATGGAGTTACATATACAGAGACTAGAAAAAGAGAAGAGCGAGTTACAGTTTGGACTGGAGAAGGAGCTTGATAGAAGGTCAACTGAGTGGACTTCAAAGCTAGAGAGTTTCCAGATGGAGGAGAAGAGGCTGAGAGAGCGTGTCAGAGATCTTGCCGAGCATAACGTCTCACTCCAGAGAGAAGTATCGACTTTCCATGAAAAGGAAACCGAACGCATCGATATGATAAGACGTATGGACGAGACAGTAACGGAGTTGAGTGCAACATCAGAGGAGTTGCGTGAAGAAAACGTGTATCTTATGCAAAACCTTTCCAAGGTACAAGATAGTTACACTGGTACTACAGAAGATCTTGATTGCTTAAAAAGAAACTTTGAAGAGAAGGACATGGAATGCAGGGAGTTACACAAGTCTGTCACAAGATTTCTAAGAACCTGCAGAGAACAAGAGAGGACAATTCAGGGGCTTAGAGATGGTTTCTCAGAGGAAGTTAAGAAGCAACCGTCAGAGAAACGTGAACAGATAGAACAAATAAGATTGGCAGGGGTTGAGCTTTCACTTAGAAAGGAGGTGGAATCAATGAAGCTCGAAGTTGAGTCTCTACGTCGTGATAATATTTGTCTGCTGAATCGAGTAAAAGGAAATGGAGAAGAAGTGGAGATTACGACCATCAAGCTGGACAATGAGTTGAAGATGCGTGTATGCCTATTGCAAGACCAAGGGCTCATAATGTTAAACGAGAGCACGCAGCTATGTTATAAGTTTCTGAAGTTCATCGAAGAGAAACTAGCTCACTTCCCTGAGTCTTATCAATCATTGAGTAATGGATTGAGTGAGCAGTTTCTGATAGAATCTGAGATGAGAGTTCATGGAATGCGCCGTGGAACTGAAAGCCTGAAGAGGAGTTTGCAGACTGTCACCAGCTTACTGCTTGAGAAATCCAATGAGATGACATCAAATTCAGAATCATCTTCCTCAGCCGCTGCTAGGCCTAGCGAGCCAAACAACCAATCAGTGGAGGTGAGTCTGTTCATTTTCATATCCTCCATTGCTAGCTTTATTACGTGTGTTATCTATGCTATAAATGATTCACCTTTTTATCTGATTTAGAAATTCCTGAGAGCTGAACTGAGAGCAGAGAGTCTAGTCACGAGTTTATTAAGAGAAAAACTGTATTCCAAGGAAGAAGAAATCGAACAGCTGCAAGCAGAAGTAGCAGCAGGAGTACGGGGCAACGAAGTTCTACAATGTGAAATCCAAAACGTCTTAGACAACCTTTCAGTAAATACCCACCAATTAAAAGACCTCAAGCTGCAGATGATGAAGAAGGACGAGAACATAAACCGGCTTGAAACCAATCTTGAGGAAGCTGGTAAAGACTTGGCTAACATGAAAGCTAACTTACCAAAAGTGTTGGAGGAAAGAGAAGAGATGTGGATGGATGTGAAGGAATGCAGAAAGAGAAACATGGAATTGGAATCAGAGAAGCAGATGTTGAAGAACAAGGTAGAGAAACTGGAAGAGGACACACTCATTAAGGAAGGTCAGATCACAATACTAAAAGACACGCTTGGAAGCAAGCATTTCGATCTCCTCTCTAGTCCTGACTTCTCATATAATGATTTCTTAGTCCAATAGACAAATAACAATAAATGTATAGGCGTCTGTTTCTCGTGCTTTTGTCTCTATCTTTTTTCTTTCTTTAGAGCGTATAGGTTGATATGTTTTGGTTCTTTTTTTAAGTCTCTTTTTAGATTGTTTTTCTCATAAGTTTCACCCTTTGTGAACGATAGAAATAAAAGAAACTTTTTCCTTCGGAAACATGTATATAGAGACACCTTTTTAACTTCCCAAGAAACATGCAATGCATCAATCAAACCATGCTTATAGTAGAAAAGAAATCAAACTCAATTGTGTCTAAGAAAGCTACATCTCAATGCTAGAAAGAATCTGCATTTGAGTCTACCCGATAACCAGTTCTATCGTGTATTTTCATGGTTCTGAAAATGAAAAATAACAAATTCACTTCTTTAGAAGATCCAAATTCAAGTTTTGTGCTCCTGTACAGATGAGACCCTCTCCATGATTGCGTATATCCAAATGCAGGTCAAAAGCAGAACAAAACCGATAGATTAATTACTACTTCAGTAGTACTTTCCATATCTTCCTCATATAAACGACTAAAGACCAAACCGATAGTCCTGCTGATACATAGAGCAAGCCAGCACCAGAAGCTACGAGCCATCCAACACTGCTATCCCGGCTTGCAAGAAGTATGGTTAATGCTGTCATCTGCGTGGCGGTTTTCCACTTGCCCAAGTTATTGACTGCAACAGCCTACACAACCATCAATCAATGCCATCTCATGATTCAGTAAGAACAGAAACAAACAAAAAAAAGCTCTTACTTATTACAATATCAGAGATATATTTTGGTGATTCAACTAACCTCTAAAAGCTTTCCGTTTTGAGATGCAGCCCATTCTCTTACTGCGGACATAGTAATCTACGTGAAGACAAAATGTATTTTTTATGGTTAAAGACATGTTACTTATTCTGCAAGTGAAGGAATACAATCAAATTTTTCAACATTTCTTACCTCCCTACCAATGATTGCAATAGAAGGTACCGTCAATAACCATGGAACTGGTCCTAATACAGCTACGTCGATAGGTTTTGTACACAGTAAGATCAATGTAGCTGCGACCATAAGCTGAAAACCCAAGATATAAATCAGAAATACGTGAATCTAGTCTCCATAGATCTACTTTCCACTTTATTGAAGCTTTAAATTAAGAAAATCAAATAACCACAGGGGTCGTTACGGAAGACAATTCTGCACACCTTATCTGCAACTGGATCCAAAAATGCACCAAACGCAGAACCTAACCTCATCTGAAATGTAAATGATATTCTCACCGTTTAAACATATATAGAAGAAGGAAATATACACAGAATGGTAGAAAGAAAGTACCTTGCGCGCAATATAGCCGTCAAGCCAGTCTGTAATGGCCGCTGCAATGAAAATGCCTGTGGTCGCAGTTGTTCCCCACCAACTATCAACGTAAAAGGCTACAAGCAAAAAACAAGAGAATTAACAGTTTTGCATGGAATACAATCTCATAAAACTTTAAACTTTCCCACAAATTATAGCTTAAAAGTATTGCAATCCAGACGATTGATAAAACATAGGGAAGCTTATTCGATGGCGGGTCTAATTATCTTCATGAACCAAATAAAAAGCCAAAACAAAAAAATTGAGCTCTCGAAATGATTCTACAGACCCAGAAAGGATCATAATATCTACTTAGACACAGCTGCTTATATCTTAAGACACACCGAAAATGTTATGTGCGCTTGAAAAATACCAAATTTCGAATCCAGAACAATTGCTTCCTACAAATTACCGTACTTGCGACGAGAAGCGGAACGGCAGCTACACGACCAAGGGTTAATACGGTGGGCAATGTAAGAACTTTGGAAGATGATTGCGGCGGCGAAGAATTGTCTTCATCATCAAGCTCACCGTGACCACTGAAACTGTTCCGATCCGCCGTGACGGCGTCGTCTTGACCCATACCCGACACGAGGCCCGATCGGGTAGACGACGATGGTCCGCCTTTCTCCGACGAAGAGGAAGAGGAGGAAGAAAAGGAGGAAAGGCGGTAGTGACATCTCTGAATCTGAAACCTTAGAGCTCTATGGGAGGAGTAACGGGAAGTAATAATGCTGCGTGAGGAACGGCTAAGATGCGCCGGGAAAGAAAAAGGCGCGCATGGACGTAAAGTGCGCCGCAAATTGACATCGACGATTAACGAGGCAAGACCGGATCTGAGCATGGACAAGCTTTAATTGGATTCAGTCTATTTCCGAAATTGATTGATGAAAACTGAACATGTTAAAATCGAAGATGAGTGACCTGAAAATCAAAGAAATTGGGAAGACGGTGACGTGGACTCAAAAGGGCACAAATGACTTTTCCAAATGGAAAATCGAAAGAATTGGACTTTTGTAGTTCAATTAAGCCCAAAGGAAAGTAAACATCAATATTTTCAACAAATCATGAATACTCTCAAAACAAGGCTGAAAAGCACAACAATTTTCTTTTTGTATAATCTCCAAGTCTAAACATTTCAACAATTTTTTTTTGGTTTTTGTTTGACAAATTAGACTATTTGAGAATGTAATGGTTATTTACATATCCCCATTGAAATCTCACAAATCTACATACATTTTTACATTTGAAGGAATCAAGTTCTGAAAATATAGGATCCAATAAATCCACTAAATCTATTATATAATGGGAGAGTTTTCTCTCCATCTAAGGTGTCCACATCAACATAAAAAAAAAATTAAAATTAATGACTTAATTAATTCACACATTTTTAAATAGTATTATTTTCATTCAATAATAAAAGAAAAAGAAAAACACTAACACTAAATTTAATGACTTAATTAATTCACACATTGTTTATAATTATTACTTTTTATTCAGAAGAAGAAGAGTAAAAATTAGGAAAAACAATAAGAAAACATAGTTAAAAAAGAAGAGGATAAAATGAAAATCATAGACGATGAAAAAGAATAAAAACAATAGGAAAAAGAAGAAAAAAATCAAAATATAAAAGAAATTTGCTTTAGTGTTAGGATATGTATTACTGGTAAAACTACTTTAAACTAAATTGCTTGTGTTTTGATTCATATTGGTATAACTATGAATAACTATGTCAAACTAAGCAGTAATACTATAAAAAACTATGTCAAACAAATTGATATCACTATGAATAACTATGTCAAACAGCGTAGTAATACTATGAAAAACTATGTCAAACTAAGCATAAACATTATGTTCTTAATTAGAAATAAATGGAAAACATTGATTGAAATTGTGGGGGCTTACATTAGAAGACAAAAACATAAACCATTCTAGTTAAACAAATTCATAGGTTTAATAAAGACTCACTGACTAAGATTAGCTAAACATTTGGTTTTCCATAAGAAAAAATCTTGCTAATACCTGCCAAAATTTCATTCAGATTTGCAATCTCCTCAGAATTGGTCTTCAGTTCTTCAGGCATTTGTTTGATCCAATGAATCATGGTGTAAGCCATCATTCTGCACAATCCGAATGATTACAACCCAGAAATTCGAAGACTCTAACAATAATACTAATTCATAAACCCAGAAATTCAAAAAAATAACAATAAAACAATTCATAAACTCAGAAATTCAAGAAGAATAACAATAAAACTATTCATAAAATTACATTAGAAACTTGCTTTTGTGTTAGGATTTGTATTACTGGTAAAACTACTTTAAACTAAATTGCTTGTGTTTTGATTCGTAATGGTATTACTATGAATAACTATGTCAAACTAAACAGTAATACTATAAAAAACTATGTCAAACTAATTGGTATTACTATGAATAAATATGTCAAACTACGTAGTAATACTATGAAAAACTATGTCAAACTAAAGTAAACATTATGTTCTTAATTAGAAATACATTGAAAACATTGAATGAAATTGTGGGGGGACTTACATTAGAAAACAAAAACATAAACCATTCTAGTTAAACAAATTCGTAGGTTTAACAAAGACTCACTAACAAAGATTAGCTAAACATTTAGTTTTCCATAAGCAAAAATCTTGCCAATACCTGTCAAAATCTCCTTCAGATTTACAATCTCATCAAAATTGGTCTTCAGTTCTTCACGCATTTGTTTGATCAGTAAATCATGGTGTAAGCCATCATTCTGCACAATCCGAATGATGAAAACCCAGAAATTCAAAGAGTCTAACAATAATACCAAACTCATAAACCCAGAAATTCAAAAAGAATAACAATAAATAATTCATAAACTCAGAAATTGAAAAAGAATAACAATAAAACTATTCATAAACTTACATTAGAAACTTGCTTTTGTGTTAGGATTTGTATTACTGGTAAAACTACTTTAAACTAAATTGCTTGTGTTTTGATTCATATTAGTATTACTATGAATAACTATGTCAAACTATGCAGTAAAACTATAAAAAAACTATGTCAAACATATTGGTATTACTATGAATAACTATGTCAACCTACGTAGTAATACTATGAAAAACTATGCCAAATTAAGCATAAACATTATGTTCTTAATTAGAAATACATGGAAAACATTGATTGAAATTGTGGGGGCTTACATTAGAAAACAAAGACATAAAAACATTGTAATTAAAACAAATTCATAGGTTTAACAAATACCCACTAACAAAGATTAGCTAAACATTTGGTTTTCCATAAGCAAAAATCTTGTCAATACCGGCCAAAATCTCCTTCAGATTTACAATCTACTTAGAATTAGTAATCAGTTCTTCATGCATTTGTTTGATCAATAAATCATGGTGTAAGCCATAGTTCTGCATAAACCGAATGATGAAAATCCCAAAATTCAAAATCTAACAATAATCCAATTCATAAACCCATAAATTCAAAAAGAATAACAATAAAATAATTCATAAACTCAGAAATTCAAAAAGAATAACAATAAAATTATTTATAAAATTACATTAGAAACTTGCTTTTGTGTTAAGATTTGTAATACTAGTAAAACTACGTTAAACGAAATTGCTTGTGTTTTGATTCGTAATGGTATTACTACCCAATAACTATGTCAAACTAAGCAGTCCCCACTATAAAAAACTATGTCAAACTAATTGGTATTACTATGAATAACAATGTCAAACTACGTAGTAATACTATGAAAAACTATGTCAGTTATGGAAAACCAAATGTTTACACCATGATAAACCCAATTCATAACCCCAGAATTTCAAAAATAATAACAATAAAACAATTCATAAACTCAGATATTCAAAAAGAATAACAATAAAACTATTCATAAACTTACATTAGAAACTTGCTTTTGTGTTAAGATTTGTATTATTGGTAAAACTACTTTAAACTAAATTGCTTGTGTTTTGATTTGTATTGGTATTACTATGAATAACTATGTCAAACTAAGCAGTAATACAATAAAAAATTATGTCAAACAAATTGGTATTACTATGAATAACTATGTAAAACTACGTAGTAATACTCTGAAAAACTGATAAAACTACTTTAAACTAAATTGCTTGTGTTTTGATTTGTATTGGTATTTCTATGAATAACTATGTCAAACTAAGCAGTACATACAATAAAAAAAACTATGTCAAACAAATTGGTATTACTATGAATAACTATGTAAAACTACGTAGTAATACTAAGAAAAACTATGTTAGTTATGGAAAACCAAGTGTTTACACCATGATAAACCCAATTCATAACCCCATAATTTCAAAAATAATAACAATAAAACAATTCATAAACTCAGAAATTCAAAAAGAATAACAATAAAACTATTCATAAACTTACATTAGATACTTGCTTTTGTGTTAGGATTTGTATTACTGGTAAAACTGCTTTAAACTAAATTGCTTGTGTTCTGATTTGTATTGGTATTACTATGAAATACTATTTCCAACTAAGCAGTAATTCAAAAAAAAAACTATGTCAAACAAATTGGTATTACTATGAATAACTATGTCAAACTACGTAGTAATACTATGAAAAACTATGTCAGTTATGGAAAACCAAATGTTTACCCCATGATAAACCCAATTCATAACCCCAGAATATCAAAAATAATAACAATAAAACAATTCATAAACTCAGAAATTCAAAAAGAATAACAATAAAACTATTCATAAACTTACATTAGAAAGCTGCTTTTGTGTTAGGATTTTGTATTACTGGTAAAACTACTTTAAACTAAATTGCTTGTATTTTGATTTGTATTGGTATTACTATGCATAACTATGTCAAACTAAGCAGTAATATTATAAAAAACTATGTCAAACAAATTGGTATTACTATGAATAACTATGTCAAACTACGTAGTAATACTATGAAAAACTATGTCAGTTATGGAAAACTAAATGTTTACACCATGATAAACCCAATTCATAACCCCAGAATTTCAAAAATAATAA